GCTTTTTTTATTATTAATTATATTAAGATGAATATTTTTATTGTTAATTTCACTAATCTTAGTTTAAATAACCTATATTAAAATATAAATATAATTACATAATTAATTTCATACACACTCATAAAAACATTTACGAAAAAAAACGTACTTAATTTTGTATTTTAGGGTTATACAGACGAAACTGGGTGAAAGAATTAGTTTAATCGTGACATTACATACAAGTCCATCTTTTTGTTTCTTTATGACTAATAAAAAAAGAAAGAAATTATCCATATTTAAGCAATTTTTATTCCATAACATATGATATATTTTTACGAGCGATGTACACGAATACATTTAAAAATGCCAACATTCATTTTGAATTAATGTCTTCCTCATTTCATATGACCAATTTATACTAGATTTACGATGTATCGATGTTATAAAAATTACAATGTAATTGTTACATCACTAAAAAAAGTATTTCACACTTGAAAATATATAAATTATTGTGTGAATATTTGTAGTGATGTGAACTGATTATATCGATTGTTTTAAGACTTTTTATTGTACATTGAGTAACATTCATTTAGGTACATAAAATCGCCGAAACTATGTATGTCTATAGATATTTTTTATCGTAGATGTATGTCGTATGTTGTAGTATAGATGTAAATATAAAGACTTGTTTATATACTAGTATTAAAATGTATATAATCTTGTAAAAACATCTTCATTACCATAAACAAATAATAATGCAACCTCTTAGCCTGCTTTCGTCAAATCAAACGTTGAGATCAAAATGGCGTCTTCTCGGTTAAAGCGGTAAATTGGAGGGAAACTTTCTTTGCCTCACTGGCTTGGAAAAACACGGAACTGACCTAATATTTATATTTACAAAGAATTGGATTTTTATTTCTAATAGTTTCTTGCTAAAACAAACTTTAAAAAAACAATAGGTAAGAAGTTTTATTAAGTAATCTAAAGGCTTATTTACATTTAGAGTATGATTAAAGCTACATATTTGGTCAAAACTGTTACAATTTGACCCTGAATGTATAACAATTAATTTTATTACAATCACGATGTTTATCTCGTGAGAATCGTTTGTAGGCGTAAGTATTGCGATACAACTATGTACATTCGTTATATCAAAATAGGTCCATGAAGGTGTGTCTATGTAGGTTATAGTTGATCGTTAAAGGTTGTATATAATTTATATATGGCTGAATAGTTTGGATCTGTTTTAAATATTATCTGTATTTTTTTTTAATAAGTGACGTAATAGTAATTAATCATGAATGTGTTAAATACGATTAGGAAAATCATTTGAAAGGATATAATATGTTTTAATGTTTTATAAACAGGATATGTTATAATATTCCGGTTGACTAAAACCATTTATTCAATGCCGTTTTGGCGCCAAATTACCGTGAGAACAAGTGATTCATTATAACCAATGCAATGGAGGTCGTTGTAAAAGTGGAAAAAATGTAACAAAAAACCGAGAAGTGGGTCAAGATTACGCTTGAATTAGAATATAATTAATTTTATAATTTCCTTTTTCTTAATTACTAATCTTTACTGCTATAAAACACTATATATTGAAAGAGAAAGTTGATAAACACGAAATAAATTAAAAAGGTTTAAACATTGTCTAAAGTAATGATATTGTATTTGGAACTGATTCCTAAATCTTAAAATGTAAGCTAGAATTCAATATAATGGTAAAACTATATTAAATCACGAAAAGAAATTTAATGAATGACCATGGCAGAATGTTTTAACAAAAATAAATAATCTATACAGAAAAAGTCCTTTGTGTGAATATTAAAAAAAAATTGCAACGTTTAAAAAGTATCTCGCAACTGTCCAAACACTTCAGAACTCATTATATCACAATCGAGTTACGAAATGGCCCTTGCTATGCGAAAAGTTTAACAATGTACAGTACCTGTTTGTTTTCGTGTAATATATATATACATACATACATACATATCTTTATATCTCGACCTTAGTGTGAAGGGGCGTGAGAAACACCTTTACTTTGCTCTGAATAGTGTGTGACATTTTCAAAGGAATTTTAATGTACGGTCAATATATTAAAAATATGAAGTATATACCACTCAAAATAATATTTTTTAAAGGTGTATATTTTATTAATCTTATTAAATAAGGCTTAAGTTTGTACTCTTTATTATCTGTGCCACAGTTTTATAATTGAAAAAGGTTTTACTTTTATAACTTGACATATATCTATATAAAAAATATAATACTGCCATGATTTTGTAAAAGTCTCTAATATTTTTCTAGTTCTATGTCATTTTTGATTTCTCTCATATTTTTTTCTTTATAAGTCACTTAGTGCAATCACATACTATTATATAGAAGTACGTAATTGGCTTTTAAAATACTTTCCAATGACCGTGACTAATACTTATTAAGTACTTTATGTTATACCAATTACTGTGCTTAATAAAACGATTTATTTTGGACATTTAAGAGTCTGGATATATTATTATAATTTTGCTTTTTACTTTAAATATTCTAAAGTGAACTTTTAATTTAGGAATGTTTATATAAAAAGTTACAAGGATAACCTCAATTTGCACTATGAAAAACGATAAAGACGTATTGAATATATAAATAAATGATACATATTTCTTTCATAAAACGATTATAAGATTAACTTAAAATGAAGAAACAAGAAATAAATTTGAATAGATAATAATATACTATAATCTATTTGGATGTTGATAAGGAAAACATCTCTTAATATTTGACATCAAGGTCGTGATGCGTCCTTCACAGATGTGATAAAACCAAAATTGTCTTTTATTTCTTTTTAAGACGAATATGAACCAACGATTTTAATAGTAAAAATTTGGGATTAAAATAAAGAGAACTAAATAATCAGTAATATAGGTTAATGTTTCTTGAACGTATTAAGCTTAGCTTTATATATTTTTATTATACTAAAGTTTGGTAGAAAACGTAAAATTATTTAAACATACAACTTCCTTGAAATGTCACGATATATATTATAATATATTAATTATCTGAGAAAATTTGCTAAAGGAAGAGAAATAACATAACAAATTGAATTAAAACACGGTCGGTTGAACACGGATACAGAAAAATTAATGGAAACAATATATTAAAAATCATAATATATAACTTAATATATGTGAGTTCAAACCAAAATATAAGTGTATTATTTTATTCAAATATATATAAAGATAATAAAAAACACGTAGTAATGCAAAAATATTACATTAAATTAAATGAATACTCGCGAAACTCTTAGATTTCCTTAATAAAAAGCATTTCAATCATCAACATATATTACACGCATTAGACCAATGTCTTGTGAAAACTCATCCCAGCCTCAATCTCTTAACCTCTCTTCAAGATGAAATATTAATTTAAATATTTCCACTATATTATATGAATTTATTAACAAAAAACCTGGTCAAGTGTCCTTTACAACGCAACCAAAACCATTAGAAGTTACAACCACTTTCGCAACCAACGTGGGAAATTGGAAGCGGCTGACGGTTTGCACAACCAATGTAGTGGCCGGTCACTGAAGAAACACTTAAAGACTTCCTGATTCACTACCATTGAGGTTTAAAGCTCAGATATTTCACTACAATTTGCTCTTGCCTACAAACACGTACGAGCGAAACGAATGAAAATTGCATTGTGTTACAAGTGGCGCCATCTATGATGTACTAACTATAATATAATACTTACAATTGTTTTTAGGACTGTTTATAATTAAATATAATACTGAACCATAGTAAGTTTGAAATGGTAAGATTTAAGTGTCAACTTGTATTTGAAAAAACTATAGCTATTTTGTGAGATTACGGGAAGTAACGCTGAAGTACATTGAAAAACAAATCTGCAACTGTAGCAAAGGGATATAAATATTTTTTTTAATACCAATGTCTCCATTCGAATAATATGTATGTAGAGAATACGAAATTATATTCAAGTAATTAATTCTATTTTATTGTATGTTTATTTGACGGAATTACATATATTACCTACATGCATACCCATATAATTATTTTAACATAACAATTTCCCGCGTTTCCGCTTCCTAATTTCAAATAATTGATTTATAATAATAATAATAATAATAATAACCAAAATACTTGTTTCGTATTGAAAAACGTATAAAAAGAAATCAATAAAATGTGTTTTTAAATACTTCTGAATATAAATCATACATGAAATGTATATTAAATCATTCTAAATAAAAAAAATATCAATGGATAATAATCGATAATAATCTAGTTATTTTAATATGTACAACCCTATTGGTATCGTTGCTCAACACGTTAAGTTTTTGTTCGTATAATTAGAGCTGAGATAAAGATTATTATAACGACGCCATTAAATATTACACGGTCTCTCATGACGTGACTGTTCTTGTAAATTAGATATTTAATACAGTTTTTAATACAACTGTTTAATTATTCACAAAATAAGATGTTACTATTGATATACAATTACTTATATCTTCTTCTTCTACCTGGCAATTTCCCAGCTTTAAGCCAGGGTCTGCTTAAGATGTTTTGAATAATTTTGGCTAGTTGTTTTTACGACCGGCCGCCTGCCTGACATCAACCCTCTTTGGGAATGCATTAATCAGTGATGTCTAAATACTCTTAGAAAGTACATTTGACTCGGAAAAATCACATTGGTACTTGCCAGGATCGAACCTGCGCCCTTATGCATGAGAGGCGGGCCTTTTAACAACTATGCCACCACTGACAATTACTTATATATTAACTATAAACTGATGATGAAGTTTAAATGCATGTTTTATAGGAATTAATTATAAAGTATTAGAATTCAGATTATTGTTTATTGTTAGGTATTTGAAAAGAATTGCTCATAATATAGTTGTTTCGCATTTGATCCCTTTTAATGCTATGAATAATATACAATATTTAATGACTATTCGTATAAATGTATATTTATATATTTAATTACCTTTGTTTACACAGGTACACAGCAAAGGATTGAAGTTTGGAATTTACGAAGATTATGGCAACTTCACTTGCGCCGGATATCCGGGTGTTGTCGGCCATCTTGCTGGAGGTAAAAATATATGAACTATTATAATCATAACTGAAATGAATGAACAAAATATGAATAGAATAAAAGGTGTAAAAATATTAATGTGTACATAAAATATTTAACCTGTATATAATTTTATAGCAAAAAAAAAATACATATCTTGTTAAATAAATTATTTTTTTTGTCCTTGAGAAAACCGTTTCATGTGAGATAAATTTTGAAACAGCATTGTTATTGCCTTTTAGTGTATACTAAAATCTATTATCTTTGAAAGTATATTCATTTTAATAATTTTAATTTAAAATAATCAATGAAACTGTAAAGCCTAATATATAGATATTTTTTTATAAAGGTTGACTAGATAAGCATAAATTATACCACAGAAAAACTCTTCTTATATTATTTAATATAACAATTGATTAATTGGGTTTTTGAAAAAAAAAAAAGTATTGATTTTTTTTATGTATTTTAAAACTTTATTATTAATTATATTGGATTTTTAATGCAAAAAACTTGAAATATATTTTTTAAATTAATTATAAACAATTAAAAATTGATAAAATTCAAAAATATATCACGTGACTGTAAACGCGCCATGATTGGTCAGCATACTTGTGACGTCATAATGTTAAAGCAATTTCATAATAGTACAGTGTTTATGGCTATTATCTTTAACTTGATAAAAATATCTCAAATTTATTAGTGAAAAACGATTTGAAAAGTTTATTTCGACTATGTGTGATAAAGGATTTATAAAAGCAAAATCGGATAATATTCCTGATGTTAATATATTTTTATGATAACTAATTTTTTAAAAAGTGCGGTTTAATTTTGCTGAAGTTCGAGGTGCTAAGACATCAAGGTAAGTCTGTCAAAAAATACTATTCTAAATGAAAATTAGTATTTATTCTCTATTAAATATAATTAATAATTATTTCATTAAATCATTATTAATAAAATGTTATTATAACATTATAAAAAAACCAAAATAACATATATGTACTTTAAAAATTTAAATGTAGTCTGATACAGAACCTAGAATGTTATAAAATTATGAAAATATCTATTAATTGAAGTCCAATTATTAGACAAACATATATATAGATTTACTATTTAATCGCTTTGAATTATCAATTAAAATTTTTTAATGCTACGATTCTAAAGGTTATGATTTGGAGCCCAGGTAAAAAAATTAATTATTGAACTATACTTATTCGATTTATACACTTAGATAAATAATAATTAATAACAATACTATTATGAAAACTTACAACGAAATGATCTTCACAACAAAAAAAAATGATTTTGTTTTTGAATAATCTCGATGCACTGCTTGAAACCATTTCTTTCGACGTTTTTCGTCTTGTGGAACATTTAAAAACATTTTTTCAGGAGTTGTTTTTGTAGTCTTTGTACATAATGGTACAAAACTTTTGATTATTTAACAATGCCAACAGAATTTACTAGATAAAAACTCAAAACACTGTACTAATTATTATATCTCTGTATGCTACAATGAGCAAAAACTAACATTGTGACGTCACACGCGCTCGGGTTTATTCACGAGCTGTCGGCTTGTCTTCGGTACTGAATTTAAAATTTAATTTTTATTTTGAAATAACTTTTTAAATATTGCAAAAAAAAATAAAATAAAAATAGTTTTGTTATTAAACTTATATATGATCTTTCCATTTATCACAAAAAAAAAAAATAATTCAAAAACCCAATTATATAAAAAAAAACAAATCAGAGACGTTAGCATTATGCTATTTTTAGGCTCACTTTAAACCAATAATTCCTCATAGATTACCTAACAAAAGTTTTATAAGTAATCATTAATATCAATAGAATGTAGCGAGTGTATTAAAAGTTATGTATTATGTAAAATTGGCGTGCAAGCAGCATTTAGATAGTTTCCTGTCTTTACTCCACACGGCATGTTGGTCCGCATTTGATTACTAACAACTTCCTAATGTTGGGAAACTCGCTTTAAAATTACTGTTATACGTATTATTATCTGTCAATTGTAGTATAATTTAAAATAAGACGATTGAAATACACTCTCAAATGAATTACCAAAAGTTATATGATTGAAACTCAATGAAATTCCTTTAATAAGAGCAAAAAAATATCCATTTTAAGCATACTTTTTAGAAAGATAAAGGAATTCTATTTAAATTTTTGCATTAAATCGTATTGAATATTAGTTTCAAATGAAATACAATTAGATCTGATAAGCAGAAAAACTAAATACTGTCAGTTTGATCGTTTGAATTACTGTTGTTAAGTCGTACCTACTAAGTAACAGTAGTTAATCACGCAATTATTCATACAATGTGTTACCACGGTCTGTAATCTCTATAGATCATCGCTTAGTCATAGTTTATAAGAAACATGTACAACTAATTGTTGTATCGAGTCTCAGAAGTCAATTAATGTTGATACAAATTACAGTTGTCTTTACTACATTTTATGGCGATCAAAAAAAATATTGATACAGAATCTTGTGTAAGAAATTATTCTTTTATGATGCAAACTTTAATAATCCTATGAGTATGATGATTTATCTAGTTTTTTTTTATAGCGTACTGCTATCCTCTGTATCTTTTTGAAGTAAAACTTCTTTACGCACGCTAGACTTGGGGGTAAGCTGGTGAATGCGTCACAAAAGCGTTACGAAAAGCGTGATCGGTCGAGGTGAATGAAAGTGTTAGATATTTCTTATTATATGTATTACATATAAATGAAGCGAAAGAAGTTTTACTTCAGTCTTGATATTTAAAGCACACTGGTTTTAAATCTTTTTTATTATAGTAATGTTTAAAACGTATTTTTAAATAAGGTTTGTTTTTGTCTAGGAGCCGTTCAAGTATTACGTAAGCACTATGGAGGGGCGGGGGCTCTTTGATTTGCTTATTTTGGATGACATAGGGGGTAGGGGAGTCTAGGTGATGATTGCGTCATCGGTAGTTATTTACTTTTTAATCGTCACATCGAGAAGATCCATAAAAAAATATAATTATAATATTTTTCTAGATTTATATAAAAAAAACAATACAGTAATTGAAAATGTTTACGTAAGCATGGGGGGAGAGGGTAAGAGCTTTGCTTACTTTTGCTGACAAGGGGGATGGAGGGGTAAATAATTGTAATAAATCTGCTTACGTAATACTTGAATGGCGCCCTAATTTTCATCAAATAGATTCACATATTGTCGTGATAGTTTTTGTGATACAAAATTCGTTCTCAGATGCATCAACATTCGCGTCTTGGGGTGTTGATTATGTCAAATTGGATGGATGTTATGCTCTGCCAGCTGACATGGACCACGGATATCCTGAGTTCGGACGACAGCTCAACTTAACTGGTCGCCAGATGATCTATTCCTGCAGTTGGCCGGTCTACCAAATATATGCTGGCCTTCAGGTATTAAAAAAAGAAAGAATTAATAATTTTCAGTGTCCATTGTTGTAACAAACGTTAAATAGCTTTAGATTTTGTCTGTACTGCTTAATTTTGGCCAGGCTAATCTTTGATCTTATCTATAATAAACCTTATTAAAAATCTACTCGTTAGCTTGTAATCCCTACTAATATTATAAATGCGAAAGTAACTCTGTCTGTCTGTCTGTCTGTTACGCTTTCACGCCTAAACCACTGAACTGATTTTAATGAAATTTGGTACAGAGATGGAATTGATCTTGAGAAAGAACGTAGAATAGTTTTTATCCCAGACTTTTGAAAGGTTCTCTTGGAAATGCGATTTAACCGAACTCCACGCGGGCGAAGCTTGGAGCGGAAAGCTAGTAATTTTAATTCTATTTCTATCAAAATCTAACCACGAAAATATGTTCACAGCCAAACTTTTCGTCCATCATCGAGCACTGCAATTTGTGGCGTAACTTTGACGATATCCAAGATTCGTGGGCTTCCGTCGAATCTATCATAGACTATTACGGAAACCACCAGGACGTGATCGTTCCCAACGCTGGGCCTGGACATTGGAACGATCCTGACATGGTAATTTGATTATTTTAACCATTTTACATATATTTTGCTGACCCAACATAAAAAAAATTGGTTATAATTTCGCTTAAGATACAATAGTTCTCGTTAGTACATCTGTATATCATTAAACCAAGTTTAAATATGAATAATATCTCTGAGACTTGGTATGTGAAAAAATTAATACGTCTCCAGAAAACTAATTTGGCGATCACATATTTTTAATCATTATTATTAATTATTGTCGTAAATTTTTGAGAAAGAAATCGAAATTATAAGTTCTGAGTCTTACCAAAAATATTTCCAGTTAATCATTGGAAACTTCGGTCTATCATACGAGCAAAGCAAGACTCAGTTTGCTATATGGGCGATACTGGCGGCTCCGCTACTGATGAGCGTTGATTTGAGAACCATCAGACCCGAATACAAAGCGATATTACAAAACAGAAAGATTATAGAAGTGGATCAAGATCCGTTAGGTATACAAGGCAGACGGATTTATAAGGTACTTTATGAATTTTAACTATAATATTTTTATAGCAATAAAATTGTGCCCATAGGAATAAATCTACTCTCATAATTCATTATTTTCTTATATATGTACTTAAAGATTTATAAGAATTTTATCTTTTTTACAATGACCTGATAATCTAACTTTCTTAAAATTTTTGATAACAACATAATTTTAGTCCAAAAATTGTTCTTATAGACGCAGTACAAGTTGAGTATTTAATTAAAATATCTGAATCACTTACAGCAAACAATTATTTTCTCTTATATTTCAAAAATGTTCTCGACTAAAAAATATAAATTGAATTAAAGAAATCTTCCACAAATATGATCAAGTATATCCATTAATATGGACTATATTTTCACCATTTTATTGAACTTCCAGCATCGCGGCATCGAGATTTGGTCTCGTCCGATCATTCCCATCCACGGACAATACTACTCGTATGCCGTGGCTTTCCTCAACAGACGGACAGACGGCACGCCGTCAGACGTCGCTGTAACCCTTAAGGAGTTGGGACTCAACAACCCCGCCGGGTACAGGGTCGAGGTAAATATTTGGAAATTTAGACATTTTGGGACACAATTATATGAGAATCTTCATTTTTTTCGTCCTATACAGTGGCGGGGCAAGACCTAAATTCGATGTGGGCAAAACAGATTTCGCGAAGCCCTATTCTATGGCAAGCAATTAAAAACGTCACTGTTTTCGGGGGCAATCAGTGGCGGCGTAAGGCGTGGGCGACGTGGGCCACCGCCTACGGCCTCGCGGTACAAGGGGCCTAGCGCCTCAAAAAATTTTTAAAACGAGAAATAATATATAAATAAATGAATTTTGTTGATAATGATATTTTCTTAGACTGGCAACATTTGCCGCCTACCAGAATGCGGGTTTTACCCCTGGTTTTACCCCTGGCGTTACGCGCATACCAAAAAAAACGTATGTACATATATAATTGTGTTATCAATATTGTTTATTTTTATGGCTGTACTTAAAAATGTTGATAAGAATAGTGTGGTCAATGTTTTAATAATATTTAGTGAATAAATAGATAGTGTTTAAGTATATTGATTGCCCCCGAAAACAGTGACGTTTTTAATTGTTTTTGTTTTCTTTGTGATTTGTAATAGGTACACCGGTACCTGTACTCGTCTTTATTTCATTAAGTAACAAATATTTAATTGGTAATAAGTATGTAACGCAATAATTACTAGTATATAAAATACGCTTTATACTGTGTTTTAAAGGAAACCAAAGCTTTAAGGGTAAACATCGTATCGACGATTAAGTTTTTAAAACTAGCAGGTAGTAAGAGCTTCAGGTTGCCATAGAATAGGGCCTCGCGAAATCTGTTTTTCCCACATCGAATTTAGGTCTTGCCCCGCCACTGGGCGCAATCAATATACTTAAACACTATCTGTTTATTCACTAAATATTATTAAAACATTGACCACACTATTCTTATCAAAATTGGTAAGTACAGTCATAAAAATAAACAATATTGATAACACAATTATATGTATATGTACATACGTTTTTTTTGGTATGCGCGTAACGCCAGGGGTAAAACCAGGGGTAAAACCTGCATTCTGGTAGGCGGCAAATGTTGCCAGTCTAAGAAAATATCATTATCAACAAAATTGATTTATTTATATATTTTTTTCTCGCTTTAAAAATTTTTTGAGGCGCTAGGCCCCTTGTACCGCGAGGCCGTAGGCGGTGGCCCACGTCACCCACGCCTTACGCCGCCACTGGTCCTATATCATGAGAATTAACTTTATTTTTAAATATTTTTTATGTATTATCGTAGTAATATGAATATTTTTTTAAGGTGCCTATAAATTTGTTGTTGTAGATAGGTAATTGCAGTAAAAGTGGCTTAAATCATTGTTTAGTATTAAAAGTAACATAATGTTGTTTAATACAAGTGAGCAGTCATTTTTATATAAGACTAGTTTTTGCTTGCAACTTTGCCCGCATTAATTTCTTTATAAGTAATATATGTATAGCTGACTGGGCGAACTTTGTTCCGCGTAAAGGCCGTAAATACCTAGATTTTGGAGAAGTTTTTCTGTCAGTTTCAAAGGAACAGATTCAAATATCTTCTGTCTTTCTCCTGGTTCTAAGCTATCTTTCAACCAATTTACAACCATATCTCTACAGCCGTTCTTGAGTTACAAATAGTGTAATTAACACAATTTTCTTTAATATACAGGGTGACAGGTGAATTACTATCAATATTTAAGGAGAATACTCGGTACATGATTCTCATTCGAATAATGTAAAAAAAATAGGTACTTAATTTTTGACCAAATTTCCATATGAATAAATAAAGTGTGGACACGTTCCAAGTGTGGACGCGTGCGGCGGCGTGCTGATACAACACCACGCCGCCGCACGCGTGTGTGTGTGTGTGTGTGTATACCTAATCTGTAGGGTGTTCACACGATGCGTAATTAATTACATAACTTTTGGTTAACTTTACTTAGAAGTTTATTAATATTTATGTTATACATATTAATTTTTATTTTGTCATATATGATCGTCAAATATCACATCCTCAAGTATCGATAGTAATTCACCAGTCACCCGGTATATAAGATGTAAACGTATAAGAAAAATGCTTAGTATATGTTTCATTGCAGGATTTATATGAAGACGTAGACTACGGTGTGTTATCTCCGGCGACCAAGATCAAAGTGAAAGTCAACCCTTCAGGTAGAAAGTGTCTCACTAAATTGATTTTTATGGAATATTTAAGAGCTTTCGTTTATATTCTGTAACGATAGAAACTTGCCTTCGCTTAAGACGGTTTAAGAAAACTTGGACCAAAGTCTACTTTTAGATAGACACATCTATTTTGTAACAGATATTGTATTCAAAATACGCCTAAACATGATACCAACAATATATGTACAATGCACATATTGCAAATGGCATTTATATTCATTAAGTATACTTATATACATGTAGTTACTTGTTAGTCAAAGAATCACTTTAGTTTATACCGTGATGCTTTACTTGATATGCAAATAACATTATTTTAATATTCTAATGATACATGTTTTCGCAGGTGTTGTCATACTACGAGCGGACGCTCAGCCTTCATACGCATACAACGCGATACCAACACGGACGCCATATTCACCACTCAATGATGTGTTCAGACTTCGCAAGTGATTTAAATCACATGCAAACTAACGCCATCTAGCGACTTAATGTATTTTAATTATAGCGCCATCTATTTATATGTTTTGTCACTTACTCCCTACTGAAACTAGCGCCATCTCTGTTTTAATGTAGTAAATAGACTTGATGAAAGTTTGTGAACCTATTAGAAAAGCTTGTAAAAGCCGCCATTGGAAATCGAGCCAAATGGATATATTGAATAACTTTGATCTGACTTAAGGTTGAGGAAAATTTACGAGTACAATAAAAAGATGGTTTTATTCTACAATAATTAGACTTATTTATTTGCTTCAAATTATAATATAAGTCTAGCTCTAAATACTCCAGTTGCTTCTATTCTTATCGCTATCAGTCTTATTGATATTTTTTATGTTTGATTGTATGTACTTAAATGATTATACGTCCAGTGTAAGTTGACCTATCTATTAAAATTCAAGTTATTTCTTGAACGCGTTCAGTTAATTTAGATATTTAAACTTAGTTACCATATCGGTAGTTTTTTTTTTTAACTTGCCCATAATTTATCATTGTATTTAACTCTCTCGATAGTGTGATTTATTGATATGAATATGAGAATAGATTTTTGCCATTACCTTGTACCTAGGATAAGGATGTACATTTTATTTGTGTATAATGTAAGTTTTGTAGAGAAAATAAATAATTTTACTTTTTAATACATATGTTATTTTATTGAAATCTTACTACTATTTTTATAAATTAACTAAATAGGTTCTAATATAGCATCACGTGGTTCTCTGTATATTTAAGTATTGATATTTTTAAACTTTAAATCGTAATTTATAACAAATTCTCGATTTGTAATCTTGCTTCTTGGTTGGGAAGTTGCTACCATTTCTTCTTCTATTATGTTGACGCTCCTAAACAAAAAAAAACATGTATGGTTATTATTTTTACATGGCAACTAAAATAGAAAAAAGGAAAAAAATGTTTTAAATAGTAAAGTATTGTATAAATACCTTTTAGGTCGTAAATCTAATATTTTAATATCAGTCTTGGAAGTTACTTCATCTTTATTGGTCCCAAGTTTTAAATTCGGCGCCAGATTTTGAACTTCCTCACCTTTAACAGAAAAGGCTCTTCCTTCACCAGCATTTTCAGGCTTTACTTTTGGTTCTAGCGAAGTGATATTCAAATTGTTCATTGTTTTACTATCAGCGACTTGCTTATTGGATAAAGATTGTGATTTGTCATTGGACCCTGCTACGTTTTCACTTGTACTAATATGCTGTTCACTTTTATTTGTTGTTGGATACGTTTTATTTCTTCGCGGAAATATCACTGTTTTTGTTATTTGTGATTCAGCTGCAGCGTTGTCATTTACCTCGACTTCTTTCACCAATTCGTCAGAATCACTATCTGTATTAACTCTGTCTTCTAAACTGGTATCTTCGTTGATTCTAGAGTTATTTTTATTGGCGTTTCTTTGTGTTTCTGAAATGTGGCTCCCAATCCTACCCTTTCTATCCCATACATGTCTCCCACGAGCCGATTCAGAATGGATGTAATGAGGTTTTATTGTGAATCTTCTGATTGTCATTAATGGACGTCTTGTTGTTGCTTTCATTCTTAACTTATTGCTTTTTTGATTATCATTTTTTATTTCAAGTTTACGCATCACCGGTTTTCGATTTTTTTGTACATTTTCTTCACTTACCGGTTTCCAGGACACAGAGGGTTTATTTACTTTATGTGTAAGGCTAGGAAATAATCCGATAGTCCGTCTTTCCGATACTACAGCAGGTTTCGATAAACGCCTAGATATAGTAATTTCATTATTTATAATATCAGTAGCGTTGTTACTTAAGCTTTTAGATTTCGTTTCATTTATTATACAGATAACAACTAGGAGAAGCTGAAAAAGAAATTAATTGTTAATAAAAATGTAACAAACACATAGAAACTTAAATGGATGATTTAAGAAGACTACGTACCCAAAATAACCTCATGGTTAAATAAGAAAAATAATTTCAATCTATTATAACACAACTTCACTCAAAGAACACAATTTTGATATGAACTTATCTGTACATTCGCGACTTAAATATAGAAACATTAATCATTTTAGGTACGACCCAATTACTTAATGTACCATAAGCTGGGTGCTTTCCTCGTAAATATAATTTCTTTCGTAGAACCTTAAAGAAGCGTAAATCATACTTAAAAAATGCTAATTACTTGATCTTATTAACAAACGATTCCTAATATCAGCTTACATGTTAAGGATTAAGTTTTTTCATATTAGATATAGAATAATAAATACATATTACTATATTTATTAGATTTGGTATATACTAAAAGATAAGATGGAAAAATAGCCTGTAATGTTAACGTATGGTTGCCTAAAATATAATAATTTAAGAAGCTTAAAAGAAAAGTACAATTGTCTGATTCTCCCCACCTACTCGTAAGCTATATAATTTTGTGGAATACTAATAGTAATTTTTTTTAAATATAATTTTGTTATTATATTTTAGATTTTAAATAATAAGTCTTAATAAAACATATAACCATCCAAAAAAAGATTGATCTTGAATTGTTTATTAGAAATTTAATTTAGTTCCCACTCACGCGTGATAAGACTTAATTTCAGGATCGAGATAAAAATAGTCCTAGTTACTCCATATTACATTAGCTACCTGCCAGTAAAAGTCCCGTCACAATTGGTCCAGTCATTTCAGAGATTAGCTGGAAAAAAATAAACAGACAGACAGACAGACGAAAATTTTAAAAAATGATATACCGTATACAGGTATACACTATACATTTTGATATGAATGTAGTAAAAAGTTGTTATTTTAATGTTACATACAGACACTCCTATTTTATTTATTTGTATAGATTAAAGATCAACTTTCAGTATTAAACGAAAAGCTCAAAAAAAATTGCAATGAAGATTATTTCTGCCTTCATTCTCCTCCATACTACTTGTAAATACGTAAGTTTGTCTATAATATTTATATATACATATTTGAATCACACACATTACAATCATTATTAAACTATTAATTTAAGTGAATACAGACTTTATAAACAAGTGCACAAGAATTACCATCAAGTATTCAATATTTCTCTCATTAGCCTTTCAAACTTATACAAAGTATCACGTAGATCCTTTATGTCTAAAATTTTATATAATATTATGTATTATGTATAAAATTACTAAAACTTTTCTACCTACCGACGGATGAAAAGAGAGCCATCACTATTCAGTAGACATTAAGAATTATAGTTGAAATTGTATTTCTATTAGATTATAATCGTATGAAAAACGAAAATTACCTAGCCCAAAATAAATTCGGAGTTTCTTGTTTTTATAGTTACACTTAAGTCTTCGTATATGATTGTATTAAGGTCTGCCCGTGATCACGGTTGCTGTAAAGTAGCCGAAACGTCCGGAGTGTGTAGTTTTTATCAAAATAAAGTCGTGTAGTATATCCGCAAAATATTAGTTTCATTTAATTGTATTAATATAGATTTATAAATGAAAACGTACAAACTCTCCCTCGTTCTTCTCTCTCTCTCTCTCTCTTTCTTTGTGATGTATACTTGTGTTAAGGGTACAGCCCCCTCATATCTAGAGTTCTAATCTTCAAACAAATTTCAATTTCGAACTTTTTATGCATCTTGTCATAGAATAGTACCAAAGTAAGTAATTATGTGACGTATTCGAAACAGTCTATTTTTAGTTAACGATGCAAGCTATCAATCTCATCTAAAGTTATAGTAAACTTTACTAAAGTTAGTTAAAAAACTCATAAATAAACTGCTGACTATTTATTCATCAGCTATGCTTTAGCTAATATCACATGATATTGTAACTTATTTAGAAATAGGTAACATTAGGTTAGAGATAGTCTCAGGTTTCTAAATAAATTATGTAGTACTATCAAAAATCTCCTGAACTGTGTTAGTCTAAGCTTATATCGTCATACTGAATATTAAGCATTTCGTGTCTTCCATTCAACACCCTGAGTTTATTCTATAACATAGTGAAAGCTTCAGTCAGTCAGTGGTGGCCTAGTGGTTAAAAAGGCCCGCCTCTCATACACGAGGGCGCTGGTTCGATCCTGGCCCTGGCAAGTACCAATGTGATTTTTTCGAGTCATATGTACATACTTTCTAAGAGTATTTAGACATCCCTGATTAATGCATTCCCAAAAGAGATATGACGTCAGGCAGGCGGCCGATCGTAAAAACAATTAGCCAAAACTATTCACAACTTGTAAGGCCGACCCTGGCTAAAGCTGGGAAAATTGCCAGGTAGAAGAAGATGATAATGAAAGCTTATGAATGACAATACTTTTAACGCGTCGTACGTAGTGTGATTATACACAGGTAGGGGTTTCGGTACAACTATTTTTTATCAATTGGATACATTCTCGTTGAAGTTAAATAATCTGTAAATTTCACATAAAAATTAGGTCCAATGAAAGTAAAATTTTGTTTGCTATGAGCAAAACAGCAGAAAGGCTGATTTTCTATTGTTTATAAATCGGAATGTTAGCTGTATAATACAGTCGAAGATAATAAGTTTAAGTGAATCCAAATGAAATAATACTGGTTCGTTTGAATTGAAATATTATAAGGCCAAAATTACACCTGATAATTTTGTATCAAGAAAATGAAATAGATACTAAATAGTCACTGGGACTTCGGTAATTTTTCTTATATACATATATTTCGTATTATTCTTCAATCTTATTTTCATTAGTCCCTAACTTAAAAAAAGTTTGTGTGATAATGCTCGAGACATAAATATTTATACTTTTATAGCGTTGTTAAAGGAAATTATTTGTAATATATTTATGTCTGGTATAATTTTATTTTATTAGGTATATTTATAAATTTAATAATTAACTAGATAAAATATAGTTTATTATAAATTACCTGTTAGTTATAGTTAAAGAAATGACTCGATAAGTTGATAATATTCAATTAATTACAGAAATAAAATAAAAAATAAATATATTTGGAATTCGTATATTTTATTGCGATACTTATATTAAGAGCAATTGAGTAACAAATTATAATTAAATGGTTCTTTCTCAAAATGCTATATTAAATAATTAAATTATGTATACATTCTTCGATTATTTATTTATATCCGAGAGGAACTTGGACAGTGGAGGTGAGCGTTTAAAGCCCGTTAGATAGGGGTCCCTTCAACCTACACCTGGGTCGCAAGTCCCAGGCACTGTTGAAGCTCCTCTCCCTGTAACGATGGACCCGGCACTCTCACGGTGAATCCATTGAATGTTAAAAGGTTTCTTCTTTATTTCACTGTATTAAAATAACTAAAATATCCACATATCCTCCTCTTTATCTTTGCTCAATTTCTTCCAAACTATTATCTTTCTTATACACGGTCACGTTTAATCTTTTTCCAAGACTTTTCTATTCAGTAATACTTGGTCTAACTATTTTTACGGGTGGACTTCTATTGTATATCGCCAAATTGAACTTGCCAATTCTTCTATTGCTGTTTCCATTGGATACCGCAGTAACTGGTTCAGGGTAAGATTGTTGAGGTCTTTTGGTAAACCTCAAGCTTGCAATCAATGGTTTTCTTGATGTTATTTCTACTTTTACTATATCAACTGGTTTTTGATTCCTTTTTATTTCCACTTTTCGTGTTACAGCCGTCCTATTAAATGAATGTATAGTTTCAACTTCGTTTTTTATTTTTGGATTTGAGTTGTACTTAGACGTACTGTCTTTATATCTTAAGATTGGAAAAAGACCAATATGTCTCGTTGAAGGAATATGACGAAATGATGTCCGAGTTGAAGGTTTTGTGACGTTCGTAATATTTCTTTCCATTACATGATTTCGTAAGCTTCCAGCATTACATGTATTTATTGTTATTAATACGAATAAAAATACCTGTAGAGAGGAAAGAAAAATATAGTCTATTAATCTATAAATTCAATATAAAATAAATTTATTATTATAGCATTATTATTTATACATACCAATAACTGTTTCATTTTGTCTGCTTTTATTTATTTTTTATATAAACTTGCTATTCAGCCTCTTATTTGCGAAATAAATTTAAATTATTTAATCCGGCTTAAATAATCGAAATTTTTAATGGTTTAAGTCATTCATTAATCACTTAATTTTAATTATATAATAAATGATAATCATTTACTTATAAAGATATAAGTATTTCTACGTGAGCCATTATTGTTTTTAATGATGTTAAACTAGCTAATTTGTAATTTTATAATAATTATATAACGAGTGTTAGAGAAATAAATAACTTTAACAAAATATTTATGTTTGAAACAAAGCAGATACGATTTGAAATGAAAATAATGATCAAACATCAAAGGAAAAATAAACAAAATATATATTCTACATGTTCAAGGGATTTCGATTTCATCTGTCACATATACATAAGTTTCTTTGCAAATTATTTTTTAGAAATTCGTAATAGCCACATGATTATTTTATTACTGAATACAGAATCTTCACTTGATAATTATAATAAAACACTATACTTTATATTCATAATGATCTTAGATAAAAGTGATTCTGGTACTGTTTTAATCTTTTTATTTCTTAAACAATAGATTGATATAAAATTTTGAACCGAACATTCTTGGCATTGTTACACTTAAGGGCCATAGGTCACAATGACATGTCCGGTGTGATAAAAGGACATTGACTTGCTGTTTATCGCAAAATAATAGACCTCGAAGTCGGAACAAACTTACGTTTTAATTAAACACGATTCAACAAATATATAAACATTATATAAGAATACCCTCTACCTCAAAATCAGGTAAGTGGGTTATAGTTCGTCTGAAATCTGGTATAGTACAGCAAAAAGTATATCCTTCGTTTGGATTATTCGGATGCCAGGTCAGCCAACTAAATTGTGGTTTCTCTTTACAAACGTCGTCGCAGAAAATCAATTGTTTTATTTTTTCCACTGTATAGTGTGGATTATTGATACCGACGAATGCTATACCGTTTTTACTACTAGGCTCGTAGACAACTTTGTAAAAATATTGAGGGATTGGTATGACGGGGTTGTTGTTCTCATCGGTATATAGATGCAAGTCTACCCAGTAACCAACATGATTCAAGAGTTGAGTCACTCCATACGTTCCAGTATATATTACTGTATTGTATCCCGCTGCGTGTATATGATTCCTCAGATCTACTTCCAGAGTATTCCAGTTGCCACCATTGAAATTTTTCCATTGCGGTGCGCAATTCACATAGTGGAAGGTAGCACGTTCTCCGAAAGCGAATACGAAATCTGTTTTAGCAGCTAAATGTCCTCTAGATAACTCTTGGGTTGGCGTTATATAATCCTTTAGCTTCGTCCCAACTAGCTGTGCGACGGCATACTGCTGGCCTTTTGGTGAGAAATACGAATCAACTGGGAAACCGTAATTACCATCGTCTATAAAAAACGGTCGCTCGACTCTAGTTTGATAGTAAGCATTGTACGGCTTTTGAGTGTACTTCGAATATATAGGATTACGTGTGCCATAATTGAAGCAAGTTTCGTATAAAGGATAAAATTGATTCTGGACATTGTAACCAACTTGGACGATTTCGTTACCATCGAAGCACGTTTGATTCGTTCGTTTGCTTATATAATTTGGCGGGTATTGACATTTGAAGAGAGTAAATCTAGCAGGAGATAGAAGCCAGTCGTTATTCTTAAAATTATCACCGCCTTCACAGAATATGTTGGATGTTATGAGCGATTGTGTGGCGCTGGCATGTAAAATAGATCCAGAACCTTCGCAGCTTATAGTCAATTCGTCTCCAATATTCAAATCAATATTACCGTCATTATCGTTAGGTTCTAGTAATCTTCCATCTCTTATAATAATAGGAAGAGGTTCACCAAAATGAGTTCGTGTGTTTAAACGACAATTCTGTTCTGTGTGGATATTAAAAGCTGCAAGAATAGCGAGATAGACCTGACTGAACATGATATCATTATTAACTTAAGATTTATCAATTATTTGTAAACTTTATAAAACTTTAAATTTTGATAAAGTTGAAATATTTTGTCAATATGACAGTTTATTTTTTGAAATAATAATGTAAGCAACGGTTTAAAGATATTAAGTTTTAATAAAAAGTCCATTTCATGTCAAATTTATTAAAATAATTGTAATTTTTAATATAAGTTTATTGTTCTTAATTAAGATGTAATGAACAAGTAGTGATTTTAATTTTTAGTATGAAAATGATGTATTTTAAATAAAAAGGAATAATACTTCTACAATTTTAACTTCTACAAAGAGATGGCTCATTTTTAATTTTATAGACTGAAAGGTGAATTTTACGCCAGGTAAATATAATTACATTCTTTGTCTGAAAAAGGGTATACAATCTATTTTTACAATACTTTCAAAATCCAAGCAAATTCTCATAAAAAAATATCACAAAAGGACCTAATCTTCAAGGACTTTTTTTACAAATCTCTTTTTAAATACAATTCTCTATATAAACGGTTGCAAGAAGGTCGGTTAAAACATTTTTTTTTAATATCAATTGTTAAAGGTCTACACTCTGCAGTCATTTATTATATTGTATTGGAATAATTGTATACATTTTAATATATTATACGTGCGTAAAAAATTAATGCTAATCAGAAATTTTAATGCATTCACTAATCAATGAATGTATTTAGTTTAAAATAGCCAGTTTAATAGTAAAAAGGGACTTAAACTTCCGAAATATACAACGGACTTTATTTTAAAACCTCAGGGCTCAGTAATGTGTCACTTCGAAGTCATCTGTCGAGATGAAAACACGTAAATTATGACAATCTAGTGTGTTATTTATTATTGAATTTAAATTAAAAACAGTGTGTTTGAAAATAAAATGAAACGAACGGTGAGTTATTTTTATATTACATATTATAATTTTAATTATAGTTTTTCTATGAAAGATATTTGAGAAATGTGGTATGTTTTATATGGAATAAATGTTTAAAAATTTCATTATATTTTTTGATATAAAGCATTTGAAAAAAATATGTACTTTTTTATAATAATATTATTATTAACTTGGTTACTTCATGAAATAAAAACGTTTAATAATATAGACAGGAACTAAACACGCTTAGTCATTTCTTTTTATACAATTAAGAAGTTAATTCAATGTCCCACTTACGTTCTAAATAAAGAAACGGTCACAGTTTTTCGTTTTTATGAAGTCTGTTAGTAATTTTGTTTTATTCCCCCCTGGAGAAACAACTGAATTCTTCTTTTTTCGTTGTGTCCCAAAATAAACACAGTTTAGTTTTTTATTTAATGTCTCCTTTAAAGTATTATTTATATATTTAATGTAAAGAAGTGTAATAAACGAAACCAAATCTATTATTTGGTTAAAAAAAGTAAATAGATCGTTATTTTTACGTGATTTGTTATTTTGGTTAGTGACATGCGCCATACGGAAGTGTGTTCAAAGTATTGGTCACATAATGATAATATTATTTGAGAATAACCACGTTTTGTATTTATATTCCAGATAATAATACTCATTTGCTTGTTGTTAGCCAACATCAGCATGGCGTACGTGTTACCAACATCACTCAACACGATGGACAAGCATACCAACATAACAAAGTATTCCGAGGATTATAAAAAATATAATTTCTTGATCACTACGTACTTATAGCAGACAGCCAATGAATGACAATAAAAATGATTTTATATAATAAAAAAATATATTAATATTACTCACTGGATCTGTGATGTTTATAATAATATTTAATAAAATATTTTTTACAATTTATTCATTTTTTTATTTCTTTAGTTTCGTAGGATTCACGGATAGAATAACTTTTAAATTGTTTTTTTCTTGTCATGTATACTGTACGAATACCATCTATATACAACACTTAATATATTTACAGAGTCGAGGGTTCGATCCTGGCAAGTACCAATGTGATTTTCGAGCCATATGTATTTTCTAAGACTAAAGAGTACTTAGGCGTCACTGATAAATGCATTCCCAGAGGGTTGATGTCCGGCAGGCGGCCGGTCGTAAAAACAATTAGCCAAAACTTTTCACTTTTGTAAGGCAGACCCTACCTATATATCACTTTATACATTGTTGAAAATAAATTCCTTTGCCAATAATCAATATGTCAATATATTAAGTCTTCTTCTAACTGGCAATTTCCGAGCTTTAGCCAGGGTCTGCCTCACAAAATTGAAATTGCCAGTTAGAAGAAGTCTTAATATATTGACATATTGATTATTGGCAAGGCATTTATTTTCAACAATGTATAAAGTGATATATAGGTATACATATATTGTTGATAGTTATTATAAATGCAACGTTTAATAGTTTGTACAATTTGATCTGCAGCGAAGTTAGGGTCGGGTCCCTGATCAAAATAGTTTAAATGAAACTAAGTTTTTCGGATTTCATGTGTTTTTTAATTATTTTACATCTAGATGATCCCGATGTTTCGGTTCGTTAACAGCCACCGTGATTACGGGTAGATGAGATGAAAGGACATCTTTTATTTAGAGTAGGTAAGTATCCCAAAATTTTTGTTTCATTTAAATGTATACATACGAAAATATGAACCCAAAATATATCACTGTTCGAACCTAAAACAGTCTTTTTTTGTATCCTTAGGTCCATTCTAATAATACGAACAGGTTCGACAAACTATTAAAATAAATATAATTAAAAATTTAACAGAAATTGCAGCAATAAAATAGCTATTAGTATCTTCGCCTTGCTACACCAAAGAGAGTATCAATCGGTGCTGTCAAAATAGCTACATATATAGCTAAGGCCCCAAATTTTCTTTCGTACAGTGAAATATTTGATCTTTGTCGCTAAACCAAATGATTCACTAACAACACGAACAAACTTCATCTGGTAATTACGGTCATGACCCAATTAAGTAAAATTATTTAATGATAATTAAATAGCTTATATAAATGAGGTCTATGTTTTGAAAATTCAAAAGTATGAAAAAATTCGTGAGTTCCACAATCTCGTCATGTTTTCGCATCACGTAAGTACTCATTGGTTTAGTACTTGCAGCTTGTATTTTACTAGTAACTTTACCCGACTTCGCGTACATACGTACTAAAACATTGGAGCGTCGGTGGTGGCTTAGTGGTTAAAGGCCCGCCTCTCATGCACGAAGGCGCGGGTTCGATCCTGGCAAGTACCAATGTGATTTTTCCGAGTCATATGTACTTTCTGAGAATATTTAGATACCACTGACATACGGTGAAGGAAAACATCGTGAGGAAACCTGGACTTATAATTTCAGAATTATAAGTTTGAAATCACCAACCCGTCTTGAGCAAACGTGGTGATATTGCATTCCCGAAGAGAGTTGATGTCAGGCAGGCTACCGGTCGTAAAAACAATTAGCCAAAAACTGTTTATAACATGTAAGGCAAACCCTAGCTAAAGCTGGGGAAATTGCCAGGAAGAAGAAGTCGTACTTTGGCTTCAGAAACTAATCTTATAACTTTTTTGTCTGTAATATTCAATTAATGAGAAGTATCTCTTTAAATAAACAGTATAACTGAATTAGTTTTATTTAATAAAAATAATTTCAGTTGTTTTTTTTATAATAGAATACCAAAAAAACATGCGTAAGTCGATTATCCAATTTATAAAAGTAGTCTTGCTAAAGCAAAAACTTATTACTCAATATGATTTTTTATGAAAAACATTGTTCTGAATTAAAGTTGTTTTTTATTAATAAAAAAAAAACATTTACTTCCAGATAAGGCTTTTAATATTATGCCTAACTACTGTACTAGCAGCCACAGATACCAAACAAGACGCTCCACTTTCGAGAATAAGCACTCCTGATAAGAAAGCACATTTACTCAACAGCATCGCAAACAACAATTTTTACTCAACAACAGCCAACAACAGCGCCATGCCGACAGAGAATGACGTCATAATACAACAGGAGCATAATTTACTTGGGCTAATGATGATGATTGTTACAAGACTGAAGGGTTTGAGGTCACTGAAGCTATCGGATTTGAGCTATGAAGTATTGACTAGACTTTTTGCCATGTTCATGTCATTAATATTTGGACAGAATGTTAATATACTATGGCCACAATTCATAAATATTGCTGTGCCGTTTTTGAAGTAAGTTGCTATAACCGAGAGGTATATAATATAGAGACTCAGATATTTTTATTATATAATTATTGTGTAATTGCAGGTTGCTAACTGCGTGATTCGATGACAAGCGTTGCAACTTAAAAACCTATTTATTATGAATAAAAATAAAACAAACATTATCTTCCCTTATTTTATTGAAATGTAGACATAAGCCAGCACTGAACCAAAAAGTTTCATATCAAAATATTCAAACACAATTATCGTCAGCTCGTCTTCGAGTTGATGGCATAGGTTCTTTGAACCTTTGCATTGATCTCCAACAGGCTTTCGCAGAGGCGCTATATGTGTCCATATATTCCGTTCTACCGGGGAATTCCGTGAACCAAGTCTGTATTGACTTGGGAACTACTCCCGTATGAACAACGCCTGGTGGATTTATGGTAGGTCGAACTGTTGGTGGCTTTTCAGTGAAATGCGTTGGATCTTTATAACATCGCAACATCCCTAACTTATGACTCTCCATTGGTACAGGAGCGCTAGATTGCGCCGCCGCCATTATTGTTCTATAATCTGACACTGGAAAAGCTGTTGGTAATAATTAAGTATTATTTGAAAGTTTTATATATAAATAGATTATTTACTACCCAAAAACTCACATCTCTTTTTATAAGTAGCTTGATACATCGTAATCATTTTTGTATCCAAATCATCGCATGGATGGTCCAAAATGTCATTTGTCACATCCACCATCTGATAGCATTTAATATTATTAATAATATACATGGCAAAGGATTATTTCATCCAACCAATATGGCAAAGGATTATTTAATTCATCCAATATCAAACCTGCTTTCTCAATAATTCGTAATCATGGCATAGCTTGTCTTCCTTTTCCAACAACTGCTTGTATTGTTCTACGCGGGGCGAGTATGAATGAGCGTCGCAGTGACAGTACGGAGCTACGGGGGCTGGTCGGATGGTTGGAGCCGCGTCCGGAGTTGGAGGCTCGCATGGTCTGATAAGTTAGCTTAGCTTTACAGTATTATTGGAAGAATGAAAGTAAAATAAACCCTAATAGGAAAGGCATTAAAGATCAAATATCGATGACAATGTGGTCATCTCAAAGGAGGTAGTCCTATTTGCCTACTGGGAATAAACAGATCCTTTCAATGCGTGTGAGAATATTATTGTTCAGACATCTACTGAGATATCTTACTTTCTCTCCCTCCCAAAGTTATTGAATAAGTAACTCATAAGAGAACCCATTTTAATTACAAAAAAATACTATTTTAGCCAACTAACTCAATGATTATCGGAAGTTATTCCTTCTAACAGAATAATTTTAAAATAAAAAGTGTAACATTAGTAATATGATAACATAATAAAAATGAGTAAAATTGTGAAATCATCATATACCTATCTACGTCTTTATTTGAATGAGTTTTTGAATCGCCAAAAGTAAATTTCAAGTCCTGGTTTTGCAAACCAATATTATGTTAACTAAGCCATAAGTCATAACGTAGTCCCTGGGACACGAATCCGAAAAGCGAAACAAGTTTATTGGTTTATATCACAAATGGAGTGTTTTCTCTATAAATTATTATAAAATAACCTTTAATGCAAATTTACAAACTCACTTTCCTACTATTGGTTTTGGAAAAGGCCATTGATAATCACTGTGCACCGTAGTGTCGAAACCCATTTTGTACCAAGCTTCTTTTGCCTAAAATTTTATCACTTTATTTACATCGACAACACATAATACTTACTGGAATGAAATATTTTTATTCAAAGTAAATTTATTAGCTTACCTTAATTAATTACGTTAATATTTTTTAAATTTACAATTACTACTCTTGCTAATTGACACCCTACATAATTTAATATAGCTTTTGAAGCCAAAAATTTGATTTGTAACAAAATTTCATCAATGAGGGAAGATAAAAACATTTTGTCTTTATTTATTTTTATTTTTTTTAGTTAATGGCAGCATAGCTGCTAGTAACATTCACAAAATACATTGTCTAATATTAAATGACAATGACAGTTATTATTTCAACTTTGTAACATCTAGCAAGCGTATAAAACATTTTAGCTGGCAACATTAATGTTTTTCTGTCATCAGTCATCAAATCAGCTGTGTATCACTCACTGGGAACATGTAACATAACAAATGTGCGTATTTAAATTTTCGGTGTGAAAATGTCCACTGAGACAATTGATAGAAGAACTGCTCAATGTTTATGATAAATTTGTGGTGGAAGCAACATGGCGCGCCGGAGGAGCAGCGGTATAACGAGTCTGGGGTTTAACCAGGACCAAGGTATTTTACTTCCTAGTTCGTCAACCCAAGTTCTTTGTTCTCACTACATGAATGATATACGCATGTTCAAGGCGTGTATAGTAATGATGAGGTCGGTGTACAATGTTGATGCGTTATTTTCTGCATTACTATATCCCCATTGTTGCCACGCTTCTGCAAAGCCCCACGTGTTGTTTATATTTTTAGTGACGCCCACGTAATTCAAACTTCACACATATAAGCACTGTTCGTAATTAACTTGCCATTGTTTTTGTCTCACACTATATACAACTAAGTACAGCTAAGTTGATAAGAAATTACAAATATTTGTATTTTAAAGTAACATATGTATAACAATGACTCATCAGTCAAGTTAAACTTATGTTATGAACTTTTGGGGCAAGGTAATAAAAATTCTATTAACCGTTAAACAGTTTTACATAAAGACAATAGAATTACATATTGTTATTTATTGAATGACAAGTTTTTTAGCCAACATTGTCTAAAACTTATTTAGTTTGTTTCAATTGTAAAAAATACACTTGAATAAACTTCTTTAAAAACAATCTTCAAATTAGTTTTAGTACGACCTTGCATCTAAAAATATATTATCTTGTATTATTTTCTTGTTATGAAGTATAAACAAAATTTCGTGTTTAAACTATTCCTTATGATGAATAGTATGAATCTAGTAAAATTTCAATTCATCACATCTTTTCCAATAGACTGTCTTTAATACATACAAGTTTTTAAAACTATTATAAATGCAATCTATACTTTTGTACGGTCATGTAAATTAAATACACAATCTGTAAAATAACTTCTTTTTAAGGAGATCTAAGCCTTTTGTGAGTATTCATTTAAATGTAACCAACATTTTCTATTACTACCCATATTTTATTATTTAAAAACTATATAATTCTCACGTTTTATTACTTTCCAGCAACTTAGATCACGGACAGACAAGATATCTTGTTTTTTAAATAATAAAATAACTTCTATTTCATATATTATAAGAGTTATTATTGTCTGCAGGCTGCTTCACATGCTGCCTAATATCGGGCCTGCGCGTATACAATGTTGACCCTCTGGTTGAGAAAGCACATTATAGTAAGTATATATATACAAATATAATAATATACTTATTCTATTCTGTATTATATATGCATCTATTATATAAAAAATGCTCTTTGAAATACTCATAATAATCATTGTAAAACAAGTTTTATTCCTATTATTTTCTTCATTAATGCATCATATTGTTATCCTTAAATGAAACTGACACTAATCCTCTAGTAATTTGTTGAATTTATATTGTCAATACCAATTAGCTTTTAAATATTGTGTATGTTTCTTAAATTACACTATCAAGCTAGTTTTTTTCATTTTATTGTGGGTAGATGTCCAAATAAAAAATGACAAATTTATGGAGGCCATTATTGTGATTCCAAAAATGTAAAAAAGGTTTTCTTTTAAGATGTAACCAATTCTTTATTCCACCTGAACATATTTTAATGTCATTTGGCATCATAACAAAAATAATTTTCTTAGGATTAATAAAATTAAAGAATTTGAAATATAATAAGAGATTTGTAATCCATTAATCAATCTAAAAATCATATAGGTCTATATGTGGATACACACAAACTATCAAAATATTGTTAGGGCTATAAGACCTTTACATTAGACTAATGAGCACATATTATTCTTTAATTAAAATTAGTATTTATTTAGCAAGATTAAGTATTTATTTGTTTGCATTAATTGATTAATGTTTAATTTTATTTGATATGGATGTAATGTTTGAAATAAATTTATTTTTATTCAAACCCAATAGGTAAGGAGGAGCTTGGTGAAGTATCTCTCTGTGAAATGGTGTTTCGAACTAACTGGTTACTAGTAGTTCGTGCGAGACGACCATGCAGCCTCATGCTTCTTGACGATCAACAGAGAGCTTTCAGAGCCGAGGTCCTGTTCAAATCACCAATACGAGCCTTGAAAGCTAGGAAGGATAAGTAAGTATGATACATTAACTGCTATGATGGCAATATGATTTAATTGCACCCATCCAAAAATTCTTACACAACGCTAGATGCTTCTGTTCAAAGATCCAATCTTCATAGAAATATATGTCCTAAACATAAGTTTTTTTTGGCCTTAAAAGTACAACCACTAATAACCCTACACATTACACCAAACACCCACAACGTCGTTTCTTACGAATATGTGATCTCTGCTAGAGTAAGTCGTCTTCAAATTTGATCACCAAAGAATAATCGATCGTGATCTTTTCCCAACGTAGACTAAATACTAAATTTTTGTCTCTTAATTACACCGTAGAAACACATTATTTGTACCTTCAGACCTTAATTTTATAAGTAACTCACCTAACTAACTACTCATCCTCATTGGCACTGAATAAGGCAAAACAGCAACCTCCTAAATGCATATCGATTTGTTTTTGTCTGCAAACATCAGGTCATTTTGCATCTACTTTCATATAATTTAGATGGTTGATTTTTCGCTGCTGATTATATTAATAATATATGTTATTAAGTTATTTTTCTTTATCATCTGTTCAAATCAATTCAAAAATTTAACGGTTTCTTATATTGTGTATACAGTATATGGATAAACATAATAACTAATAAAAAAACAGACAGAAGTGACAGTTCTTTGTCATATATGACGTCATCTTGACATTTGACAGACACTCTTTTGTCTTTTTTAGCTATGGAGATCTCCATTACTTACTCCTTTTCCTTCTTCCTGGCAATTTCTCAGCTTTAGCCAGGGTCTGCCTTACATGTTGTGAATAGTTTTGGCTAATTGTTTTACGCCCGGCCGCCCGCCTGACATCAACCCTCTTTGGGAATCAGCATTAATCAGTGATGTCTAAATCCTCTTAGAAAGTACATATGACTCGGAAAAATCACATTGATACTTGCCAGGGCCAAGATCGAACTAGGCTACCACTGACTTACTCCATTACTTACTCATTTGTCTACATAAATATATATTAATATATAATTGAAGAGGAAAAATTAAAATTAAGTATTTCTAACAAAATCGTAGAACAAATATTAGTCACGTTCATAAAACAGTCAAACAACGATTAAAATATCAATGTTCGTTGCAAATTTGACAGTTGTCACAAAGCTCAAATGATCAAATAGTTTTTTTTAACACACAAAGGTTTATAATTTTAGCGACTTGGATTAAATATTCCATAATTATAAGTCAGTGACGCATACAGTAAGGTCAAACGCGACTAAAACAATGACAACGGTTAAATACAATAATCTTTGGTGGTTAAGCCAAATATTTATAAGGAAACATTATTTTATTTGCTTGAGAATTCAAATCTAAGGATATCTCTGGCTATAAAGTTACAGTTTACTGTTAAAAATATATCTATGTATATTTAAATCAGATTTCGATATAATGATTTTAAAGTCTTCCGCGTGGGATGTTTAAAATAACATACACTTTAGACTATTTATAAAATATTCCATACAAACTAACGCGTTTATACTCTAATATTAAAAGTAAATAAAAATCTCAACACGTATTAGGAAGTTGTTATGATTGTAAATTATTTATTAGCTACATACGTATTTAAATTTAAACGAATCGATAACACAACCTTAACCGACTAACCTAGTGTTTTAATTCACACCATCTATAAAACAAAGAAAATTCTACTCTATTCTATTCATATAAAGTTGTTATTAGATATAATAAAATACAATATAAAAATGATAAATCCTTATCAATATAGATGATAAATAATACTTTATGACATTTTATTGTTTAATATTATTTATATCAGCTGTCATAGTTATACTATGACGTACAATATTGCCGCACCATAAAATTCTTATCGCTCAAATACATACATCCGAGTACATACTGAGTAAGGCATAGAAAAAACTCAAGTTATGTTTAATATTCAATTAAGTATTTATAGTTTAAAATTCCTGTATAATATGAGGGATGTGGTATTCATAAAATTGTTGTGTGTATGAGAAAGAGAATATCATTTAGTATCGACTTCAAGATGAAAATATTTATCTTGTTCAATATTTCTATTAGTGTATAATATATTGAAAACTTGTATGTTTTTAATATGATTATCCCTAATTATTAGCATTTAAGAAAAACAAAGACATTAAAATAATAAGTCACAACAAATACACGTAAAGATATAATAAAATAGAACCTTACTTTAAAATCGGTTTATAAGTATATAAGTTTTTTAAGCTCGGCTTAAATATGTATAGGATTTCATTAATTTAATTCATTTAAGAATTAGTTTTAATTAGTATACCAGAAAAATATAGTAAAGTATAGAAAGTAGGGTTAAATTAATTCCTTGTAAAACATCGCGTGAGTTAAAAAAAAGTGTATGCAATTTTGTCATTAAAAACAGTTTAAAAAGTTTATTTTTCAATTCCTATAAAAGTTTAAGGTCGCATAAATTTCTTTTAAACGTCTTTTCTAATGTAAATGCTCATTAAAATGTAAAATTGCTATTGATAAAATTATAATTAGATTTAAATGAAACTAATAGTTTTCAGATATACTACGCAACTTTATTTAATATTTGTGCGTCGGCCTTCAGACCGGATATATTTTTGTTTTCGCGAATTTTAAAGTGCGTAGTAATAATAGAGCTTACGGTTTCTTGGGAAACCAACATCCCCAAAGACCATACCATCAAGGTCAACAAATATTAAAAGCTCACTAACGAACTCACTCGAAACAGATTCGTCGTGGATTTGTACGCGGTAGAGGTGGGAGCGAAAGGTAAAACAGTTAAATCTCTCTACAACCTACTAAAAGACTTGGGCTTGTCCAGACCTCACATTAATACATTCTTGGCACGTACATCGAAGGCAGACCTAGTAGGTTCTTTTCAAATTTGGTTAGGTAGGGAGAGGAGCTTGGACGGTGGAGGTGAGCGTATAACGCGCGTTAGATAGGTGCCCTTAAACCTATACCTGGGTCGGAAGTCCCAGGCACTGGTGGAGCTCCTCTCACTACAACGATGGACCCGGCACCCTATGGGTGGTGAATCCATTGAATGCTAAGGGGTTTCGTCTCATAAGTTTCATTTAAATGAATAAGACTCGCGAAAATCTTAGATCTCAGTTCTTGTTCATACATACATATTAATCATTTATTATATAATTTCAGAGTAGCAGTAGTGTTATCATCAACAGTACAGATTCTATCTCTGCCTTCATTAACTCGGGTCGCCTTGCTCCGTACTCCGAGCGCGGGACGTCCCCTTTGTGCGATAGCTACAGACCCGGGGGCAGCGCAATTAGTAGCTGCGCCTGCGCATAGGAAAGGATCGTTACAGATTTTGGTGGGTTTTCACTGTTAAGACAAACTAAAGTTACTTAATTTGATTTATATCTTTATATGGACAAATAATATTAATATTTCAAGTCAAGTATTAAAGTTTTATAAAGTTAGTAGCTTTTCAGCGCCCTTAAAACATTGAACTACTCAAAAATGTATTACTTTTTGATTACTACCAAAAAGTATATACTTAAAATAATCCGCCGAAACTTCCTATTATTCCGTTATACTTTGTTTAACCGTTTAACAAGTAGAGGTGACAATTTCGTGAAAGTCACCGTCCATTGTACTAGCATTTACTATTCAAAGACTTCTTTCTGTATGTTATCTTCTATATATATAAAAATGGATTGCTGTTCCTTAGTCTCGCTAAAACTCGAGAACAGCTGAACGGATTTATCTTATCTTAGTCTTGAAATGTTCGTGGAGGTTCAGGGAAGGTATAAAAGCTCAAAAAAATTTATTCATTACTGGGAAAACCATAAAAACAGCCCTTTTCTATTTCCCATACAAATGTTTTTTTTGACATTAGATTTGACAACTAAATAATATGTCAATCATTCTGTCGCACTCCAAAACACGGAGATTTATTGCTTACAGGTAAACTCCAAAAATATAAATAAAAAAACGTTATAGATATTTCTTGATTATAGGCCGATACGAAGTTCGCCAGGTCTTCTAGTACATACATAATAAAGTTCCAAATAATTCTATTAAGCCATATCAAAACCAAAAATATACAGACGTATTGAGTACCACATTTTGTCAAACCATTTGAAGATAACAAAATTAGATACAACGACTCAACATTGTAATAACGTCTTATACCTTATAGGATGTGTCCCGAGCTATAAAGAACGCCGCGTCAAGTTCACCGGCGGTGGTCAGTTGTCATCAGACAGACCTCGTCTGCATAAGCCTGTCTCCCAATGGAGCGAAGCTAGCTACGGCCAGTGAACGTGGAACTATCATAAGACTATGGGATACAAACACTAAACATATGCTGCACGAACTTAGACGGGGGTCTGATTACGCTGATGTTTATTGGTGAGGGTAGTTTTAATTTATTAATTACAAAGACATTAAATTTATATAAATAAGGTAGCTTAGTTGGGTCTATTATAGCAATACTAGCTTTCCGCCCGCTTGGAGTTCGCTTATATCGCGTTTCCAAGAGAACCTTTCAAAAGTCTGGTATAAAAACTATTCTATGTTCTTTCTCAAGGTCAACTCTATCTCTGTACCAAATTTCATTAAAATCAGTTCAGTGGTTTAGGCATGAAAGCGTAACAGACAGACAGACCGACAGAGTTACTTTCGCATTTATAATATTAGCAGGGATCTGTATTTGAATCTCATCAAAATCGGTCCAGCCGTTTCATAGATTATCCGTAGTAGACGGATAGACAATTGTAACCAATGTTGTTTTGGTATACAATATACATATCTACTGTGTAATGTCCAAATATTATTAGTAATTATATTATTTAGACATTTAAATTTGAAACTATTGACACTCCAGTTTTATTTATTTAAATAGATTAATTCATTTTATCATCTTTAATTATTAAAAACTCAAATAACACCAAAAACTTTAATTACATCCAAAACCACTATAAAATGAACCATACTTATAATATACTTATATCTAACCCAGTATCAACTTCAACTGGTCCGGTACACTGGTTTGCTGTGTCTCGGATAAGGGCACCCTACACGTGTGGCTCGCTCGAGGTAACTACACGCACGTGTGTGCGGCGCCTGCTACCTCACAAAGAGCTCTGTGTGCATTCAGTGACGATAGCAGCGCTATAGGTGAGTGTGTAGGGGTCTTAAAATATATTTATCAATCACCTAGGCATATTGATGGGTCCTATGTATAAGTGCCAATGTAGCAATTTAGCCATTATCTTTTTTTTTTCTTTAAACACTTCATAATACTGTATTCTACAATATCCATTTAAAAAATGTGTATTTGTTGGTGGAAAGACTTAGTTTTTATTGCATTAAAAGGGCATAAGTAACTCTTTTAACATATAAGGGCTTATATACATTATTTAAAAAACTAGTAGGTTTACAAAAAGTTAATCAAGTTTAAATGAGGTACATGTATGTCATAGTTGCTATAGAAAGTTTCAAAAGCCACAGTTGTTGCAAGTAAAAGATACATTGAAATCAAACTTAAAACGCCTCTTCTGAAAAATTTACATTTACAAATGATTAAAATTGTCAAATATCGTGTATAAAAAGCTTTATTAGTGGAAATAAATTCCTTTAAAATCTTCGAACGCCTCTTCTATTGTATTGGCTGATTACTTTTCTGTAATTTTTTATATTTGTCTTGTTTTTTTTTTATTCAGAAGTAAATAAAAACAGTCAAGAAAACTACTGCTAACTCTTAATAGTTCTATTATCTAAATTGTTGTATATTTGTAATAAAGTAAACATATTGAGTTATTTAATATATGAAATCTATTTTTCAGTAATCTGTGAGGATGGAACATTTCACAAATTCACATTCTCTACTGAAGGGAGCTACCATCGTAACGACTTTGAATATTTTTTACAGGTCAGTACTATTTATTACATAATATGAAATAAAATATAAGGAAAAGAAATACGTATTTAATTGCTTTATGTAGCTCTCTAATAAAAAAAAGTTAATTGAAAAAATAAAATTGTGTTTAAGAAACTAAAACACTTGAAAATAATTTACTTATAAATTTCCCCAGTATAAAGAAATTAAAAATACATAATTATAAGAATATCATTGTTTTATACTTTCTAAGAGGCTGAGATTTACTTAGATTTTTTTTACATGACAGATGTCATTTCATTTGTCAGTTATTTATTGATCTTTGAATTGATTAGGTAATTAATTAATAGTAACTTTTGATTTTCCAACTTTTAGCTTTTAGTCGTAATATATTTTATAAATAATACTTATATTACGTATACTACTTGTAGAAAGACAAAAAATAATCATTTTCACTTGTTTTTCAGGTCGGCGATGACGATGAGTTCTTGCATTGATGAAAAATATCGTAATAACTTTACAAAGGACAAAATATAAAAAAAACGTTTAAAGTGTGGGCGAAAAAAGTGATTTAGATATTATAAGAACCAAAATTTACATGAATATTGTGTATTTTTGCTACAGCATTGTTTTTTTAAGGCTAATGTAAGTATAGCGCGTTGTGATAAACATTTTTGTTCATAAAAAATTGACAATAGGATGTTAATATTATCAAAGACTGCGCTTCGATTTCATTAATACAAAAATTCTATCCTATACATACTTATAATTAGCCTTAAAATTTATTTTCGATATAATTGGCGTTTTGTATAAATTAATCGTAGTTATAAAACTACATTAATGTTATAATGGATATTAAAATATAATCAAACGATTATATTGTTTTTATTTTAGATTTTTGAGCAACGAAATTTTTGCATTACCAATACCGTAGACAGTATGTTAGATTAAAATAAATTCTACACTCTTCAAACTTTCTGAGAAATTAATACAAAAATACACGAAAGGCACTAATTTTCTTTTTGTTTTGGACTCTAAAAAAGGATTTTTTCTATTTAAAATCTTTTAAATATATATAAATACAATTTGAAATTAAGATTTCACTAAAATTATTTTACTACATAGCTAAAACACTTATAATTTGAGATCCTTCCTGGTCTAAATCCTTAAATATATCTATGCTATTAAATATTATTAATATATGTTAATTTATATTTTGGTGCAAAATATGCTTTAGATACTCGCTCAATGTAATTGTACCTTTGCATTTTGCTCATATAAATGTCATAAAAATTTATAGTGGCCGTTATTTAGTTTTTTTTTTTTTTTGTATAATTATTTTATCAGCACTGAATCCAAATCTATTAGGGTTAATTGTAAACCCGATTATGTACAATTGTAAATATTTAGTCCCATTTAGATTTTTTTACAATGATGCTAAGTTAGATATATATTGTTTGCTTTTGTAATAATTTTAAAGATATTTAACACATATTTTATAATGTGTTTCTCTGTCAATAGTTATAAGTTCTAGGAATATTTGGATATTATAAGCACATATTGTAAATAAGAAAATTCAAGTTTATTTTTTGAAAATGAAATAAAATTGTGACAATGACTGTTACTCCACTGTATAGATTAGGTTGTGGTTAACATAGGATTTGCAATTTTCACAATAAAATATTTTTATTCACTTATCTTGTTATTCATGAAACAACCAAAAATTACACCAATTTTTGATGTTCCGTCTTTATAATAGAAATATATACCCTATATATTAAATTGTAGAAAATAATTATTGCAAATTTTACTAATATGTATCTAATTTTATTTTGAACCCTGTAACATATCTGACTTCACAAATTAAAATTGAAGCTCTTTCTAGTTTTGCAGTTTCTTAAGCATAATATGTAAATATTGGACACTAATAAATACTGAATCTTTAAAAATGGTTCTAAATGTAAATGAAATTCAAGATACATCTTGTTAACAGAGTTCCTACATATACAGCCTTTTTCTAAAACCTTTTTCCAAATTTTGTTGGAGAGAGAGGACTTTGGATGGTGGAGGTGAGTATTACACATGTGTGAGATATGGAATATGATTCCTATATATAATCTTTAAACCTACACCTGGGTCGCAAGTCCCAGTCACTGTTGAAGCACCTTTCCCTGCAACGATGGACCTGACACTCACACAGTAAATATATGGAATTCCGAGAAATTTCATCTCTTCTACTGGATTGCTATCTGCATGTTTCTTGTTATAATTATTTGCTCTTAACTCAGAAAGAGTTTCACTAAACCAAGTAGAATTTATAAAGGATGATAACAAATTGTATGATTTCTGTCTCGACTGAATATAACAATAAAAAAAATTGGTTTAAAGTTGATATTATAAAAAAACAAAGGTTTTCCTTGTATTTTTTTCCTTCACATGATCATTCTTATACATAACTTAATTTATTGTTTTGAGATCACAGTCTCTAGACTTAAATTTTTACATTATTATCATGGATTCTCATATTATTTTCTATATCTATAAAACCATTTATTTCAATATGTTTCAATCTTTTATAGGATATATAAATACAACTTAATTCATTGAAAACTAACATCAATATATCACAACTATTTATTTACATAATCTATAATTACTTACTAGTACATTTAACATAACTGTACATTTGTCAATTTATTCAGTGTCTGCTTTCTTCCTTCCAAATGGATCTGACCATACTTTCATATCTGAAATCATATAATATCCTAGTTTAAGATTACTGTACTTGTATATGCATATTTAAAAATAATGAAGAGTATTAATAAAAGTAATAAAAAAAACCATTTTTATAAATATCGGCAGCAAATGAAAGCATACAGAAAATGTAGTGTTAATATGCATATTTTAAATAATGTGTGAAAATTTATAGCACCTCTATCAATGACAATAACATATTATGAATATAAATTAATAATATATATTTTTAATCAAATAAACATACTTCCTGGCTGAATTTCTTCTTGGTTTATATTCTTTCTTGTCACTTTCTGTATTTCTTCTGTAAAAATTATCAATTTTATTTATTTGATCACAATTGTTTATTACTCAAATTATTATCATAAGTAAGGTTTCCCTTTGCATATCAGAGGCTCTAGTTTTTATAAGAATTATATTACATACAAAGAATATTGTCCAAATTAAAGATTATTAAAAATCTTACTATATTCTGAAACATCTATCATGGGACTTATAACGATGGGGTATAATGTAAGACCGATTAAACCAACTAATCCTCCGATCATAATCATAGCAGGCTTTCCTCTAGCCATCTTATTATATTTAGAACTTTAAATGAAAGAATTAAAATATATAACCCATACTCTTTATTTTCTAAAAAAAATCCTACCAATGAAATGTCAATTGTCAATTGTCAATGTCAAATGTGAATATATAATCAAATTTTTCGAAGTTAACATAATATTTTAAATAAATCTAGATTCGCACGGATAAATAGTTCAATTGAAAACTTTAAATTATAATTATTAATAGAGATTATAGAAAGAATTTGATTAAATTTATCCAGTAAACATGTTACGAGTGTGTTTAAACTACAATGTAGCAAGTTTTAAAAATGTGAAGAAGTATGTTTTAAATTTTTTTTAGAATAATAATATTAAATAATATAAAGCTACTTAGCATTCGATACCTATTTTAAAACTATGTCAGTTTATTTTATATTTATTAAATTAAGATTTTAAATCAATAAATTTACTGTTTTAAAAACTATAAAACTGTATCATAAACATAGCGACATATAATTTTCATTATTCTTTTATAATTGAATAAGATATAAACAAGGCATAAATAAAAGTGACTATATATACTTTCTATTATATATAATATAAAGTTGTACCTGTATAATATAAAGTTAAAAAATGAGTATAGCATTTATATTTTCAATGTTAAAACTTGTGATCCTGTCCGAGGAAGCTACTGCCCTGTCAAAGTACGTTGTCTTTAAAAAGAGTTTGATAGAACTTTTTTAAATTATACGTAATATTGTGTTCGTGATCACTTACAAAATTTAATTATTTAATAAAGGTTATTAACTTTAATTTTAAATAAATTATGATCTAGAAGTGTATTAAACTTAAAAAATACATATAGTTATTTTTTTTTAAATCCTTCATTTAAATTGTTTTAAAATAAATTTTAATTATCTCTTATTTTAAGAAACCTACCTTTAATAGTATTATTTATTTTTAGAATGGATCTACAATGTTATTTGTAACGGTACAGAAAAGTATTAATGTGAAATATGTAATTGTGTTCAAAGCTTTTTTCAACTTTTAAATGTAAAACTATGAAACCTGTATGTTATGACGATCTGATATAGGTAATAATTTTTATTATTCAAATTGAGAAATCGTTTAATTACTAGGTAATGTAAACATAACAAAACTAATGGTTATCTTAATACCTAAGATGTTTGTATAAAAAGTGATGACAAATTATAATCTTAAAACTTCTCAATTAGAGACGCTATATATTTACATATTCTTTAATGGGAATAGAACCGGAGAGTAATTAAAATATTAAAAAATGCTATCTGTTAGAGAAAAACAAATGAAACGAATAAAACCAAGGTTAAAAAGGAATGAAATATGCAACAATTTAATCTAAAATTAAATAAAAATTATGAATAATTCTTTAACAACATAGTTATTTAATATGAATTAATTAAATATAATCTTAAATTTATATTTCTGTTGATAATGCGATGTAACATGTTATGATTTTAATAGATTATGAAGTTCAACGGTCATATGATTCACGAAACTAATAACAAAATATGCGAGTTGTTGTTATGACTCATTGTTTACAGACGCGGAATGGTAATTGTTGTATTGTGCGTCGTGAATACTAATGTTTAGGGTTCTCTAACTAGGAAACGGAAATATTTATGAACTACATAAAATTATTCTATGTATAGACTATAAAAAGTATTGTAAAAAGGTTTTTATCTTTATTTACACAAAATGTTATAGGTATGTAAAGTTTTTAACTTACCAATTTTTTTTTATATTAATATATAAACATCGATAAAAAAATACATTATAAATTTAAAAATAGTTATCAATTAAAATTTCCCACTTAATAAGTATAACAATTTTTTGTGATGACCTTTCAGCCCGGTCAATGTAGACATTTAAAATAACAATTGCAAATATTTTTGAAAAAAAAAAAACAAAAGTTTGATATTATTTAATACTTAGGAAAATATAATAAGAATCATTTTTGTATAGACTTTTAAGATTTGCGATTTTGGTTTGTGTTTTATTTTATAAAACTTATCGTTTTCGAAAAAAACCCAGAAAAACGTAAACATTACACTTTGATTTCGAATTAATTTTGAAGGATATATAGGATCGATGGATATTTTTAAAACTGTATTTATAATGGTTAACCCCAGCCCTCCGTTTATATTTGGTTTTCCTTGAAAATTTGTACTTCACGTTTCATCTAAAATGACCTGAGTATTTTTTGTATTGTAAACTCTTTTTAGACACTTAAAACATTTTAGAAATTTTAAATTATCTGAGGTATTTAAAAATATTATCGGTAACCCGGACATACAAGATTAGATTTGTTTTTTTTAACTGTTATACTCCTGTCAGTCGTTTTGACTTTGACAGTGTCACGGGTCAAACATTTTTTTTGTATTAATTACGTCATAGAGAAGAATTATTATTAAAATTATTCAAGAAGTATCATTTTTATTGATTACTATAAACATGACCTTTTATGAGTAGGTAAACGGAAATTTCGCTGTGATCTAAATAAAAATTGCTTTAACATTAAGTTATAAAAAATAAGTCTCAATTTGATTTTTCAGTTACACTTTTATGAGCTCTGAGCGGAGTTATAAATGAAAAGAAATCCTTATTTCTATTATGGCTATAGCAACTCATTTTACCATAGGTTATTAAATTGAGGAATACTAAATAATACAGGTACATTTGTTTATGACCTTGAATACTCGATAAAATTATAATTAGTCATATGACGTAGTGTTTGTGGATATTTGTAATAATAATAATTATTATTGTGGATATCTTATAATTTATTTGGTTTGAATTAATCATATGTATCTCATACCATTTATTTACATAATAAAATTACTATATTACTATTAGTATATTCTATCTTTTATAATTTAAATTTATTTTAAGATAACCAATGTCTCTACACTATTTATAAGAATTGACTACTTAAATATATTACACAAATCAAGTAGTGGAAGTAAAATTAATATGTATCACGGGAATTTAAATAAAATAAATATCACAAAAGTTTACGTACTTTTTTATATTTAAATTATATATTATTAAAAGATAAGTCCGAATCAAAATGCGATTTACTAACACCCTCTTCTAGCAGTTGTAAGAGTTTGTCGAATACCAATTTCTTCGCATCTATAGCCCACAAGAAATCTATGTGGTTGAATGATTTTAGTGGTACAATATAATGATCTATTGGATTCGCCAGTTGTACGTACAAATTTGTCACATCTACGTCACTCGCTAACCAATCGTTTTCAGATCCGAATAGAGCTATAGGTAGAGTTATTTTATGCAGAGGATATTGCGGAGGCTCGAAACTTCCATACTCTTTCAAATTCCCCTCTGGACCGTAATCGAATTGTTGAAATCTTCCCGCGTTTTTTATCTCCTGCGCGTAATGAACTAAGGTCTTTGTTGAAGCTCCAGCCGGCACATGGCCTAATATTATTGGTAGTAGACTTCTATTGAACTGCTTTTCGTCGTGGCCACATAAAATGAATAGTGAATTCTCACAAATCGCCTCCTCGAGATGATTGATTTCGCACGAGTGTTTCGATAGCCATCTCAATACCGAATTCTGAGGTAAAAATTCATTAGCACCCAGAAGTTTTAACAAATATTCTAGATTGTCACTGTATTTTGCTAGTAGACGAATGGGGCTCCTAATATCGGTCATAAAAGCGACAGGAGCTAACGCGAAACCTGCTCTCAGAACTTTGTTGTAATGAGTCTTTGTTGATAACAAAGCGAACAGAATAGTCGTACCCATTGAGTGACCGATATAATTTATTTTCACGTCCCATCCTTTGACCTCCATTATATAATCGATGACAGCCGGCAAATCGTGTTGACTAACTTCGTGAAACGTGAAATTCCAGAATTCGAAGGAATCTGGATTCAACGTGATATGGGCTCTTGAATATGTATTGCCTCTAACATTAGCAAGCCATACATCATATCCTGCCTCTGATAGTATATAACCGAGCCCCTTTTCCGGTCCCGCCATGATCCAATCAGCTGAACTGCCAAGCAAACCATGGTGCAGCAACACTGTCTTACGCTTAACCTCTCTACTGGAAGCATTTCTAGAATACGGTATCCTATGAACTGTTAGAATGTATCCGTCTTCTGTGACGATAGTGTGAGATTCTGAGACGTATCCGTGGGATGCTATCAACTGCGGCGTTGTCATTTGGATGCTTGGATCGTTATCATTGCACATATATTCAATTTTTTCTGGAGCTATCGCATCAAAAACCGTTTGATTCTTCTCTTGAGCTTCACCAACATAATCACCGAAACCTTTCTTAATCCTATTATATTTAATATGATCATCGCGCTCAGGTGAACTGCTGTTAGACCCGAAGTAAGATGTTATTCTATTTCTTACATTTTGAACATAAAACTGTTTCAGGCTTCGTCCTTTTGTGCGCACGTAGTTGCTTATTTGTGCTGTCTTGTTAGTGAATGTATCGACAAGATTTTGCGGGAACCATCCGAAGTTTCGGCTTTCGGTGTATTGAATGAGAACAATTAACATAAACAAGGCTATTATTAGCTTCATAATGAGCACTCCGCACGACCGCCAATGACAGACTGGCTAGAAATGTTAAATATTATTGGAGCACAAGTAATTTATCCCATTACGGCAGTTAAAGGGAAGTGACTAATATATATCATATGTACGCGATAGCTAATACAGCATTATTTTAATAATATTTACTCACAACAACTAATTAAAACATTGATGATGCGTTAAAATTTATTTGATACTTAGCAGATACAAAAAAAAATAAGTTGACTTTCTTATATCGTACTTCTTTATATACTTATCAATGGTAGGAAACTTTTTGGTTTCGGATTTGTGAATTTTTAAGTTTTATGGTTAGAATACATATTAGTAATATTTTACAGTTTCAAAATTTCTTTAATGAATAATAATTGGTTACTTTGTCACAGAATCCATATTTTTACATTTAAAATGATCTCTGAAAACTAATCTTTCGAAGTAATAATAATACTCTGTCGTATAACTTAAAAAACAAACTACTTCTACTTAACTTGTATACAAAAGTGAACTTATCTCTAAAAAATTATGTCTGCCAAAAAAAACAAGTAATTAGTAGGGTTGAAATTATTCATTATTCACGAAGATGTGATAAAAAAGAAAATACTATCAAGTTGAACGGGTTTGAGAAAAATATGAGGGGACTATAAATGATTTTTATCATAAAAAGGACTCTATACGTACTACGATAATTTATAATTAATAAGAACAGCTGTATACCTTGACATCTTTCAACAGCAGCGCCGAAACAATATGTCATGGAATTCGTATGACTTATAATATTATCTCAAATATTTTAGAATAAAAACTCACAATCCATACACTATATTATATATACCTACATATATATATCTGTATAAAATATAATTAGATTGGGTATAAAAATTGTTTAATATGAAAAATAATAATTAATGACAACTAAGACCTTGACAGCTTTATAGTGTTGTAACGTTAATTAGGTACATGTTTACTTCTCTAATGTCCTGTAATGGAAGTTATAATTAAATTATCCTTTTAGCAAAACATATTTTTAATCGATAACGAGTAAAAATATTTATGTGGTTCAAGTATAAACTTGAACCACATAAATATTTTGGTCATTTGGGAAAAACCAATACTCTGTATGGATTTCCCGAAAAAACTAAATAATTACCGATTGCACAAGCTATACTATAAGCTATACTACAAGCTATAATACCAAATTACATTATATATTTTCATTATTGGTAACGATGTTGCAAGATAAAATATATCAGATTTAAATGAAACTAATATTTTTTTAGATTTTTACGCGTATTTTATTATTTAAAAAACTACATACTTCTAACGTTTCGGTTACTTCTCAGCAACCGTGATTACAGGCTGACGAGATAAATATTTCATTCAAAGAAAATGTGTAGTAGATACGAAACATAGTTTCATTTACATGAATACTCGCGAAAGTCTTAAATGTCATCATATCAGATTTCTCACGTTTGTTATGATTATATTTAAATGTTTCTAATAAAAATATATGTATATTTAATCAAAATTAACTAATCAAAGGATGCGATGAAAAAAATCATTTTCATTTTACAATTGGCTTTTCGAATTATGAAGCTTTCTCTTATAAATTGTAACTTATTAATGGCCAAACCTTAAAAATATTTAAAACCTTTAAGAATAAATAACACAGAAAGAAAAATTGTGAGTGATTAGTTTATATTGTTGTTCAGTAGTGACCTAGTGGTTAAAAGGCCCGCCTCTCATATATGAGGGCGCAGGTTCGATCCTGGCAAGTATCAATGTGATTTTTCCCAGTCATATGTACCTACTTTCTAAGAGTATTTAGACATCACTGATTAATGCATTCCCAAAGAGGGTTGATGTCAGGCAGGCGGCCGGTCGTAAAAACAAGTACCCAAAACTATTCACAACATGTGAGGTAGACCCTGGCTTAAGCTGGGAAATTGCCAGGAAGAAAAAGAAGAGTTTATATTCTTGAAATAAAATAAAAAAAACTATTCAACAGCATATATTTTTATTAAAAGTCCTCTTTTGTACATTTTACAATTACAGGTGTATTAAGATGTTTTTATTTCTCTCTCTTACTTCTTTAGTAACTTGAAAAGATTGAAGTTTTAATAGATTTAAAAGCATCATAATTATTATAACATATTTTGGTTTAAAATCTTATTATTATATATACAGATAAAAGTTCTCAGCATTTCATGGATCCACCATGAATTAATTTAACTTCAAATGTCTTAATTGAGCAGACTAAAATCAGAATCTTTAAAAATTCGTATTCTCATTCAAATAAAATAAAATGGTGAAATATATTAACTAAAAAACTATATATAATTAATTTAATATTAATTATTTAGTATAAAGCTTTCACATCTTCACATAACTTATCAAAATCATCTATTTTCCATTTCCTTAATTCATTCTCAATATCTTCTTGCTGAAGTTCAAAAAACTTGTCTTCATCTGAAAAGTAATAAAACAATATAAATAATTAATTACAGTAAAATCTAACAATATGAATAATTAACCAGAAAAGTATTAAATGGCTGAACAAATATAGAAAGGGTCAAGATATATATATTACTAGCTTTCCGCCAGCAGCTTCGCTCGCGTTGAGTTCGGTTATATCGCGTTTAAGAGAACCTTTCAAAACTCTGGGATAAAAACTATCCTATATTCTTCCTCAAGGTCAACTCTATCTCTGTACCAAATTTTATTAAAATCAGTTTAGGCGTGAAAGCGTAACTGACAGACAGACAGTATAACTTTCCCATTTATAATGTAGGAAAGTAGGGATATGTAATAAACATATTTTTGACTTACTGTATACTGGAAACCAGCCACTTAACTCGCAACATGCAATATTAAATGCATCAAATTGTTTCATATGTAGACAACTCTTACGAGGCCATATAACTACCCTTAGTACTTCATGATCGCTGGTAACACTGTTGCCTCTCGTCAAGAACATATTATGTGCGATATTATTTTGTAGAAAATATTCTAATAATTTATATATATCATCAATTCGACTTCCATTTGAGCCAATTTCAAAACAAAACGCCGGTACTGGGTAGGCATATTCAAAACGATACAATGGTCCTTTAACTTGTATGCATTTCTGAAATTATTAGTATTTTTGAGAAGATAAATCATCATATACTAAGATATTTCTATTACTTCATTGTTTACAGTTTCACTGATCATGAAATACATACTTACAACTGTTTCAACAGGTAAAACATTTTCTACTATAAATATATGAAAATGCAAATGATTTACGGATGCCATAGCCAGCAAGCTGTTGTACCCCAGCCTTAAATCACTAGAACTTAAAAAGAAAACAATGATAATATATAAGAATCAAAAGACAATAAATAATAAGGTTATATTTAAACAGCTCCATTAAAAATTATAAATTTTGCTTTTTTATTTCATGTCTATTTAAGTTATGTGGTAATCTGTTGAGTGTTATAGAACATAATTTACTTATAATTCTTTATATTAATATTATCACTTAATCACACTACTTTTCAAATAAAAATATTTTTTACTTCTACTTGGTAGAGCTAGTTACTACAAAAATTTAAACAAATCTCATACACTTGCCTTAACTCACCGATTTTCAGTCATAAGCATAAATTTTACAGCCAACATCAAACTGTCTTTAGTTATAATCTGTGGTAGACAATCTTCTAGAAATGGGCAAAGTAATGAATGATATTTATTTATTGGACTCGCATTAATCAGAACCGTATGGTAGGAATCTGTGAAAAAAAAAGCATTAAAAACATACATTACAGTGAAATCACACCACAAAACTTGTTAATAAATAAACTTAACAATTTTAACATTAACATACCATTATCTTGTTTAAAATGAAACATCAATTCATCTTTGGATACTTTACAGAAATTAAATTTGTTTTTATCAAAAGGCTGACATATATTTTCCATTTGTTCCGGGGTCCTTCTTTTTACACCTCTGTTTGGGTTTAACTAAAAAAAATACTATTATATTCGTATGCAGTTATTCTATTGCAATCTTTTTTTAAAGACTGTATGAAACTTTTAAATTAAGTAATCAATCAAAACTATATCTATTTTCAAATATGTTAACAATTAACATTAAATCAATTCTTACTTGTAATAAATATTTATTATTCACATAACGCTTCTCTTCATTGACTATTTTGTATCGAAAAACATTTGTGTTGGAATCGATTTCGGTCCATTTCGTCTTGATAAGGTTTATTACTTCAGACGGGTTTAAACCCATATCATCAAGTGATTTAGCGTCATAAAATCGCATTATACCGGCGTCCAACTGAATATAATATACAATAAAAGGGTATAGACCTAACGTATCACAAAAAACACTTAAGAATTTAGTATTTACTCGGTGTGTTTACAATCTCATAACCTACACAACAAGGCGATAACTGACAGCTTTCAACTGACAATCACTAATCATATTTTATTAATTCATAAAATTATAAATTAATAGTTCAAATTCTATTGAGTTGTTAGGGTATGCGTCTATGTCTATCTCAGTAACAAGTTAAACATTTATAATCCAACATACTATAATCATTTTGCTTAATATTAATAAAAAAAAAATTATCGGTTACATAATTGACTTATTATTTCTTAGAAGTTATTAATCACATTTTGTATATCAGAGTAGGATATTCACTGGATACGCTAGTGTAATAAAACGATATTGGTATAATTTTTTATTGAATGATTTTTCCCTCTCACTAAGGGTAACCAAAAATCAAATGAATTTACATTTTGCTGCATTTAATACGGATTATTTTTAAATAGTATCGACTAGTAAACAAAAATGTAATGCGATGTTTTTTATACAAAATTTAGTTTAAAATAAAGCTAAAATATATACGGTCCTCTTTTAAATTAGTATTTTAAGCTGGGTAACAATATAGTTCAAGTCACATTGATATTTGACAGTTAAAATGAATTGACGTAACGGGGAATGTTGGGTATTGATGTTTGTAAACAATAAGATATTATTGAATAAGGTCACGAAATTATACACTTCAAAGGACAATTTATTTTAAGTTTTTTTTACTAGAAATTCGTTATTTTATAAAAACTACCTAATGTTATAGTTCTCAATAGCCAGTATGTTATCCGATTTCGCCAAAGAAAAGGTGTTCTGGACACGTAAAATGAATTTGAGATTAGTCAAGTTTATCGAAAGCCGGCCTAATATATGGAATCCCAAACACCCGAAATATACTTCCGTAGCATACAGAGATCGTACTTATGCTGAATTTGCAGCAAAATACGGGAACGAATTCACAGGGCAAGCTGTTAAGGAGAGATGGACAAATATAAGATCGACCTTTTCTAATTACTTAAGAAAAACAAAAGCCAGCCAAGCAAAGGACACTGAGGTAGTTTTTGACCTACCTACTTACATACCTTTAGTTTTAGGCATCAGCAATGTAGTTTTTTAATCCAAAAATAATTATATGCTTTTTGGTTAACTATTTTCCAGGAATATCAAGTGAATTGGCATTTATGGAACGCCTGTCAATTTCTACTGAGAGTCAATAAAAGTGTTAAACAAGAAAATGAGGAGATACATCATGAAAATACTGAGGTATTAAATATTAATCTTTAATCTTCTATATCTTCTATATATATAAAAATGGATTGCTGTTCCTTAGTCTCGCTAAAACTCGGGAACGGCTGAACCGGTTTGGCTAATTTTAGTCTTGAAATACTCCTGGAAGTCCAGGGAAGGTTTAAAAGGTGAGAAAAATTGGAATAATTGCCGGGAAAACCCTAAAAACAGCCCTTTTCTATTTCCCATACAAACGTTTTTTTGACATTAGATTAGACAACTAACTAATATGTCAATTCTGTTTGATTGAAACAGAAAAAACCTGATTATTTATGGCCTCTAAGATGGAGTAGAGTTCGCCCGATTAGCTATACCTACATATATTACTCTTGACCAAACTAACGCGGACGAAGTCGCGGGCAAAAACTAGTATTATATAAAAATGGATTGCTGTTCCTTAGTCTCGCTAAAACTCGAGAATGGCTGAACAGATTTATCTTATCTTAGTCTTGAAATGTTCGTGGAGGTTCAGGGAAGGTATAAAAGCTGAAAAAAATTGATCCATTACTGGGAAAACCATAAAAACAGCCCTTTTCTATTTCCCATACAAACATTTTTTTTGACATTAGATTTGACAACTAACTAATATGTCAATCATTCTGTGGCACTTTAAAACACAGAGATTTATGGCTTACAAACTCCAAAAATATAAATAAAAAAACATAATAGATATTTCTTGATTATAGGGCGATACGAAGTTTGCCAGGTCTTCTAGTTAAATTTATAAAATATATGAAATAAAGACTAGTTTATTATCATTTTAGGAACAAAGTACGATTCCTGATGACAGTGAAGAAGACAATTCAGATGCTGATATAACAAACAGTTCAAATTTATGTAAATCCCTTGCTGAAAGTCTAGTCTCGGCTTTTAAAGGTATCAAGAATGATGCTTTCGGCGTAAACAATACAAAGAATGATAGAATTGGCAGATTGGTTACTAAGAAATTGAACCAGATGTCTTCTTTAGATGCTGCTGAGCTATCTATGAGAATAATGGAGGTTCTATGGCGTTATGATGCTAACAATCCTTTGAATCCTAATAATTTGAAAACTGAATCTATTTAAATAAATATCTTTTGTTTTTATATTAAACAATTCTGTAACTTTGTCATGTGTACAATACATATATGTATAACTAAATTGTATACATATATAACTAAATTGCATGATAATACAAAATTTAATCGCTATTCTTGAAATTGTAATCTACAGTATTAATATTTATTCTAATTATAATAAAATACACATACATTGATTGAAGTTTATATTTATTAATTTTGTGTAAGTGGCAACCCTGATTATTGTGTGAGAAAGGATTAAGTATCAGCCCTATTTAATGTTTATATCTATTTACTGGGTCAGTAGTGACTGTTTCTTTAATGCAACTTTGAAGCCTCTAACTAAATATAGGGCCTCTTCAGTTTTTTACTCTAAAACCTATATTGAGTGAAGATTTATGAAGAAAATTCGAAATTCTTCGTATTTATTATAATTCAATTTTAGACTCACACTTGCGCCAGTAGTTGCATGATTTTAATAATTAATCTATTGATACTAGATTTCTAATCCGGGTTAATAATTATAAATTTATTAATATGGTGACAGAATGGTCAAAGTTATGGGATGTATTTTTAATTTAAACTTATCATACATTTTACGCGAAGTTTAGACAACTTTGCAGAAACTCATTTTCTCATAATGTCCACAAATTCTCAGACAATTACTAATAATATTCGGTATGTCTGAGAGTCAAAAATATTATAGAAGTCATTCCATCCGTTTCAGAGGCGTAGGAAAAGATTAATATTATGCAATTGCATCCATCACTTGTCAAAAATTAGGTTAATTCAATTTGGTCAAAACAGAAACTAATTAGGTATAGTAATACAGATTAAATTGAAACATTTAATTGATCAATCTTAAATAATTACAAAGAGTAATTTATAATAATTACGTATTCATGTATACGTGAATTTTAAATTAAAATATAATATTTGTAGGCCAAGGAATTATGTATATTGAGTACACGTAGTTCAAGTTTCTACCGTTGCACTAAATATCAAGCGTTACTCGTATCGCATTTAATAAGTTGCATTGATATAATAATGTGTAAATGTATGAATGAAAACTGTTATTGTAAGTGAAACGAAGCGAATACATCGAAGCGAACGTAGAATAAAGATATTGGACATAAAATGTATATATTATCATAAAATATAAAATATAATCTGTGAAATATAAATTGGAATATTTGAAGCTTTGTAAACTTTTAAAATATTTTTTTTTCTTGTATAAAAGTTTTTTGTCTTATTTTTCCATAAATACAATATACACAAGCAATTTTTTGTAGGTATAAGATGATTAATATAATTTCATTAGCGTTATTGTTAGTAAAACAAATATTTATTACTCAATCTATACATGTATAAACTCATCTAAAATTATGACCACTTAAAATTATGTGTATTTAAAAATATATTTTTTAATTAGAAAATTATTTAGTTATATGTAATAGTATTTAAAATACCAACCAATAAAATTTTAAACCATGTAGTTTTTCTGTCATGACACAGGAGCCGAACTCTATATTTTTTTAATTAATTAATAACGATGTGAAAAAAACGTTGCAGAAAAAAATGATAGGTGATGGGAAAGGAAGCATAATAAAAATTTTATAAAAGAAAGTATCAATTTTTATATTTATGTAAATACAATAAAATTTTCTATATGAAATTATGTTACAAGTTAATACTTTTAATTTTATTTTAATTTAAAATGGAGCGGTGTAGTACGTAATTTTTTTTTCATTATAAAAACCATTTTATTGTTAACTCCATAAAAATAATTTCATCCATTCTTTCCAAGGACCTTGGTAGTGGACCGAAGTGAAAGTTGAAACTACTTTACATCTTTGCTGTCTAGTGATATTTTAAAAATATTTACTTTCTTTTCCTTTCAATAATATCAATATTACGCAAAAACTAAATATTATTTTAAGTTAAAAATTTCTTCTAATGACCTATCGAGATAGTTACATTTTGTTTAATTACTCGATCAAACTTAATACCTATAATATGTAACGTTGTAATTAAAATTATTTACTTTCTTTTCCTTTCAATAATATCAATATTACGCAAAAACTAAATATTATTTTAAGTTAAAAATTTCTTCTAATGACCTATCGAGATAGTTACATTTTGTTTAATTACTCGATCAAACTTAATACCTATAATATGTAACGTTGTAATTAAAATTATTTATTTTCTTTTCCTTTCAATAATATCAATATTACGCAAAAACTAAATATTATTTTAAGTTAAAAATTTCTTCTAATGACCTATCGAGATAGTTACATTTTGTTTAATTACTCGATCAAACTTAATACCTATAATATGTAACGTTGTAATTAAAATTATTTACTTTCTTTTCCTTTCAATAATATCAATATTACGCAAAAACTAAATATATTTTCGACCTAAAAAAATCTTCTATTTGACCTATCGAGATAGTTATATTTTGTATTACTCGATCAAAATTAACACCTATATGTAATATTTAAATTGGTTTATAATTTTCATATTACAAAATATGTTTCGTATAATAACTAAGCAATCATAAAAGAGAATGCAAAGATCAATGTCCGTGACAACAACACATTGGATCCAACGGTAAACGAAGTCTCGATTCTCGCGTTCCCGCAGTCGTACGTGCGGCCTTACGAGCCATGGGTCGTGCGCTCAATCTATTCGTAAAACCTTTCGCTCCAAAATACGTGCGCACAGCTACAACGGGATGCCCGTTCTCAAAACGCCAGCGTTCCCAAATAGCGCCAACCGCCGCGCTCAATGAAGAAATATTTGCTAATGCGAAACCATATTCGGAAGTACCCGGCCCTAGACCCATACCATTGCTTGGTAATACGTGGCGAATGGTTCCCGTGATAGGGCAGTACGATATATCGGAATTCGCTAAAGTGACTAAGCTGTTTTTGGATAAGTACGGCAGGATTGTTAGATTGGGTGGTTTGATAGGTAGACCTGATCTGCTGTTTGTGTATGATGCTGATGAAATCGAGAGGATGTATAGAAGAGAAGGTCCCACTCCATTCAGGCCTGCTATGCCGTGTCTCGTTAAATATAAGTCGGAAGTGAGAAAGGATTTCTTCGGGGAGTTACCTGGTGTGGTTGGCGTGTGAGTACAGAACTTTATTTACCTTATTACTACTTTTCTTTTTAAATAACAGAATAAAGACATTAGTTGTACGTCTCAGTTATATTTCATTTAAAAAATCTTCTTAAAATATTCGTGCAACATTAAAAATATCACTAACGATGTAAACATATTTCTAACGAAACAAAAAGTATATAATTAATTAAAAATTATTATGTATTTTATATTCAATTATTATTTATTATAACTAATAAATAAACTTTCAAAATCTAAACGTTCTACTTTCACTTATTTATCTTTATCTTCAATATTCATATGTTTTATCATTAAATTACAAAGTCAATAAAAACCGCGATAAAGTGGTAACTTTTGCAAGAATTTGAAATAATTTGCAAGAATTTGTGGTCTAAATACGGACATAAACACATTTATATAACATAGTCTATATTCAAAGCGTTTTACTTGTTATAATATGTCAAAATTAAAATTTTAATAGCTAAAACGAAACGAAACCATAACCTGCTTTCACCAAGGCGGTTAATTCTGTTTACTTATAATTGAACTTGTGAAATGCGGCTAAGAAAAAGATAAATGCAAAGAAACTCTTGTGTTGCCATTACAGGTAAGAAAAAAAAACACGCAAGACTTCAAATTAATTACAACTATGTTGCATGACGCCTTGATAACTATTTTCATACTGTATTTCTCGTATGAAATGTGAGGAAAAGAAAATATCAAAGGAAAGGATAATCTGTTGTCTTAAAAATATATTAATTATCTGTGGACTAAATATTTTTTGGCGCTAATTAAGATGTAAAAATTCCATTTTGTAACTTAAAGTAATTTGTAATTTAATCGAAGTGGTATAATTGGTAGGAAATAAAGAGGCTTTATTATTATATTACTCTAAAACACGAATTAGTCAGACTTGAAATTAGATAATGCAATTTTATATTAAGGAAATTATAAATTTTTTATTTATCGGATATCTATATAAAATAATATGTTTAAAAGGAGTATATAGTAAAAGATTTCCGCGGTTGTTGCAAACTGTGGAATTTGGCAATATTGTATTTTTATTAATTATAGATACCTTATTAAATCTAAATACATAGAAATAAAATAGATAAAGTTTTAAATACGTTTTTCCCGTTATTAAAAACATAATATCTTTAAATACATGATTTATTACGTGCTATTAAATCTTTATGTGTATGTTTGTTTATCTCTTGTTCCATTCCACATACAGAACTAAAAGCCCTATACGATTAATATCGACATTGTATTCAGAAAATTTATGCTTCAACACGCATTGGGCCCAAGGACGCAACTTAGACCTAGGCAATGAATGATGCAATACATTATATCTAGGTTCTATAAGTATATATGACTCGGAAAAATCACTTTGGGTTCGATCCTGGCAAGTACCAATGTGATTTTTCCGAGTCATATGCACTTTCTAAGAGTATTTAGACATCATTGATTAATGGATTCCCAAAGAGGGTTGATGTCAGGCTGCGGCCGGTCGTTAAAACAATTAGCCAAAACTATTCACTACATGTAAAGCAGACCCTGGCTAAAGCTGCGAAATTGCCAGGTATAAGAAGAAGTTATATCTAGGCTCTAAACTCATATAATCAAAATCATTATATTTCACATTTAATCACAATTTTACTGTAATTTTCATCATTTATTGCCTTGTTTACGACGTCTCTGCGGCTTTAAAGATCACTTGAGTATGATTAATAATTAATTATTAATTAAGAATAACTTACTTTACGCTTGAGTGAGTGAGTGAGTAATAATATTATACAGAATTATTGGTATTACGTATTGGTAAATAAATAATAGCATTGTAATCAGAAATTAATTTACTGAGCAGAATTGAAACTGGCATGATTGAAATTATACAGTCTATACAATTCTAAATTAATAATTATTCTTTTATGTTTGTTTTAAGTTTAATAGAACTACTTTATAAACTTTTTAATTTTATACACTTATTCACTTTCTACGTTTCACTAATAAAAAAGTTACACACATATAATGTAATAATTTTTATATAACAGATTAAATATATTAGTGTGAAATATACTAGGCTGAATGCAATAAAAAAATACAACTATAATATGAAACCTCCTTACGTATTTTCCATTCTAAGCATGCTAATAAATTATAAGGAACGGAATTATTGATAACTTTGTCTAAATTTATTTCTGGTGAATTATATTTAGCATAGTGGTAGAATACCACAAATTATATAATATGGTACAATTTATTTCGCACTTGAAATATGCTAATAAGCTACAATAGTATTTACAATGACGAGCTACATTGGCTTTGTATTTAGCACTTCATGTGACATAACTTCATTCGTTCTTAATGAATGAAGGTTAATAGTTATGAATGAATCATTTCTTTTTTACGTATTTTAATTTTTTTAAGTTGGTAATATCTTTGTATTTATACCTTTAGGTTGGTATAAAGAATATTTCTTCAATGTCTAGTAGTTATAACGTTTAGTAGTTCAATCGAGATCTGAGAATATGTATAAAAAGCGTGTCAATTAGAAAGTTTTATATGGATAGCGTCTATTCGATTGTGAGCTTTATTCCATTATGATAAGAATTAATGTCATTACATTCAATAACCGGTTTATAGGCAGGTACGTTTTCGTAACTGTTTCTCAAGAGGTCGTATAAAAAAGATGCTTTTTTATTTTCATAAGGATGCTTCTGTCGTTCTTGTGTTAAGTAGAATATTATAAAGCTGAGAATTCTTGAGGTGTAAAGGATTAAAACCTGTATTTATTATACGTAATGAGCAGTACTAAGATAAACGCATCTTTAAGTATAACCTTCGCAAACAGGAGATGATAAATCTGCGTTGATTTTGACATACATACGCAGTCGAGCAAAACGAAAGTATGTTTCTGTATTTACTTAGGAACACGTTTTGCATATACTCGTATCAAGTGACACTTACTTTGATATTATTATTAACTTATACGTCATTTTTCTATAAAAAGAATCTGCAGTACGTCATGTACAACTTGGTATAACCCAGATGATGAATTGAAATCTCCATCCCTACTAATATTATAAATGCGAAAGTAACTCTGGCTGTCTGTTTGTTACGATTTCACGCCTAAACCACTGAACTTATTTTAATGAAATTTGGTACAGAGATAGAGTTGACCTTGAGAAAGAATATAGGATAGTTTTTATCCCAGACTTTTGAAAGGTTCTCTTGGAAACGCGATATAACCGAACTCGAACCGAAAGCTAGTAAAGAATAAATTAAAGGCCTACTAATGTACTTATGACAGTTCAAAGCCATTTAAGTATGCAGTGAATGACTTGAGTAAACACTTTCAGCAAAACAAGCAGTGTTATACGAATATGTTTGCTATTTATTACCATAACTATGCATATTTGGTTTAAGCATTAGTGTTTTCAAGCTAACAAAAGATATATCGTTAGTAGAGATGAATACTTTAGAGGAATGTAGAATTGTATTAATATATTATTAAAGTGTTAAGGAATGTAGCTATAATTTAATCTTTTTATATCAGCTATTTGGCACTCAAAACCAGTTCAGTGGTTTCAAAGATATACCGTAACAAATTTCTAAAACATTTTTTTATGTGGTCCTTGTAATATGCACGTAGGAAAAATGCCGTTATTTTATGATTATAAACAGTTATTCCAGTTTAATTATTTTGTATAGCTTAAGAAGTTTATACAAAGTATAATAAAGATTCTAACTGCATCTATAACAAACATTCTATCACGAACGCATATTGACAAGCGGATTGACTCTTCAAATGATAGTTCGATTTCTTCATAGTGATGTGACTTTACATTCAAATAGAATTATTACGATAAATTATTTTAAAGTTGCCATTTTCATTCATAAGACGTCCAACTCTAGATATTTTCGATTTTCAGTAAAACCTCCTTGGTATATATATAAACTTATTAAAGCCGAACTTATTTAACTCTTGACATATGTTGCCAAACTTACGTAGTGAAAAGCGACTAGTAAAAATATAGTGTATAAAAAATATATGACGTTTAAATTCCAATTTTTGCAAAGTATTTTTACTGCGTACCATTATTTTTTATATTACTGAAGATATTTCAAACATGCATACACTTGCATCATTCTTCTGAGTAAGCTATAAAAGAATACGAGGTCTTAAGGCTCTATAATTATAATATTGTTATAACGAGTTGAGAATACTTAAATTAGAATTATATACAGTTTTGAGATAGTTCAAACTTCAAATTATTGTGTTGATTATCTATGGCAGAATCCAGATCTTTAGACCCCATCATTATAGTCGGCATATATAATAAAATACAGTTTCTGTTAAATTAATTATTATAATAAATAATTCATTAATAATAAGACATATATTTATACATCAATATTTATAAACAAAGTCATAAAATATTACTTACAGATAATAAAATAATAAATTTATTCTTGTTATGAAAATCGCTAGTCGATTCCAGATATGTCAGTAGACATAACGATTAGTGTTTTAAGATTTTTCATTAAAAAAATAGATTAAAAAATTAAATTAATTATATTTTATATGTATCAATTATTAAAATATTTTAACTGTCAGCGAATTTGTTAAGCATGTCAAATTTTTAAAAAAATGTACACCCGGTCTTATTTCTAAAATGTGATTAAACAATAAAAAAATAAATAATAAATGTTTGAAGAATTTATATCAATGCAATAAACAATTATCAGTTTTAATTTATAATTTAATGTTTCTTTTATTATGAACACAGTAGAAAAATAATTTTATGACAGTTAACCTTCGGCATACAAGGTGGGGTTATTTTAACCCCAACACTTTTAAATTGTGTTGATTTTATATTAAAACGAAACTAAACAACTTGATTTTCACAGTAGCTGGAGATTAAATATTGCCGCGTTAAATCACAGCGTCGGATCAGTGTTGCGCGCGCCAGCGCCGTGTGTACACGCGCCCAAAGTGGTTCCCGGGTGTTTTTAACCCCACGTTGTATGGGTCGTCGTGAAAAAAGTTTGTACCTACTTATGTGTTTTTTATGTTTTTACAGCTACAATAAGTGTTTTATTTATACTTTTTTATTTTTATTTCAGGTATAGATCGTCAATATGAATAATAACCTGCGGGATGATAGTATTGCTGCGGCCTTATTGGAAGAAAATGAATCTTTGTCGGATGATGAAATCTTTCTGCCTTCTAGTGATGACGAATCGGATCATATCAGCGAAGCTTCTGAAGTTCCAAGTGATACGGACGTGGAAGATGCCGAAATAAACATTGAACCACATTCAGATGATACGACATCAACACTTCAACCATTTTATCTAGGAAAAGATGGAAGAACAAAGTGGTATAAATCGCCACCGCGAACCAAAGTTCGAACAAGGGCCGAAAATCTTATTACTCATTTGCCTGGATGTAAATATGCAGCTCGACATAAAAAAACTCACCAAGAATGCTTCGAGACCTTTTTCACTGATGAAATCGTTGACATTGTTTTGAAGAATACGAACCAGAAGATTTCTTTGAGAATGGAGAACTCTACGTCTAATTCAACATACGGGGAAACTGACAAAGCTGAGATAAAAGCCGTTTTTGGGCTGTTGTTCTTGGCAGGGTTGTTTAGATCTGGTCGGCAAAGTCTTATAGACTTATGGAGTAATGACGGCACAGGAATTGAAGTATTTAGAAATACTATGACGAGGCAAAGATTTTCGTTTTTGATAAATAGCTTGAGATTTGATGATTCATCAACTCGTACAGCTAGAGTGGCTGACGATCGCTTGGCTCCAATTCGAGATATTTTTGAAATATTCGTCAAAAACTGTCAGAATGCCTATACACCGTATGAATACTTGACCATAGATGAAGAACTCGTGGCATTTAGAGGAAGATGTAGCTTTCGTCAGTACATACCATCCAAGCCAGCTAAGTATGGGTTGAAAATTTACGCGTTAGTGGATGCTAAAACATTTTACACAATGAACTTGGAAATTTATTGTGGAAAACATCCTGACAACAGTCCTTATACAGTGAGTAATAAGCCTTTTGATGTTGTCGATCGTTTGGTGAGATGCGTGTCTGGATCAGGAAGAAACATCACCATGGATAACTTTTTTATGAGTTATGAAACAGCTGAAAATTTGCTCAAAAACCACAAATTGACTGCCGTTGGTACACTAAGGTCGAACAAGACATGCATTCCACTCCAGTTCAAGGCTCGACGTGAAGAAAAATCATCTGTTTTTGGATTTCAAAAAGACATTACTATTGTATCCTACATACCAAAGCCGCGAAAATGTGTACATATGATGTCCTCATTACATCATGATGATGAGGTGGATCCAGAAAGCGGAGACCAAAGAAAACCGTCTATCATCACATTTTACAACTCGACAAAAAGTGGAGTTGATGTAGTTGATAAACTTGCGAGAACATACGATGTCTCCCGCAACTGTAAGCGCTGGCCTCTTACCGTATTTTTTTCCATGTTGAACCATGCTGGTATAAATGGTTTTATTGTGTATATGCTGAATAATGGCATTGAAAGGAACAAAACCAATCTAAGGAAGAACTTTATCAAGCGATTGGGACTTTCTTTAATCGAAGAGCACCACAGGAAAAGAAAGGATAATCCACATATACCACGAGAAATAAGAAGACGTGTGTGTGAAATGCTGAATGAAGAAGCTCCAGCACCACCACAAAAGCAACCAAGAAGGTCTCAGCGATGTTCTTTCTGTCCAAGAAACAAAGATAGGAAGACTCTGAACGGATGTTTCAAATGTAATGTCGCGATATGCAAGGAACATGCGAATTTGATGTGTCAAAATTGTACTGATTTACATGACGAATGATCTCGCTCAAATAGCCATAAAGAGCTAATTGTGATGTTTTTTATAAAGCCAAATATAGTTAGTTTTAGTATAATAAGTAAAATAATTAAGATAAGTATGAGAAATATTTTTGTTAATTTTTTATTCCACCTAATAACATTTTGTAAGATTTATGGAGAGGTTTTGTAATTTTTAAGTTTTTTTTATAATAAATGTTTAATTTGCTACTTTTTGTACTTCATTAATTAGATTTAATTATACCCGTCACAAAAAACCCATTCAAACTTATTACATAAGATTTACACACAGATTAGAGATAATCTCTTGTGGGGTTAATTTTACCCCACGTTGTATAGGTGAGGATTTTTTTTCACCTTGTATGCCGAAGGTTAAGAAATGAAGATGAAAGTGACAGTTGGTACAAACAGTTGTAAAGTGACGTAAGCATGACTTGCACTTGTGTTTGGTGTTCGAGATCTAGAAATTGATTTGATCTAACGAATTTTTTAATCTCCAACGTGAAAAGGAGTTTTATAGGTATGGCCTCGATAACTGTATACTTTTTTGTGGCTTAGTAGCTATCAAATACATCGACCGATTTTAGTGTTTTTTTTATTTGATAGCCAGTTTTCTTACGGTTGTTCTTAGCTATGTTAATGTTTAATTAATATCGGTAAAGCAGTAGAGGATTATCAGATCTTTTGAAAGTTATATAAGGCTATAAATGATATAAGGCTAAAACTTTAAGTTATTTGTTTCAACTTTGGCAAAATATTTAATTATAGAAAAAATATTTATTAAATTTACCTACATTGTAATTACAATAACGTTATCTAAATATGAAATAACGTTAAGAGATGACCAAAATTCATTTTATATTTAATAAATTAATTAATTTATTGTACAGTATTGTCATTAAATTAATTTTTATTTGTGAAACATAGCAACTGACAAAAATGTTAATTATATATTTGACATCGGTTTCTATTACGAAACTCATGTGTTTTCTGTTTAATCTTTATGTTTCAAGTTTATTCAGTGATTTCAAAAACAAATGGACTTCTTTTCAAATTAAAAGAAAATGAATATCCTATTAAAAGGTTATACTACTTATATACTCGTCTTAATAGTTAATGATAAAAATAAGTATAATAAAAAACTATCTATCTTAGAGATTTACGATATAAGAACTAGAATAGGTTCATTCTTATGTATTACACAAAATATTAATGAATATGTTACAACTAACAAATAAGTAACTAATATTTTAAGTTAGTTATTATACGAAATGTACCTATACTCAGTGTGGCAACACGGAGATTGTTTAAGAAATAGTTGGAGGTCATAATATGTGTGTCAGAATCATTATGTTTCTTTATTAATAAAATATTTCTAAATATCGTCACATAAAACTTAAAAAAATGTATAGATATGAATTTTTGTTTTAAATTCTGAGCAATTTGTTTACGTCTTTTCTTTTCGAAGCTATAAGATTCGGTCTTTTAGGGTCGAAAAATTCTATATTGGTAGAGTTAATTAGTTATAAATACATTATACCCAAGACATACAGGTTTCTCACCACCTAATAAATTATAAGTATTCTTCGTAAAAATATATGAATATTAAAAAAAAATCCACACCAATATTAGGTCATTAAGTGAAAGTAATTTTTACCATTTTGTTTAGACACGGCGAACAATGGCGGACATTCCGATCGAAGGTTCAACGACCTATACTCCAGCCTCAAACTGTGAAGAAGTATGTGACGCCAATCGAGATGGTCACTCAGGATTTTATAAAATATATGGAGAACGCAAGGGACGAAAACAACGATCTACCGCATGAGTTTGACAATGACATACATCGGTGGTCCTTGGAATGTAAGTGGAGTGACATATTAATAGAGTTGTCAATAAAGTAGTTTCATTGACTAGCTATTAGTTGACAAATTAATGAGATCTAAGATTTTCGCGAGTACACATTTAAATGAAACTAATATTTTCGGTTTTTACTTCGCGTTTTATTTTTGATTAGAAACTACACTAAACTAAACGTCGGGAGTATGTAGTTCTAATCAAAAATAAAACGCGAAGTAAAATCCGAAAATATTAGTTTCATTTAAATATTAGTTGACAATTTGACTACATGGTCTTTTGGCCAAATAAAAAATGTGATTTAAAATGAAATTTAATTAATTCAATCTGGACTTTGGATGCAAATACATATATTTAAATTGATCATTAGAAATCGCATAGAACTTTTTGAATTATTATATACTATGTAATTTCTATTGTTCAGTTGTTGTTCCTAATTTTTTGGAATTATACCTTAACAAAAAAGAAATGGGTACTCTTTAGAAATATTAGTTCTGTCTAGTTAGTTAGTCGCACATTCTATGCCTTTTCATACAAGTAAATTTAAATGGATCATTATAAATCAAATGAAACTTTTTGAATCTTTCTATATAATTTCTACTGTTCAGTTCGTGATTTTCCGAAATTACATGTATTTAAATACAAAAAAGAAATGGTTTCTATTTAAAAATATTAGTTCCATCAAACGAGTTAGTCACAAATTCTATTCCTAGTGTTAATTGCTATTGGATTTTCCATTTAGTAATATGTATGAAATTATCAGGTATCGGTCGTGTGGCGTTGGACGTTAGACTTGGTTGTCTGTCATCTGATGCATCAAACGAAGAACCGCAGCGTATTATAGATGCAGCCAAATTCGCGTTGCGCAACGTTGCTGTACTGGAACTAAAGGCGCCCTACTGGAGATACATCCCAACACCTTTGTGGACCAAATATGTGAATAACATGAACTTCTTCGTTGAGTGAGTGTCTATATCTTCTTCTACCTGGCAATTTCCCAGCTATAACCAGGGTCTGCCTTACATGTTGTGAATAGTTTTGGCTAATTGTCTTTACGACCGGCCGCCTGCCTGACATCAACCCTCTTTGGGAATGCATTAATCAGTGATGTCTAAATACTCTTAGAAAGTACATATGACTTAGAAAAATCACATTGGTACTTGCCAGGGCCAGGATCGAACCTGCGTCCTCAGCAACGAGAGGCGGGCCCTTTAACTGCTAGGCCACCACTGACTCTTGAGTGTCTATGTTTTATTGTTATAATACTATTTGTTTCTAATTTATTTGTATAGTACTGTTAACTACCAATAAGATGTCCCATGTTGCATACTGATTTGTTTGGAAAGCAAAATATATGTAAGAAACGTTTTCCCATCAGCCTTCTTTCTAATTAGGTACGAGAGAAGAGAAAATAGACTTTCCTGAAGTAAAATTCATATACCACCGTACCAAAAAAATCATAATGATATCTAGGATTTTTATCGATTTAAATAAAACTAGTTTTTGCGGATAGTACGCGTTTTATATTATTTTGTATCTATATGTTCCCAAAATTTTGTTTCGATAACAATTTCTACTCGTCTGACCATGGTCATATTTGCTTTAAAGGAATCGAGAAGTCGGGAACATGTAGATATAAAATAATAATAAAAGCGTAGTATCCGAAAAAATAGTTCCATTAAAAAAATAAGTTGATTTTGAAATCGGTTTGACTAATTGTACCACGATTATCGTTAACTTTATTTTTTGGTACAGAGCCCTGTAATTTAACTATAATAGACACTTATAAAATTATAATTGATATATTACGAGCAAAGTATGCTAAGTAGAATTTAAGAAATTTCTTCTCATAAACTTTCTTAATCACTAACTGATGTGCAGAACATTATGTGTTATATTGTCATGTGTATTGAAAATACCAAGTGTATACAACTCGCTGGTAATTCCTAAAACAACTGCATTCCTAGTCGATGACATTATATAGACGTGTTAATAGTATTTAACAACAAAAAACTGTTTTGAAATTCCCTGAATGTATTCTCGGTTTCCTTTTAGCTGGTTTTTGTACAAAAAATATGTTATTTTTTTATTAATTAATATAATTTTTTCGTTTCATTGATACAGATTATGCTCAAAATACATCAACGAAGCTCTTGAGCGTTTGAAAAGCAAGCAGGTGACTTCTGAGAACGACTTGTCATTATTGGAGAGAGTGTTGCAAAGCGAAGGGGACCCCAAGATTGCCACTATAATGGCGCTTGATTTAATACTTGTCGGCATTGATACGGTAATTATTATATATTTTGTCAACATTTTTGGAACGTACTTCGAAGGCAGTCCTAGTAGGTTCTTTTCAAATTTGGTTAGGTAGAGAGAGGAGCTTGGACAGTGGAGGTGAGCGTAAAACGCGCGTTAGTTAGACCCTTAAACCTACACCTGGGTCGCAAGTCCCAGGCACTGTTGAAGCTCCTCTCCCTACAACGATGGACCCGGCACTCGCTCGGTTAATACATGGAATGATAAGAGGTTTTGTCTATTGAATTAGATTATGTCTTATTTTAATTAACGATATATAAAAATGGTTAGCGAAATATAAATATAATAAAACTATTATAATTTTAATAGATCTCAATGGCGGTATGTTCAATATTATACCAAGCGGCGACAAGATTGAAACAACAAGAGAAAATGGCTGAAGAAATAAGAAGAGTGTTGCCAGATCCTGATAAACCTATCACTTACTCTGATTTGGACAAATTACATTACACCAAGGCTTTCGTTAGAGAAGTTTTTAGGTAAATAATTAGAAGAATAAACAAAATGTAAATATTATATAGTATATATTATAAATATTACGTTTTTTCTAGAATGTACTCGACTGTAATCGGCAATGGAAGGACATTACAAGAAGATGACGTGATATGTGGATATCACATTCCCAAGGGGGTAAGTTTGTATAGACTTAGTAATATTAATACGAATATTGTCTTTGCAAATACATATAAATTACAAATATATACATATTTTTGCCTAAATTCGCTTGTAACACTTAGAGTAATAATATTTTCAAGAGTAAATTTCTTAAACAATATGAAGAACCATGTTAAACACATTACTTCATAACGATTTTTGAAAAATTTCAAATTTTTTCTTAATTTTGCAATAATTTTGAGATTTGAGTAAATATATTAATTTTAATAATTGTATTGCAGGTACAAGTTGTATTTCCAACGATCGTAACAGGTAATATGGAGCAATTCGTTTCCAATCCTCATGAGTTCAGACCCGAACGTTGGTTGGAATCTAATGGAAGGTTACATTCATTCGCTTCTTTGCCTTACGGCTTCGGAGCCCGGATATGTTTGGGAAGACGGTTCGCTGATTTGGAGATTCAGGTCCTTTTGGCTAAGGTATAATTATATACGCATACTCAAAATTAATAACGTATATTTTTCTTATATAATTAAAAATAATTGATGAATTGAATGAGATCTAAGACTTCGAGTTTTATTCATTTAAATGAAACTAATATTTTTCGGATACTACGCGTGCTTTATTTTTGTAGAAAACTACATATAATATGTATACTCCCGACGTTTCGGTTACTTTACAGCAACCGTGATCATTAAGACGAGATGTGAATGTCTGTCAATTGACTCTATTATACTCGTACATATATACATATATGTATATATATTTATAAGTTTCATTTAATTGAAGAACTGAAAATTTTTGCATAACTATATCAATTATATATAACTAGTAATTTACGTAGATTTTATTTTCAAACTTAACTTCTCTTCTAACTATAGCCCAAACTATACCTTACCATATATTAATATAATATCAATATTACCACCAGTTGCTTCGTCGTTACCGTCTCGAGTATCATCACGAGCCGTTAGAATACGCCGTCACATTCATGTACGCACCCGACGGACCATTAAGACTGAGGATGATAGAACGATAGATCAAAACAGATCCAACGAAACAAGATAAACTATGTAAACAAAACCACGTGGTCATTACAAATATCTCTGTACTATTTTTACTTAAGTATAACGACTGACTGTATATCTTTAAAATGTGTTTGTTATCTGTTAATACTTTGGAACTACATTTGGTGATTTGTTATAGAAAAAATTATGATTTTCTATAAAAATATGTAATGTATACTAACAAGGATTCGTAACGAAATAAAAACACTTCATAAAACTCTGATAATTTGTTTGTATTTTTTTATTCACGTTTGTTGGAACTGCTTTAATTGTTTCTGATTAAATATATTAGGAGTTTAGTTAAAAATATATGAGGAATGCTGAAATTTTAAATCACTTTTATTTCTCAAAAGTTGACATTGTTGTAATCGTAAGTAAAATCTGGAGAGCTATTATTTCTGCGTTCAAAACATATACATATATGTATAATATATAGCACAGTTAAGAAATTGTTAGCATAAATTTTCTCTTAAAGCCTCATATTAAGTTACGAATGTATAAATGCGGCAAAATTTCTTCTTTTTGTATTGCTTTTATTATTTTATATAAAGTAATAAATTTATAAAATTTATTATTTTATATAAAGTAATAAATTCTGTTCATAATCTTGTTTTATTTCAATATATTTAAGATATACGCTTAAAATTACTTTTTTATTATAAACCATTTGCATGATAACAAAAGGATTTTTACAAAAGATAACTAATTTACTATTTAAGTTCTAACATATATAAAAACAGTAATATCCGAATTATAAGGTATTTAAACATCAATGATTAAAGCATTCCCAAAAGAGGGTTGATGTCAGGCAGGCGGCCGGTCGTAAAAACAACTAGCCAAAACTATTTATAACATGTAAGGCAGATCCTGGCTAAAGCTGTTAAATTGCCAGGTAGAAGAAGAAGTTATTAAAATTAAGGTATTAAAACTTTTTGCTAATAATTTAAGAGTTTTAAATACACTTGAAGTATTTAGTATTCATTTTTATTATGGTGTAAGACTACATATTTGCGATGGCTACATGCTAACCGGTTGTAATTTACTTTACCGACACACCCTGTAATTACGACTAAAACCAGAAACGAGCAAACATTCTGTCATTCCTACAAAAATATGTCACGGAATATTATGAAAGACTTCGCTGTTTGAATAATTATATGTACAATATTTAATACGACACAATTAAGATATTTGTTTTACGTAACTAAAATTAAAACTAAAAACTGATGTACATAAAATATATGATATAAAATTAATAATTGACTGTTATTTATTTGAATTTATTAATAATATACTTAAATTATTTGTATAAAGGTAATTCATTCCGTAATTAATTTAGCTCATGCTATCTTATTAAGAAGCATAAATAAGCGCCTGTGATAAATTAATAGCAATAAAATGTATATAAGATACACATTATTAAAATAATATAATTAAATCAATTTAATTTATTTATGTAATACAAAGTTATATAATAATATTATTACCTTTGGTAAATTATTTGAGTTATTCACCATGGTTGCTAATTAATGATTTTTTTAATATATTTCTAAGATAACTGAAAAAAGAAGTAGAAAAATTTTAATCTGGATTTTGTTACACAAAACAAAAAAAAATTCCTGTCGAAAACGAAATAGGACAATTAATTATATATACTCAACATATTGGAACATTGAAATATAAATTATACAAAAATATAAAATCTACAAGCGTTTATTTCAAACACATTATTTTACAAAAGCTTTGGAAATAGTGCTATTATTGAAAATCTATTGAGAAATACCACACTTAGGTGTGAAAGAATTGTTAATGAGGCATTTAAATAACATATTAAGATATAATATTAAACACAGCAATAATAAAAAAATACAAATAAGTACATATGAAAAATTCTAAGAAAAGAAGATTTGTGTTTTTGTAAATGGCTTTTTCCTTTTTCTCTTTACGATATAGTTTTTTTTGTGTATTCTGTTTATTTTTTCAACTATGACATGAGTTATTCTTTAATTTGCGTGTCTACTATACCAACATTCAATATGTTTTTTATCAATTTCTATTTATTAATATAATTTTTAATTGGCAAACATAACAGGTCAATCAGGCACTACATAGCTTCAATTTATTATTTATGTTATAAGAAAATGAAAGTCGTTTTTTGTATCACGAAACCGGTTTCGCAACGAAATGTTATGGTCCATAGTAACAAAAGATATTGTAATATGATTTAAATATATATTCACATATGAATAAGAACAATGTATATTAATGTCGTGCATTAACATCTAAAAAGGATGTATAGATAAAGTTTGTAAGAATTAACATGTTTAAAGCTGAATAATTTAAGTCTTTGTCTCAAACAAAGTAAGACAATATTGTGTATACATTTACTCTATGTGTACAAAATAAATATAAATTTGGAATTAATTCCTACTAATATTATAAATGATAGTAACTCTGTCTGTCTGTTACGCTTTCACGCCTAAACCACTGAACTGATTTGATGGAAATTTGGAACAGAGATAAAGTTGACCTTGAGAAAGAACATAGGATAGTTTTTATCTCAGACTTTTAAAAAGTTCTCTTGGAAACGCGATATAACAGAACTCCTCGCGGGCGAAGCTGCGGGCGGAAAGCTAGTATTTAATAAACTGAATGTTTGATGCTTATAATATCCCAAAATTAAATATTTTAGTTTGTTGTGTTATGATATAAAAATGCAATTTTCAATTCAATATTGTCATCGCATATATGGTAATCAAAATTTTATAAAATATTATAAAAATGTACGTATATGTTTGAATTTGGCTCCAAATTAATATGTGTTATAATATTTTTCTTCATATTATCATCTGTTTTAATACATTCCATACAAGAAATGTTCTATCCTCCTTAATTTTAGGTATCAAGGTGATAAATTAAAAATAAATTATAAAGAGGTCTTCCAAAGTTCTTTCATTTGCTTCACCCACTCAAATGCATGATAAATAGTTTTTTTTCGTATATATTTAAGTCTTTATATTTCTTAGTAATTATAGATTTAATACTTTATTTATAGGATTGTTATTTACATGTATGTATTTCTTGGTATATACAAGGAAGTCCTCATTCATGTTTATGAGGTGTTTGTAATTAATTATCCACGAAGATTCATGATTTGTATATACATATGCTTGTCGAAATAAATTTTATTGCTTATATACTAACATATAATAGCGACGTTTTTCGATTATTTCAATATTTCTAATGATTTTTTTATCCAATAATTGATTATTAGAAAGTTTGACGCTATTTATTTTTATGAAGTTTTATTGTAATATAAATGACGAAATATTGTGTGATATAATACTGCGATGTTTTATTACAAAAGAATAAGTATCTAACAAATTACAATGATAATTTTGAAGTATAGTATTCAACAGCCAAATGACTTAACCTTTTGATGTGAGTACAAACGATTTAAGTTGAGAGAAATCTGCGGCTTTAAAGGAGTTTCTACTTAAGATTTCTTCTCTTTAACATACTTTTTGACAAAAAAACTGTTGCTTTATAATAACATCAATCACTTACGAAGATGTTTTATCGTAAGTGTTCACGTGTATTTTAAAGATTTGTTTTTAAAATTGTACATTGCTTCGTTCGTGAACAGCCGTTATGCCTTTCTTTGTTGTTGTCTAGAATATAGAATTAGTTTTATTGAATTGGGTATATTTAAAACTTACTTTATTCAGCTTAACGAGGAATGCGACCTGAATTTAAGACGAGGGAGGTGAAATTTTTATAAAATAATTACTTGTCGAGCAATGACCCTACTGTATGTTTTTTTCGTCCATTTAATGCACCATACGAAGTAGAATAATTAGTTAAATTTTTAAACAATTAAATATTAATTTATCTTTAATAATAATATAATTCTTTTTCTTTATAATTTTAATTTCATTAGAAACTTTCTGTAACAGTAAATTATAACTGTATAAAAATTTAAATTCGTTCTGAATTTTATAGCATCAAATGATTTTAATTTACATGTTTAATTCATAACGAAAAATAATTATAATGATATTCATGTTTGTGAAATTTTTGCATTATTATTTAAATATTTTATTAATAGGATTCTATAGCCTTTAGTCTGTAGCCTTTTATCTTTGAATACATATAAATATTGTTAATATGTTTGTATGTTTATTACGCTTTTATGTAGAAACCATTTTACGGCATTACATTCCTAGTTATATGGCTTATACAAATAATAACATAAGTTACTTATTGAGACAATACTTAAGTCTTCGTACAACATAAAAAGTTTTTTTTTGCATAATTTGTTTAAGTATTTACGAACATAATCGTATACTAACAAAATGAAGCAAAATAATTGATTTAAACTACAAATTAAATATTAATTGATTTTGCATGATTGAATGTAACATTTAATTATATAATTATTTAATTAATACTTTCTCCATATGATATTACATTCACTGAAACACTGAAACGTATAGGAACTTTCAACGGTTGTGTAATGTAATAGGTTTGGAGTTGTATCAAATTGTATATAGTATCCATTGTAAGACGATAAATAAACACGCGTTACATATGAAGAAAATAAAATGCACATCGCCGGGGCGACATCTTTGAATCGGTAAAATATCGTATAACGAGTGACGCCGCTGACTCCGTGGAACGAACACCAAGCCGTGTGAATAATCAGAAGCTTCCTTACACCATACAAACAATAGAATCTTATTGTCATCCTAACATCGGGGCAATCATGTAGTCTTAGGTATAGGTTATGAGTTTTAACATGTAATTCTTATTTTAATATACATATAAGTATAATTCGTAGTTTTCCTGGAACCTCCGATTGTCACCCTATATAATTCAGGTTTATGCACAAATATAATATACACATTTCCATAATTAAAATTGCTTTAGCTATGTATTTTTTTATTACTAAATAGATGTAGATTTAGAAAATAATTAAATTAGATCGCAATCTGTATCTGTTATAGAATATAAGAAAGCTATAGATTATTGAATTACATGAATTAATAAGTTAATTCTTAATGAACCATAAAAATGTATAACATTTATTTATGGAAGAGATTATATTATTATATTGTATTGTCTGACATTATCCGTCATCCGTCACGTCCAATGGAAACAGTTCTTAGTAATGGTATCGTGGTTTGTACAAGGAAAGTATCAGTACGTCGGTGGCGTGCGAAATATAAACACAAACCTTGCTATAATAACATAATAATATGAAACTGTGAGAATAGTGACGTGAATTATATTAATGTGATTTATATTTAATGTATATATAAATAAGGCTTAAAATTGTGTGAAGTTTTAAATATAAATAGTGAGTATTTTTTTTTCATTTTTTTTACAGTAATTTTTTTATAGCGTAAATTATTTGCTGTTACTGTATTTTTATAATTATTCAATATGATATTTAAGTTTTTTTTTAAATTTAATTTTGACAAAATTGTGCAAATGTATTTAATTTATGAATAATTAATTTAAATATTTTAACGGTATATCTTTCAATAAAATGAAAGTTTTGCTTAAACAGGTTAGGTTACCTGATACGAAACTCGTTTCAGAGGATATTAAGGCTTTATATATAAAAAATATCAATCAAAGAAAGAGGACACAATTTTAATATTCAACTAAACGGTGAATAAAGCGGACTTTTTTATTGCTTAACTAAATGTATATTATAATTTCATAATTAAAAAAACGAATTGAAACGAAGAAGATAAATGAAGCACAACATTGTCAAAATTATAAAAAAAAAATTATCAATGAAGATCACATTTTTTTTCAATAGAAGTGATATTTATGTTTTTTTTGCTAAATTTAAATATAGCTAAATTGTATAATCAGTATAGTTGACCTATTTATTCTTTGTTTAGAGTAAAACTATCGATCTATTTCATTTCAAGAAAGTTATCAAACTATTATTCTATAAGTAAATAAAGTGTAGCTAGTATGTTTGTAGAACCTATATGTCTTACTACCTAAAAAGTCTAATATGTTGGGTATTCGGAAAAAATAAGCAATTTCAAGGAATACTTCTATGTATTACATAACATTACGTGCGTGTGAGTATTTAATGATGTAGGTATGTGCTCATTAATTACAAAATGCAAACGTTAAAAGGCAAATAACACTTAAAATGAATAATATAGAATGCTAATTTTTATTTTATAAATATCATCCAAATGTTGATGTTTTTTTTCGTATCACGATAAATATATTAAAATTACTAGAATAAAAGAAATTTAATTAATGAAACATATTTGGTAGAGATGCATTATATGTTATTTCGTTTAAATCTACTGTTGTGTAACAAAATCATTATATCAATAGCTAGGGAGGTTTAGTTATTAAAAACAACGATCAAGTTTAAATATCAAACTATTATTATACCATGACAAGCCATCCAAATTGCTTTGTAACTGATACTTCTCAGCTTACGAGATGATATCAAACATGTGTAATTCATTCTGACATTTGGAGAGAATAATAAATTAAATAGGCAGAGAGAGGAGCTTAGACGGTGGAGGTGAGAGTTTAACTCACGTTAGATAGGGAGCCTTATAAACTACTACTGGGTCGCAAGTCCCAGTTACTGTTGAAGCTCCTCTCCCTGCAACGATGGACCCGGCACTCGCACGGTGAATCCATTGAATGCTAAGAGGTTTCTTCTCTTTGAAGACAATATAATATATTTTTCTAATATTAACATCCTTGAAGTAATGTCTGTTTAATAAAAATATTATTAAGATAATGTTCTTTAGTAATTTATTAATATGAATGCATTTGGTTCAATGATTTTGTGTGTTTTCGTGTATACTAAATTGTTGCTGGAATGTTAAAAATATAATAAAGTTCACTTCAATTTAAGGTTCACGTGTAACAATGAGAAATCGTCTCAACATCGTGCGATGGCCTCTGCGTGTCTGCAAACGAAGACTGGCGTCACAACGAAATGTGGCTTCCGATGGCGAAATTGGTAATTAACGTGGCACATAATTATTACTCAGTCTTAAAAAAAAACTTTAAGTAGACGCTTTACAGTTTATGTTGTCGCTTTACATTATATTTTGACAATTTTATGTTGACGGTTTACATTTATTCTGTTATCTGTAAGTCTGGAAAAATAATTAAGATTTTATTGTTACTGTATTCCGAGTATATGAAAAGGTTATTAAGTTAAAATGGTTAAGGTTTATTAATACAAAGAGAGATCTTGAATTGTATGACTGTAACATTTTTATTTTCTGTACGACCTAGATCTTTAAAGCGAGATTAAGGCTCATGTTATATGAAAGCCTTTGTAACATAAAATCTCACGTATATTGTTACTTACGGTATAAAAATATATAAATTTATGAAACCGTTATTTTCTTATGATCCATATATGAGATACTTGACTGGCAAGTATTAAAAATTTAAGGTCTTTTTATGTATGTGTAAAACTTGTATGTATCCTGGAAACACAATAAAAATCACATTGTTTACGATCTCACTTATATTATATAGGTATGTATATAATAAGGAATGGGACGGAGGATATATTTATTCGATTTTAATTAAATATAATTTCATATAATACTAGTATTTTCCCGCGACTTCGTCTGCGTTAGTTTCAGATATACAACTGATCGATCTCTATTCCCCCTTAAAGACACCATATAAGAAGATTTTAGATTTGATCAACTAATTTTTTCTTTTTCAATCGGATGAAAAGTATCCTATGTCCTTTCCCTTGTTCTAAGCTATCTCTCCACCAATTTCCAACCATACCCTTACAGCCGTTCTTGTGTTATAAATAGTGTACCTAACTCGTATATATAGATTAAACTCTAACTTATATATAACTAACTTATATATAAACTCTAACTTATATATATATAGATTAGAGTATAATAACTTTTGTTATAGGTAAAATATCACATGTCCAAACCTGCCCGGTCAAAGGTCACAGATCAAGATCAACACAGGCTGTAACGCCCCTTGAATCAATTACATCAGTAAAACCCTGGGAAGATGTTCCAGGGCCTAAACCACTACCTCTTTTAGGAAACACTTGGAGATTCATACCGTATATTGGTGAGTAAAATTCTATCTTCTTATAGTCTTTTTATTCCTCTTTTTATGTTTATAAAACGTAAGATAATAAGGTAGTATTATTTTTATCTATTTCATTTTTATATCAAATTAATGTCAATTGAATTTTATTGAATATTATCTTCATTTTTATAATTATATATTTTTTTTACAATTTTATTTCCAACATTCCCGTTACTTGCATATTAACAAGCTATTATGCTTTTGTAATTAATTCCTGCAAGGTTAGATGGATAAAAATAGTGGTTAACAACACAACCAATCAAACTTGCCAAATAATATTACGTCATTATATCATATGTTTCAAAACTATTTTTTATTACTATGATGAAAAACTAGCGGTAGTAAAGATCGCTTGAATAATAAGCGAAGACCTCACAAAAAGAGTGAATGACTGAACGAATTGAATGAATGAATGAATGAATCAGTTCGTTCATCTTTTAAATCAAGGAGAATTACTCAAATTTGTTCTGGCTTAAGCAAAAGTGGGGTCGATCTTCAGTAGAAGTCATGCTTATAATTTTACCTTTTCGTGACACCCGGTGGTATTAATACAGCATGTATTTATAGATTTATGTTTTCAAGTAGTATATTACGCTTAGAAAGGACCAGCACGTTCATATGGTCTCCACTTTATTCGGATCCCTTATCAATATACTTTGTTAATTTGGTGCCGACTTAAACACAAAAAATTCTTTTGGCATTGTGCGGTTCAAATATGTGTGTTATAATAACGAATGTAATCAAAAGAGATGAGTTTTCGTTCAAACTCAACGTATTTGGTAATCGTAAAACAGATAGCTTTGTTGACTACAACATTAGTAGCTCGTTACAAGATTTTTGTGTATTCATTCGTTATACATATTTGTCTGTAATCGTAGATCGTTAGATAATTTGAAGTATCGGTTTTTTAGGTCATAGAAATGATATTAAGCACAGAAAAAGCGAATTATAAGTACAAATATTGTATACTGAAAACACAATATTTTCATTTGTTCTATATAGTATATTTTGTGAAAAAAAGTGTGTATATAATGTAATGTGTAATCGGCAAAATTTATAGCTTTACCATATATGAGAAGTAACATCGGTCATTATTTTTATATAAGATGTAATAACGCCTACAATATGTATATAATTGCAACTGGACTTTTAAGAGTTCGCTGTCCGGCAATCGGTCGAAATCGGCCACTGTTATACATTCCAATGATACTCCTACGTGCTGAGAATAATATATGCATATATTAAATTATATACATACTTTTATATATTACGTATGTTGCAAGACAAAGATTATTATTTAGATGTACGATAATAGATAAGTTTTATGAAATTACCATGATTTTTTAAGACTTATTACAATAAAAAACATAGGTATATTTTGAGTTATATTTAATAAGTAATTTAGTAAATGTTCAGAGTTAATTTAAATGAAACTAAATTTTTGGATAATTATGCTTTGAAAAGTAATCGATACGGGATAAAAGTTGTCACTTATTTTTCATCTCATTTGCCCATGATCACGGTTGCTGCAAAGTAACTGAAATCTTGGGAGCATGTAGCTATTTAAAAATAATAAAAAAACCGTAGTAAATCTGAAGACAGTAGTTTTATTTAAATGAATACTCGAAAAAGTATTAGATCTCATTAAGTAATTGATAGGAGAGGGAAATGTAGAAATGAAATAATAATGAACGCTTTGTTATCTTTAAAGATTTAAAAAAAGTTCAAATATTAGCAAAGACATATCTTTTAAACATTTTAAATAGATGAATTCAATATATACTTATTACATATATATACATATATACAGATCTTTTAGTATACTTTATCAATGTAAATCTGATTTATAAATATCGTATTTTCCATGTCAAAATAAATAACAATTTATTTTAATATGGATAAAATCTTTGTCAATAATTATTGTTCATAAGTTTTTATGATGATAGTATGTATGTATTGAAAATTGTAATTTAATCTTTTTTACATGTTAAGTAGTATTGGTCCTCTATGAATGAAAAGTGTGACGTACCATAGATACAATCAATATATTTTGAGTAAGGCCCTTTTTTAGAGTATTGATCAAGATTTTAATAATTCTCTATTAATAGAATCTTAATTAATGAAAAAAAATCAAGTTTGTTATTCATTTATAAATGTTGACGAGAATATTTTCATCAAACGCACAAAATTGAGTAACGATTTTAAAACATAATTTAATAATATATATTCGTTTGTATCTTATTAATAATAAAAGTCGTAAATAATAGTTAACAACGCAATCAAATTTTAGGTTAGTGGGTTAGATGTAAAGATCTGTTCATTTAACAATAAGGCTCCATTCACATGATACGATCCCACAATTTGATGAGGCTAATAAAATTAAAAGAATAATATATAAAAATGTTTTAAAAGCGATATATATATCATAATATAACTTCGGAGTCGTGGGCACGAAAGCTGTGAAGTATTTGTTTTCCAAGCTGTAGATAAATTTGAACGCCACCTTTTATTTAAACTTCTGACGAGAGCTTCAGATCTGAATAGTATACGCGGGGTTTAGTTTTCAATTTTCATACAGATACGTATAGAACAAGAAATTGTATAGGTGTATCAAATGAGAGTGCAGATAGACGTTTTCATAGATCAAAGGAATTTGCAAGAGGTGTAAATATAATTTTGAGAACTTACTTGATTATTACTGAAATATTTTATCAAAAACTAGAAGACCTGGCGAACTTCGTATCGCCTTATAATCAACAAATATCTATTACGTTTTTTTATTTATATTTTTGGAGTTTACCTGTAAGCCATATATCTCCGTGTTTTGAAGTGCGACAGAATGATTGACATATTAGTTAGTTGTCAAATCTAGTTGTAAAAAAAAAACGTTTGTATGGGAAATAGAAAAGGGCTGTTCTTATGGCTTTCCCAGTAATGAATCAATTTTTTTCAGCTTTCATACCTTCCCTGAACCTCCACGAACATTTCAAGACTAAGATAAGATAAATCCGTTCAGCTGTTCTGGAGTTTTAGCGAGACTAAGGAACAGCAATCCATTTTTATATATATAGAAGATCACGGAGACATACGATCTGCGTTAGTGGATGTAGGCGTATGCGTGTGTGTGTGAGTTTTAAGTCTGACTTTCATGTTACAGGATGAACAGCATATATTTTTAGTACATTGAACTTTTACATTTATAATAGAAAGAAGAAAAAATTAGCTTAATATGCATATATATGACATATGTATGCATAATATATGCTGTGAACATTCTTACAAATTTAAGGCGCGGCCGTACTTTATCTTAAGTCAGAATTGATTTTCGCAATACTTTATAACTATTATATTTGATTTATTTATATGTTTTTTTCATTCTTTCAGTAAAAAGCCATATAATTTCATTCTTTAAGCTTGACGTAATTATTACATGTATGTACAAATTCTACGTGTCCACAGCGTCTTGTTAGCAGTTCAATGTTAATAGAAAAGTATGTATTTTCTTTATTACTGCCATTTATAATATAATTTGCGTCAACTTCTTAAGTGATATGATTTATTTTTAATGGGACTGAAAGGTAATTTTATTTTCTTTTGAAAAGTAAGAGCTTAGGGACAATCTAGTAATATATATTTAGTTGTCTTATCTATTTCCTTTAATTTTAGCAGTATTTTATGAATATTCATATAAAAACATTAAATTTTAGTTATCAAATCTTTAAAAGGCCACTTACTAGTTAATTTGCATGGGTGTTATTTAAAATATATGTACTGTTAATTAGTCAACAACTTTTACGTATCAAAAATTAAGTCATATATATATATATATATATATATATATATATATATATATATATATATATATATATATAATAAAATAATACCTATCTTATATCCAAGTTTAATCGCTTTAAAACCACACTATCAAATCTATTACGAATTTGTTATTATCCAATAACATCCATCTTGTTGGTGAATTGTCATAGAAATTAATTACCCATCAAAATAAATTCTATAAAACAAAAAGGATACTGCTTTTAGGAAAGGGAAAACTTGCACATACTTTAAAGGTCAAATTGTCAAGGTCGTGATGTTAAGACGATTACTTTTAATCGAGGCCGCATATAAATACCCATTTCGATTTTTATCACGAAATACTTTTGTTTTATAGAAAAAGAGAATAATTAAACTTATCGTATATCTCTCTAACTTTATAAGATTGGATATTGTACAATAATGAAACTATAAAACACAAAAAAATATATAACTTTATTGAACAATAGGTATACAAAATGGAAGTAGTGTATAGAAAAAAAAGAAAACAAAAATCTTTGTGTAATACTTATGAAATAAATGATATGAAAATCTTCGAAATTCTAAAAAAATCTAAAACCACATTTATTAATCTATTTTTTTTAAAGTTTACATTTTTTAAGTTTTTCTATTTTTGAAGCCAGTGAAAAAAATCTGTATTGAAATCTATGTATTATGTATTAGTTCAACAGTCTGGTTTTTTAGAATGACTAAACAACAATCTCTTTAAAATTATACACCAACTATAATTAAGAGAATGGAATATGAAATTATAATAGTATATTTTTATATTAAAGAATGAATTAATAAGAAGATAATACCTATAAAATAATGCAAGTGTCTATTCTTACAATCGTAATGTCGACTGACATCTCGTGCATACAAATTGTTGTCAAAACTTTCATTGTAATGATGTACGCTTACGAAATATGAAATAAGTACAAGGTTGAAGATTGTTATGTCTTGAATTTATATTGTAGTTGTGTCCTATTACCAAAAATATGGTATGGCAGTTGAACCTGTATGCTTAACACAATTTTTCATTCGTTAACCTATGTTAATACCGAAATGTGAGATTTGTATGTAGTGTGACAATGCAAATATAGATTACCCATACTGATAACTCATTATTGTTTTTTGTTTTATTCGCGTTAATATCGGCAACATATAGCTGACCGGGCGAATTATTATAGAGTCTTAAACAACCAGTAATTGGAATTTATTAAGTTTTTTTTCGATTGAATAGACTTAAATATGTTATGTCCGTCGCCTGCGTATAAACTACCTACCCCCCAATCTTTAACCATTCCTACCGCCGTTCTTGGGTTATAGATAGTGTAATTAACATAACTTTCTTTTACATATAATATTACCGATGATATATATGTATACGGATCTATATTCTTTTTAACTATACTTAAAATAAATTTATTTAATGTGTTGAATGAATTTGAGAAAGTAATGTTCAGACCATATTAATTGCCTAATAATAAGTGCATAACACAGTTAAATACTAAGGTATGTATGATAAAATAAACATTTTTCTTATTCTTTGTTGCGTTACGTTCAACGTGTTTTAGATTATGCAATATCCGATATTAATTACAGATGCAAAGTCTTAAATTATTTGATTACAATTTATTCTGAGTATACGGGTTGTGGTAATTGTGGTATTTTTTAATTTCAATTCAATACAAATAAAATACAAGTAGAATTAACTTTAGATGAGCATTTAAAGAAGCAATGATGTAAGAATTTGAAATTTCGACCATACATTATAATATTATTAAGTCTATTCAAATGTACATTAAAAGATTTTATCAAAATACTTAGTCCTTTCTGACTAGTGTTGTTTAATTTCCTCTGTTGTAATTCTAGCAAGTTATGCTTGGGAGCTCACAACGCACTTGTTACTATACATAATTGCTGTTTCAAAACTTCGTCAGTAATTATTTTGTATTTTTGTCATAAATTATTAGATACATTCAAGTGACATTTAAGAAAAATAAATTTATGTGAATGAAGTAATGTGAATTCCCTTTCGTATTAAATAAAACTAAATGTACGTGTAATTGGATTGATATTATAATATTTTGAAGGATATTCTTTTGTAATCATTTTTAATACAGAGATATTAAATTCTATAAATCTGTGATGAAACAGTCGTAAAAAATAACAAAAATGCGGTTTGAGAGACTAAAATATTACGCAAATTCACTCAGGTCAATACGAAATTACTATGTAAAAGAGCTCGTATGTATCAATTATAAAAGATATATTCCTTTGACACATAACTTAAACAAACATAAGCAGTACATTTAAAAAAATCCTACATCAATATATAAATACAGATAAATTTAAACATATTGACATTAAATTAAGAGAAAGATAAAGTTCAGTTTTTTATTGCAAACAGAAAGTTGTAGTGCAAGATGGGAACCAAAACGTAAAAAGTAGGGTGAATTCATTGCGATTTCGCGGACATTTTACTGTAATTTAAAGCCTTACTTTGTTTCAAACTGGATTAATTTTAAAAGTACGGTGTGGCTGTCAATGATATACAAAGAGAGCGGTCGTGATTAGAGAGTTGGTATCAAGATATTATCCGCAAAATCGTTACTTTCTTGCTTGAAGGGTACCTTTCTATTATTTTAATGGAGAGATTAGAAAAAAATCTTAATGCATACAGTGTAAACGAAAAGAAATGTTAAAATATTGGCGTTTAAAACTTATATGTGACATATAATTGTTTCATTATCATTATTTTTAATGACTTTTAATAATGGAACTATTTACTCGTAATTTCGTTTTATGATCTTCAGCTTGGTTTTTCTTTTAAAAACCTGACTTTAAGGAGATTTTAATAGTTTTTTATTTCTCATCTTTCCAGGTGGATATTCAGTAGAGCATGTCGACAAAGTGTGTCTATCTTTGCGCCAGCAATATGGAGATTGCGTCAAAATGGCAGGTCTACTCGGTAGACCGGATATGTTGTTCGTTTTTGATGCGAGCGAAGTTGAACGAGTATTTAGAGGGGAAGATTCGGCGCCTCACAGGTAATTTTAAGAATTTTTAAAGAAAATCTTTGCTTATTAACAATGAATTACTTAAAACGAGAAGACAGATTTTTAACTTTACTTGCGAAGTATATAACAATATGTAAAATACGAATTTATTTCTTAATTATAATTTTTCTTTTCAGACCATCAATGCCCTCGTTGAATTATTACAAACATACCTTAAGAAAAGATTTTTTTGGTGCCGAAAAGGATTGCGCCGGTGTTATTGCAGTGTGAGTAATTTTATATGGTTTTAACACACTTTAAAAAAGTGGTACTTATATTTATAGGCTCGCTTTGGATGTTTTTTTTTCATACTACAAAGTATTAGTATTATTTCAAATTAATGTACATAATAGATCATCTTATCGGAATGTTATATAAAATTTTATCACCCTAAAAAACTACTTATATTTGATTTACTATAAGTAGTTTTTTTTTAGGGTAGGTAAACATTATTTGATAAATCTTATGAAATTATTAATTTGACCTACCAACAATTCATTGTATGTATAATCCGTTTATATTTAATCTGTAAACAATTTTAAGATATTTATACAATGATGAACGGCACGATGTGCAAATAGTAGTAGTAGTAGTAGACATTTTGTCACGTACGAATTCCAAAGCTTCTGCATTTTTTCTTATAAAATCTTACTACTTATCTTATAGATGACTTAAAGAAAAAAATAACTCGTATTTTATCTATACCATTGGCATAGAATTATTATTCTTAATCCCTACTAATATTATAAATGCGAAAGTAACTCTGTCTGTCTGTTATGTTTTCACACCTAAACCACTGAACTGATTTTAATGAAATTTGCTACAGAGATGGAATTGACCTTGTAAAAGAACATAGGATAGTTTTTATGCCAGGCTTTTGAAAGGTTCTCTTAGAAACGCGATATAACCGAACTCCACTCGGGCGAAGCTGCGGGCGGAACGCTAGTTTATATATGAAGCTCTTAATTCAGAAGCCAAGAATTCTTTTGTTAGTCATATCTTTGGATAAAATAGATTTGTTTTCCACAGTCATGGAGATTCCTGGTCAGCTTTTAGGACTAAAGTATCCCGTGTCGCTCTCAGTGCTGGCGCCGCAGCTCAATACACCGAACAAGTTGGAGAAGTAGCTGATGCTTTTGTTAACAGGTAATATATTTTTTTTGCTTATTTGACCAAAATATATAGAGCTCTCTCCCAGAATGAAGTTAAGTTTAATAAAATCTATAACATTTCCCTTATAGGGTACGACAAATAAGAAATGAAAGGAAAGAAACACCGGACGACTTTCTAAATGAAGTTCATAAATGGTCATTAGAATGTAAGTGAGTTTGTACCGAGTATGTTGTTTTATTATCTCGTGGATCATTAATGGAAGAAGCAAAAAGTATTCGTTTTCTCAATTACTTCATATAATGACATATTAATGAGAAAAATTCTTTTTAATCTTTGTTTTTTCACTAAGAGAAATAATGATTTTATTTCCAGCGTTAGGACTTATTGCGTTGGACACGAGGTTAGGCTGTTTGGAGCAACACGAAGGTTCGGAGACTCAGCAGCTTATAGATGCTGTAAATACTTTCTTCTTGTGTGTTGGAGAGCTGGAACTTAGGGCACCTTGGTGGAGAGTTTACCCCACGGCCATGTTCAAGAGATATGTGGCGGCTTTAGATACTATACTTAGGTAAATTTTCTAAAATACTATCTAAACTAAATGAAGTAAGCACAAATAGTTATGTCAATTAATGGCCATAATTATACGTCACTGTTTCACTTTCTTTTAGTGTAACTCAGTCTCATGTGAACCGTGCATTAAAGGAATGTCAAGCTAACCCAAACGGCAGTAAATCTCTTCTTCAAGACCTGGTATCAGCAGCCGGACCTCGTGTTGCAGCAGTAGCAGCACTTGATATGTTCCTTGTGGGCATTGACACGGTAAGCTATTAAAAGGACTTATACGGAATTGATTTAATATTTCAAAATTATTTTTCTATGTTATTCCGAATGGATTGTTGACAATCTATTGACCAGTTTTGTTAAGGCTATAAAGAGCTTAAATAAGTAAACATTTCTTTGTGCTTAAGCAATTTTTAATTCATTTAATGTTGATAAAAAAATACTATTAAAATAGTTGTAAATAAAAATTTTCAATACCCACTATGAAGAAGTCATTAGCGCCTGTCAATTTTTTATTAGCAAAACTTTATTTGTACCAAAAGTCTAAGAAGATTTTTTTTCTTACACTTCAGACGTCGAATGCTGTAGCCTCAACTTTATATCAACTCTCTCTAAGGCCTGATGTCCAAGAAAAGTTGCATAAAGAAATTTCAGGTGTATTAAAAGGACGCCCTATAAAACCTGGGGATGTTAATCAAATGCCATATCTAAAGGCGTGCATCAAAGAGGTTTTGAGGTACACCATATTAAATTAAATTAATAAAAAGTATGACTGCTTTTGTTAAATTTGAAAAATAATTACAGAATGTATCCAGTTGTTATTGGTAATGGCCGGCAATTGAGTAAAGACACAGTTATATGTGGCTATAATATTCCGAAAGGGGTAAGTGATATGATTATAAGAATTCGTAGCAAATGGTAATAATGATTAAATAATTTTAGTACGTGTACCAATTAATACTTTTTGTGTATATCACTATATAAATAACTTATTGTTATTATTTTTTTAGACACAAGTAATATTCCAACACTACGTAATGGGAAACAGCGATGACTATTTCACAAACGCTTCTCAATTTTGCCCTGAAAGGTGGTTACAGCGTTCAATATATAAACACCATCCGTTCGCCTCTTTGCCGTTTGGGTTCGGCAAAAGGATGTGTCTCGGTAGGAGATTCGCTGAACTTGAAATCAATATCATCATTTGTAAAGTACGTATTATGGAAGAATAGATAATTAATTAAAATTAATAACAGCGCCATCTCTTGACAATTGATAAAAGTATAATATATTTTAAGTGATGTTAATTGTATATTTACAGATGGTTCAAGCCTTCCAAATGGAATACCACCACGAACCTCTTGAGTACCACGTACATCCCATGTATACTCCCAATGGACCTATACGTTTAAAACTTATTGACCGTTAATCTTATGGAATTTATCTTCAAGAAATGGCTTCATTAGCTTCTTACTTGTAAATTGTAAAAGTCGATATTAAATTTAAATGAAATATAGATATTTAGAATATATTTTTATGTTACCAATAAAATGTAAGGAGTTTTAAATGAAATTAATTTAAACACAATTTAAAGTTTTCAAGTCGACGAAAATATTTTGTACCATTTTTTTATTTTATTTAAATTTGTTTTAAATTGTACTTTTGAATTAATCACAAAGAAAAATAGTATGGAGGTTATATTAATCTGAATTTTGTGATTTTGTTACATGTATCGTTTTAAGGATAAGACGTAATAAAATTGTTGGATATATTAACCGTAAGCGATAACTTTGTGTTGTTGTACCCTTTTGTTGTTGTAATTTATTATACTTTTTATTTGTTTTTTGTATAATAAAGAATATTCGTTTCCATTCTACTTGAATCCTTATTTTAACCAATATTTCTATTAACTTTATCGTGACGGCATCTGTATTAAGAATGCTTCAAAATATATTTATTAATTTACAATTATATTAATCCAAAAACAATCATAGATTTATTTTATATAGGAAATGAAATTGAGGTTTTAGGATATTCTTTCAGCATTTATTTAATTTATATACCAACCACGAGCAAGGGCAGTCGATATAACGAAAACGTGAAAATCTTAGATAACATTTTATTTATTACTTTTTTCAATGGTTACCTAGATACAATGAAGTCTGAGCAATTAACTTTGTTATTATGATTTTTCGTTATAATATTAAGGGATTTTTCTTATTTTGTTATAAAAGTAACATAATTTAAGTCATTCATATGAATTGTAGGCTTTCTAATGATGTTTTTTTCAGAAATCAGATTTAATTTGATTGCCAAAGAGTTTGTTTACAAAGAAATTATTAATATTGTCTTCTAATTAGAGACAAAAAATGTTAATGACATAATCCATACAATAAGATCTTACAATAAAGGCCCGTTTACAAGAATTATTTCTGGACTGGGTTTAGAGTTAGTCATCTTTACTTTTAGATCTATTATTTTTTATCTTCGTGTATTTAATCACATATATTTTTTGTAACATATAAAATATAATATATCTATTTAAAACGTCTTGCAATACGTAGTAATGAGTATTTGCATTTTTTTTGTCAAACAATAATTTTTAAATTTGCAGTTAGTTAAAACCGATTGGTTTTCATTAATTATTTTTCTAGCGAGCTAACGACGTAATAAAAGTCTGTTATTTTTTGTATTTTCTTTATAATAAATTATAAAAATATAAACTAGTATTTAGAAAATAAAACGCCTGTTAGAAAAAAAAGACATATTTGTTTGTGTATCTATGAAACTTAATAGTGAATTAATGTTCAGCTCTATATATGAATTCACTAATTGGCTACAAAATACAATAACATGAAAATTAATTTCAACATTCTGTTTTATCTGAGAAAAACAAATAAGGTTAAATATTATTTGTTCCGTTATTTTGGAGATACTGAAACAAAATAAACTTGACCATATCGAGGTTGAATTTCTCAAAACTTTTCATTAATTTATGAATAACTTGAAGAGCTAGCCAACGTTATGTATGTATTATTGCAGACACAGTGATATTTTATACTATTACATTACTTTTTCAGCTCTTCGCCTCGCCTATGTCATGGAGAGTTATCTAGATAGAGGTCCTTAATCAAAACTTGGAAAGTGATAGTTACTTGGTTTGGCCATAGTACATATTGAAAAGGAATAATCATACACATAACATGTTTTTTTCTATTGTTATATACTAAATAACGAATACTATGAAGTTTTTTGTAAACCTTTTTGTCCAAAGTAAAGAACTTTTAACTTTAGTCCAAATCTACTGCTTCTTTTGTCCTTGTAGGTATATAAGAAGCAACTGAACGATAAATCTTGAAAATGTATTTATTTTCTTAACATCAAAAGTTAGGTAACTTTTATTAGTAAAAATATCTGAAAACATTTATCAAATATAACTATTTATACGTTATTTATAAATAATATGATATCCTCAAGTAAGTTATAACCTAATAATCTCAGGAAAGGATTATTCCGTGTTCATCAATAAAAAAATTATAAGTCTCTTTTGTCAGAATGCAATAGTGTAGGGATGTTTGTTGCTCTTTCGCGAAGAAACTACTGAACAGATGGTGGTAAAACTTTACAAAGCTGTAGCTTATAAATCATCTGAACTTAACTTTATAAAATAAGAATAAATCTGTGTATTTTCCAAAGGGATGTGCCACGAAAGTATTATTTAGTCATGATTCATGTGTGACAGACTACAGATATGGTTGCATTAGTTTTGTTTTCGCTTTGATTGTTCATTTAGCTCGAAACCAATGAACGAAATTGCGGGTATTCATTCGTACTAAATAAAAGAATATTTCATAGATTCAAACTATAAATGTATTTGGTAGGAAAGTAAATAAAAAAACAAATTACATTCATAGAATGTTTTACTTAGATAGACTCAAACAATCCTACTAAATTACATTTTATTTATCAACTTACATTCCATATTGTGGAAGGCTTATACATTTGCAAGTTCTTAGCAGTTTTATTATAAAAGTTTCACAACACAGAATGCATTATTACATATATTATATAAAACCAAACTTATCTATGGCCACAATACATTTTATCGGTAAATATTTACAAATATCACATATGAGTATAGTATCATAAAATATATTTACTTATAAATGTTTATATTTAAAAAGTTGTGTGTAACATACACTTGATTTTATATAATTTGACTAGGCAGATAGGTTTGCGAGGGACAGTTATATTATGTTGATTTTTATACATGTATACATATCACTATACTACCTCTTATGGCACTATTTTATTGTGATAAAATAGGCAAATGTTACAACAACTGTATAAAAGCTAAGGCAGTGAGAAAATATTAAAAAATATTTTATAAAAAAACGTACAGAACATATTTTACATAAAAATGTTACATTTCATTTTTATCGATCACAAATATCTTAAAATTATTACATATTAACAAGGATTCTGAGTTGATTTTATATTTAAACCGTTTTTCCTTTTCATTTGTCTGTATTTCATTGAACCAATAGCAACTGCTATGATCAAGACGACAAACAATACTGAGCCTATAATAGCAAGGTTGTCAAATCCAGAAAATTGACCTAGGCTCTCTTCAGCAGAAGGTTTACTCAAATCTCTTACATTTCTCGTTTTGGGTTTAGTACGAGAGAAATCAAAATTATCTGAAACAAAAGAAATGATATTTATTATACAATAGGGTGTAGGGTACATAATAGTAAAGTATAAAATATTGCAACTATGTATACTCGTATATTATAGAGATTCAATATCTTAGTATGGAAAAGTTACTATTAATTATATCTAATCTTTTTGTATATAATACGTAAATAAAATAGGGCCTCGAGTTAATAGCGCAAGAGAAATGGGTTAAGAGCTGCGAATCAGAACTACGCTAAAAGAAAAGTAACTTATTGATATAATTTTTGAATTCACAAGTAAACTTGTTAAAGATATCAATTTTTTAGAATTAGTTATAAGTGATTAAAACTAAAGATAATCGGTAAATCCGTTTAAGGGCTGTGATGACTGATGAGTCAGACAATGACACAAGCACACATACACACGCACACGCACACGCACCTGCACATGCACACACACACATGCACAGAGACACAAACATAGATATCGATATCAAACTTATAAATCTCCGTGGTTGGTTAAGAACGATGTCATCATTAATAGAAAAGAAAACTTCTTACAAATACAAGAGTTTAAATTTTCATTATAAGTTTAAAGTTTTCAAAAATTATCGATATTAATTAATATAATCTACATAAGACTCTATGTTTCAACAAAGTTTAAAAATATATTTCACTTACCGATTGCTAACTGTGAGTCATCGTAATAATCGAAATTCTTATTGGCTAATTTTCCAGAGTTAATTTCGTTATCTGAAGGAAATGGTGGTAAATAAGTTGTTGGGGGGTTTGTGCTACTAGGAGCGAATGGTTGAGGACATTTTGGATCCTTTGACCCGGGGTAACATGAACTGGGCGTCGGGCTTGGTTGCGGGATTGTTGGTTGAGGACTTGAAGGTTTAGGGCAACGGGAATCTGTGCTTCCTGGATAGCATCTGGGAGTATCAGGAATAGTGGGTCGAGGACAACGAGGATCCGAACTTCCTGGGAAACATTTTGGTTGAATTGTTGTAGAAGGAGGTAGGTAAGTAGGTGGATTAAGAGTTGTTGGTCTAGACGGTTGTGGACAGTTAGGATCTGGCGAGCCTGGGTAACAAACGGGTTTTGTTGGAATTGGTGTTGTTATTTTAGGACAGCGAGGATCGGTACTTCCTGGGAAACATCTTGGCGGCTCTGGTGTAGTTGGTTGTGGGCAACGTGGATCAGTGGATCCTGGGACGCATTTAGGCGGGGCTAGCGTCGTGGGTTTAGGACAACGTGGGTCACTGCTTCCTGGGTAGCATCGAGGTGCTTCAGGAGTTGTTGGTCTGGGACAACGAGGGTCGTTGCTTCCTGGGTAGCATCGAGGTGCTTCAGGAGTTGTTGGTCTGGGACAACGAGGGTCGTTGCTTCCTGGGTAGCATCGAGGTGCTTCAGGAGTTGTTGGTCTGGGACAACGAGGGTCGTTGCTTCCTGGGTAGCATCGAGGTGCTTCAGGAGTCGTTGGTCTGGGGCAACGAGGGTCGTTGCTTCCTGGGTAGCATCGAGGTGCTTCAGGAGTGGTTGGTCTTGGACAACGTGGATCAGTGGATCCTGGGAAACATTTAGGAGGGGCTGGTGTAGTGGGTTTAGGACAACGAGGATCATTGCTTCCGGGGTAACATCTGGGTTCTTCAGGAGTTGTTGGTCTTGGACAACGTGGATCAGTGGATCCTGGGAAACATTTAGGAGGGGCTGGTGTAGTGGGTTTAGGACAACGAGGATCATTGCTTCCGGGGTAACATCTGGGTTCTTCAGGAGTGGTTGGTCTTGGGCAACGTGGATCAGTGGATCCTGGGAAACATTTAGGAGGGGCTGGTGTAGTGGGTTTAGGACAACGAGGATCATTGCTTCCGGGGTAACATCTTGGTTCTTCAGGAGTGGTTGGTCTTGGGCAACGTGGATCAGTAGATCCTGGGAAACATTTAGGAGGGGCTGGTGTAGTGGGCTTAGGACAACGAGGATCATTGCTTCCGGGGTAACATCTAGGTGCTTCAGGAGTTGTTGGTCTTGGACAACGTGGATCAGTGGATCCGGGGAAGCATTTAGGTGGGGCTGGTGTTGAAGGAGGTAAATAAGTAGGTGGATTAAGCGTTGTCGGCCTCGATGGTTGTGGACAGTTAGGATCAGGTGAGCCTGGGTAACATGAAGGCTTTGTTGGTGCTGGGGTTGTTACTTTAGGACAGCGAGGGTCGGTGCTCCCTGGGAAACATCTTGGTGGTGTAGGACTAGTTGGTTTAGGACAACGTGGGTCAGTGTTTCCAGGGTAGCATCTAGGTCCTTCAGGAGTTGTTGGTTGTGGACAACGCGGATCACTTGATCCCGGGAAGCATTTAGGGGGGGCTGGTGTAGTGGGTTTAGGACAACGAGGATCATTACTTCCTGGGTAACATCTAGGTGTTTCAGGAGTTGTTGGTTTTGGACAACGTGGATCAGTGGATCCTGGGAAACATTTGGGAGGGGCTGGTGTAGTGGGTTTAGGACAACGAGGGTCACTACTTCCTGGGTAACATCTAGGTGATTCAGGAGTTGTTGGTCGTGGGCAACGTGGGTCACTACTTCCTGGGTAGCAACGAGGTGACTCTGGTGTTGTTGGTTTCGGGCAACGTGGATCAGTGGATCCTGGGAAACATTTCGGAGGGGCTGGTGTAGTGGGTTTAGGACAACGTGGATCGTCACTTCCGGCGTAGCATCGAGGTGCTTCAGGAGTTGTTGGTCGTGGACAACGAGGGTCACTTCTTCCTGGGTAGCATCGAGGTGACTCTGGTGTAGTCGGTTTTGGGCAACGAGCGTCATTGCTACCGGGGAAGCATTTCGGTGGGGCGGGGGTAGTGGGTTTTGGACAACGAGGGTCACTACTTCCTGGGTAACATCTAGGTGCTTCAGGAGTTGTTGGTCTTGGACAACGTGGATCAGTGGATCCGGGGAAGCATTTTGGTGTAGCTGGTGTTGAAGGAGGTAAATAAGTAGGTGGATTAAGCGTTGTTGGCCTTGACGGTTGTGGACAGTTCGGATCAGGTGAGCCTGGGTAACAAGAGGGCTTTGTTGGTTCAGGGGTTGTTACTTTAGGACAACGAGGATCGTTGCTCCCTGGGAAGCATCTTGGTGGTGCAGGAGTAGTTGGTTTTGGACAACGTGGGTCAGTGCTTCCAGGGTAGCATCTAGGTGCTTCAGGAGTTGTTGGTCGTGGGCAACGTGGGTCACTACTTCCTGGGTAGCAACGAGGTGACTCTGGTGTTGTTGGTTTCGGGCAACGAGGGTCATTGCTTCCTGGGTAACATCTAGGTGCTTCAGGAGTTGTTGGTCGTGGGCAACGTGGATCAGTGGATCCTGGGAAACATTTAGGTGGGGCTGGTGTAGTGGGTTTAGGACAACGAGGGTCACTGCTTCCGGGGTAACATCTAGGTGCTTCGGGAGTCGTTGGTCTTGGACAACGTGGATCGGTGGATCCTGGGAAGCATTTGGGTGGAGCTGGTGTAGTAGGTTTAGGACAACGTGGATCGTCACTTCCGGGGTAACATCTAGGTGCTTCAGGAGTTGTTGGTCGTGGGCAACGTGGGTCACTACTTCCTGGGTAGCAACGAGGTGACTCTGGTGTTGTTGGTTTCGGACAACGAGGGTCATTGCTTCCTGGGTAACATCTAGGTGTTTCGGGAGTCGTTGGTCTTGGACAACGTGGATCGGTGGATCCTGGGAAGCATTTGGGTGGAGCTGGTGTAGTAGGCTTAGGACAACGTGGATCGTCATTTCCGGGGTAGCATCGAGGTGCTTCAGGAGTTGTTGGTCGTGGACAACGAGGGTCACTACTTCCTGGGTAGCATCGAGGTGACTCTGGTGTAGTCGGTTTTGGGCAACGAGGGTCATTGCTACCGGGGAAGCATTTCGGTGGGGCGGGGGTAGTGGGTTTTGGACAACGAGGGTCACTACTTCCTGGGTAACATCTAGGTGCTTCAGGAGTTGTTGGTCTTGGACAACGCGGGTCAGTGGATCCGGGGAAGCATTTTGGTGGTGCTTGTGTTGAAGGAGGTAAATAAGTAGGTGGATTAAGCGTTGTTGGCCTTGACGGTTGTGGACAGTTTGGATCAGGTGAGCCTGGATAACAAGAGGGCTTTGTTGGTTCTGGGGTTGTTACTTTAGGACAGCGAGGATCGTTGCTCCCTGGGAAGCATCTTGGTGGTGCAGGAGTAGTTGGTTTAGGACAACGTGGGTCATTGCTTCCAGGGTAGCATCTAGGTGCTTCAGGAGTTGTTGGTCGTGGGCAACGTGGATCAGTGGATCCTGGGAAACATTTAGGTGGGGCTGGTGTAGTGGGTTTAGGACAACGAGGGTCATTGCTTCCGGGGTAACATCTAGGTGCTTCGGGAGTCGTTGGTCTTGGACAACGTGGGTCACTACTTCCTGGGTAGCAACGAGGTGACTCTGGTGTTGTTGGTTTCGGGCAACGAGGGTCATTGCTTCCTGGGTAACATCTAGGTGCTTCAGGAGTTGTTGGTCGTGGGCAACGTGGATCAGTGGATCCTGGGAAACATTTAGGTGGGGCTGGTGTAGTGGGTTTAGGACAACGAGGGTCACTGCTTCCGGGGTAACATCTAGGTGCTTCGGGAGTCGTTGGTCTTGGACAACGTGGATCGGTGGATCCTGGGAAGCATTTGGGTGGAGCTGGTGTAGTAGGTTTAGGGCAACGTGGATCGTCACTTCCGGGGTAGCATCGAGGTGCTTCAGGAGTTGTTGGTCGTGGACAACGAGGGTCACTACTTCCTGGGTAGCATCGAGGTGACTCTGGTGTAGTCGGTTTTGGGCAACTAGGGTCATTGCTACCGGGGAAGCATTTCGGTGGGGCGGGGGTAGTGGGTTTTGGACAACGAGGGTCACTACTTCCTGGGTAACATCTAGGTGCTTCAGGAGTTGTTGGTCTCGGACAACGCGGGTCAGTGGATCCGGGGAAGCACTTTGGTGGTGCTTGTGTTGAAGGAGGTAAATAAGTAGGTGGATTAAGCGTTGTTGGCCTTGACGGTTGTGGACAGTTCGGATCAAGTGAGCCTGGATAACAAGAGGGCTTTGTTGGTTCTGGGGTTGTTACTTTAGGACAGCGAGGATCGTTGCTCCCTGGGAAGCATCTTGGTGGTGCAGGAGTAGTTGGTTTAGGACAACGTGGGTCAGTGCTTCCAGGGTAGCATCTAGGTGCTTCAGGAGTTGTTGGTCGTGGGCAACGTGGATCAGTGGATCCTGGGAAACATTTAGGTGGGGCTGGTGTGGTGGGTTTAGGACAACGTGGATCGTCACTTCCGGGGTAGCATCGAGGTGCTTCAGGAGTTGTTGGTCGTGGGCAACGTGGATCAGTAGATCCTGGGAAACATTTAGGTGGGGCTGGTGTAGTGGGTTTAGGACAACGAGGATCATTGCTACCGGGGAAGCATTTTGGTGGGGCTGGGGTAGTGGGTTTAGGACAACGTGGATCGTCACTTCCGGGGTAGCATCGAGGTGCTTCAGGAGTTGTTGGTCGTGGGCAACGTGGATCAGTGGATCCTGGGTAGCAACGAGGTGACTCTGGTGTTGTTGGTTTCGGGCAACGAGGGTCATTGCTTCCTGGGTAACATCTAGGAGTTTCGGGAGTCGTTGGTCTTGGACAACGTGGATCGGTGGATCCTGGGAAACATTTTGGCGGAGCCGGTGTAGTAGGTTTTGGACAACGTGGATCGTCACTTCCGGGGTAACATCTAGGTGCTTCAGGAGTCGTTGGTCTTGGACAACGTGGATCGGTTGATCCTGGGAAGCATTTTGGTGGAGCTGGTGTAGTAGGTTTGGGACAACGTGGATCGTCACTTCCGGGGTAACATCTAGGTGCTTCAGGAGTCGTTGGTCTTGGACAACGTGGATCGGTTGATCCTGGGAAGCATTTTGGTGGAGCCGGTGTAGTAGGTTTGGGACAACGAGGATCGTCACTTCCAGGGTAGCATCGAGGTGCTTCTGGAGTTGTAGGTCGTGGACAACGAGGGTCACTACTTCCTGGGTAGCATCTTGGTGTCTCTGGCGTAGTTGGTTTCGGGCAACGCGAGTCACTGCTTCCGGGGTAACATCTAGGTGCTTCAGGAGTTGTTGGTCTTGGACAACGTGGATCAGTGGATCCGGGGAAGCATTTTGGTGGTGCTGGTGTTGAAGGAGGTAAATAAGTAGGTGGATTAAGCGTTGTTGGCCTTGACGGTTGTGGACAGTTCGGATCAGGTGAGCCTGGGTAACAAGAGGGCTTTGTTGGTTCTGGGGTTATTACTTTAGGACAGCGAGGATCGTTGCTCCCTGGGAAGCATCTTGGTGGTGCAGGAGTAGTTGGTTTTGGACAACGTGGGTCAGTGCTTCCAGGGTAGCATCTAGGTGCTTCGGGAGTCGTTGGTCTTGGACAACGTGGATCGGTGGATCCTGGGTAGCATTTTGGTGGAGCCGGTGTAGTAGGTTTTGGACAACGTGGATCCTCACTTCCGGGGTAGCATCTAGGTGCTTCAGGAGTTGTTGGTCGTGGGCACCGTGGATCAGTGGATCCTGGGAAACATTTAGGTGGGGCTGGTGTAGTGGGTTTAGGACAACGAGGGTCATTGCTACCGGGGAAGCATTTTGGTGGGGCTGGGGTAGTGGGTTTAGGACAACGTGGATCGTCACTTCCGGGGTAGCATCGAGGTGCTTCAGGAGTTGTTGGTCGTGGGCAACGTGGATCAGTGGATCCTGGGTAGCAACGAGGTGACTCTGGTGTTGTTGGTTTCGGGCAACGAGGGTCATTGCTTCCTGGGTAACATCTAGGAGTTTCGGGAGTCGTTGGTCTTGGACAACGTGGATCGGTGGATCCTGGGAAACATTTTGGCGGAGCCGGTGTAGTAGGTTTTGGACAACGAGGATCGTCACTTCCGGGGTAACATCTAGGTGCTTCAGGAGTCGTTGGTCTTGGACAACGTGGATCGGTTGATCCTGGGAAGCATTTTGGTGGAACCGGTGTAGTAGGTTTGGGACAACGTGGATCGTCACTTCCGGGGTAGCATCGAGGTGCTTCTGGAGTTGTAGGTCGTGGACAACGAGGGTCACTACTTCCTGGGTAGCATCTTGGTGTCTCTGGCGTAGTTGGTTTCGGGCAACGCGGGTCACTGCTTCCGGGGTAACATCTAGGTGCTTCAGGAGTTGTTGGTCTTGGACAACGTGGATCAGTGGATCCGGGGAAGCATTTTGGTGGTGCTGGTGTTGAAGGAGGTAAGTAAGTAGGTGGATTAAGCGTTGTTGGCCTTGACGGTTGTGGACAGTTCGCATCAGGTGAGCCTGGGTAACAAGAGGGCTTTGTTGGTTCTGGGGTTATTACTTTAGGACAGCGAGGATCGTTGCTCCCTGGGAAGCATCTTGGTGGTGCAGGAGTAGTTGGTTTTGGACAACGTGGGTCAGTGCTTCCAGGGTAGCATCTAGGTGTTTCGGGACTCGTTGGTCTTGGACAACGTGGATCGGTGGATCCTGGGAAGCATTTTGGTGGAGCCGGTGTAGTAGGTTTTGGACAACGTGGATCATCACTTCCAGGGTAGCATCTAGGTGATTCAGGAGTTGTTGGTCTTGGACAACGTGGGTCACTACTTCCTGGGTAGCATCGAGGTGTCTCTGGCGTAGTTGGTTTCGGGCAACGCGGGTCACTGCTTCCGGGGTAACATCTAGGTGCTTCAGGAGTCGTTGGTCTTGGACAACGTGGATCGGTGGATCCTGGGTAGCATTTTGGTGGAGCCGGTGTAGTAGGTTTTGGACAACGTGGATCCTCACTTCCGGGGTAGCATCGAGGTGCTTCAGGAGTTGTTGGTCTTGGACAACGTGGATCGATGGATCCTGGGAAGCATTTGGGTGGAGCCGGTGTAGTAGGTTTTGGACAACGTGGATCCTCACTCCCGGGGTAGCATCGAGGTGCTTCAGGAGTTGTTGGTCGTGGACAACGTGGGTCACTACTTCCTGGGTAGCATCGAGGTGTCTCTGGCGTAGTTGGTTTCGGGCAACGCGGGTCACTGCTTCCGGGGTAGCATCTAGGTGCTTCAGGAGTCGTTGGTCTTGGACAACGTGGATCGGTGGATCCTGGGTAGCATTTTGGTGGAGCTGGTGTAGTAGGTTTTGGACAACGAGGATCCTCACTTCCGGGGAAGCATCGAGGTGACTCTGGTGTAGTTGGTTGTGGGCAACGAGGGTCATTGCTGCCAGGGAAGCATTTTGGTGGTGCTGGTGTTGAAGGAGGTAAATATGTAGGTGGATTAAGCGTTGTTGGCCTCGATGGTTGTGGACAGTTAGGATCAGTTGAGCCTGGGTAACAAGAGGGTTTTGTTGGGACTGGTGTTGTTACTTTAGGGCAACGAGAATCTGTGCTGCCTGGGAAACACCTTGGTTGTTCTGGTGTAGTTGGTTTAGGACAACGAGGGTCATTACTTCCGGGGTAGCATCTAGGTGTTTCAGGAGTCGTTGGTCGTGGGCAACGTGGGTCACTACTTCCTGGGTAGCATCGAGGTGACTCTGGTGTAGTTGGTTGTGGGCAACGTGGGTCATTGCTGCCAGGGAAGCATTTTGGTGGTGCTGGAGTAGTGGGCTTAGGACAACGGGGGTCATTGCTTCCTGGGTAGCAACGAGGCGACTCTGGTGTCGTTGGTTTAGGACAACGAGGGTCACTGCTTCCTGGGTAACATCTTGGTGTTTCGGGAGTTGTTGGTCGCGGGCAACGTGGATCAGTGGATCCTGGGAAGCATTTGGGCGGAGCCGGTGTAGTAGGTTTTGGACAACGTGGATCGTCACTTCCGGGGTAGCATCGAGGTGCTTCAGGAGTTGTTGGTCGTGGACATCGTGGGTCACTACTTCCTGGGTAGCATCTAGGTGACTCTGGTGTAGTTGGTTGTGGGCAGCGAGGGTCGGTGGACCCTGGGTAGCATTTAGGTGGGGCAGGTGTTGTGGGTTTGGGACACCGCGGGTCACTGTTTCCAGGGTAGCATCTAGGTGCTTCAGGAGTCGTTGGTCTTGGACAACGTGGATCAGTGGATCCTGGGAAGCATTTGGGCGGAGCCGGTGTAGTAGGTTTTGGACAACGTGGATCGTCACTTCCGGGGTAGCATCGAGGTGCTTCAGGAGTTGTTGGTCGTGGACATCGTGGGTCACTACTTCCTGGGTAGCATCTAGGTGACTCTGGTGTAGTTGGTTGTGGGCAGCGAGGGTCGGTGGACCCTGGGTAGCATTTAGGTGGGGCAGGTGTTGTGGGTTTGGGACACCGCGGGTCACTGTTTCCAGGGTAGCATCTAGGTGCTTCAGGAGTCGTTGGTCTTGGACAACGTGGATCAGTGGATCCAGGGAAGCACTTGGGTAGTGCCGGTGTAGTAGGTTGTGGGCAACGTTGGTCACTACTTCCTGGATAACATCTTGGGGCTTCAGGAGTAGTTGGTCGTGGACAACGTGGGTCACTGCTTCCTGGGTAGCAACGAGGTGACGCCGGTGTAGTTGGTTGAGGACAACGTGGATCAGTACTTCCTGGATAACATCTTGGAGCTTCGGGAGTTGATGGTCGTGGACAACGTGGGTCTGCACTGCCAGGGTAACAGGAAGGTAAATCTTGTGGTTTTATCGTGGTCGTTATTGGTTTGACAATCTCTCTGCAGCTTGAATCACAGTCACTCTTACACAGCTGAAAAAGAATATTTTCTTAGAATCCAATTGGTCTTATAACCTGGGTTATTTAAAAATTTTATAATAAACTTACCTCAACATTACACGTTAAATATACTTGATCGGTTTCTGGGAAGCGGAAGGCGCTTACTTTGCTGTAGGCGATCAGTGTCGCCCCTGATCTACCCGTGTTCGTGGATTTTTGGAACAAATCAATAAATTTCCTTTTTCTGAAAGTTGAGGATTATGAATTTAGCTGTCTTTTTTAAGTTTATGGTTATAATATATAACATTTTGATATTTACTTTGGACATCCTTCCTTATCTGTTAATTGAATCCTATTAGTATTCGGGTTATCATAGTCTTCATTATCATATGCCCAACAATCGTGTATTTTTAGGTTGAACTGATTCCTAGTGTCTTTAAGGTATATTAATATCGTTAGGTATTCGCCAATCTTGATCGAGTGTTCTAAAGGAGTGGTCTGAAATATTTGTTTTGATTTATTTGATTTGAAGAAACATTATAAATTTATTAAGAAAAATAATCATCAATAATTTTGATAAGTCAATATCATACTGTTACATACATTAGGGAATACTCCCTTCTGTATGTCCATCCAACATTCAACGCCGCCTGCAGGCCCTGGCACGGCTACTACTTCTAGCATATCAACCATAAAAGGCTTGAGTTTTAAAACGTGCGATTGCTCTTTCTTAACTCCTCCGACAGATACCTCCAAAGCTGTACTTGCGCATGAAACCTGCAATGAAACATATAATAAATTAAATAACATTTATTGTAAGACAAATAAATATAAGTCAAAACTTTGTTGAGAACATTGACCTCTTAGGATTATGCTAAGTTATTTTATATTGATAAATGTTTGACCTAGGTGTTAATCGAGTTAAGTATACGTCACTATACGGGGCATCAGTCTTACTTTTCGTGCGAAATCATAAGGACCCTGGACGAAGTCGTCAGCTTGGAACACGAGGACATTATCAATTGTGCCGCAAGCGTTGCAAAGAGCTCTGCTGCCGCAGCCCTTCAGCGGCACTCGGAACGAGTACCGTGACTGACTTCCGCCGAGAGATACGTATCTGACAAGTATTCATAATTGTTAAGTATGAATTATCTAAACCCTTATAAGAATTAAAGTTAAAACGATTTACCATCGCTCGTTAGTATTTAGGCTAGCTTAAGCTTGAGTTTTATTTAAAAGAAAACGAATATTTTAAAATTATTTATGATAAAAGAGGCAGATATTATAGGATTTTTGGTACTGTGCTAACTTACTTGCATTTCGGATCGTTCAAGAAACCCTTGCTGTAAATAATTCCGTCGTAGACATCAGAGAATTCAACTGTTACATCAATGAAGTCTGCTGAGCATTGTACGTTGATGTCCGGAGAAAGAGGACTGTCGGCAGCCCTGGAGCTCCGGACGAAATTCACCGCCGTATCATCGATGATTTCATCAAAGAACGGACTTAGACTATTATCACCTGCCAATTCTTTATTCAACTCAGCTGCCGTGAGGGTGCCATCTGAAACAGCTGTAGCAAGCGACAGCTGCAAGAAATTTCTTCATTAATGTATGTAAAATAACGTCACGACCAATTCATATTGGAGCTTTTGAGGGTAAAGCTAAAAACTCTTTCCAAATATGTCATTTAGGTGTGGTCCCATCAATATTAAATTGACCTACTCAATTATATTATTAAGTAAAAATAGAATATTTACTTAACAATTAAAAAATCCGTTCCCAAATTTTTCATTATATTACATTTATTATCATATAATCTTTGTTATAACAAAATAATTACATGTGACTTAACTAGTTATGAGATTTATTGCCGCCGCTGCTCTATTATAAACTTATCTATAAGATTATTTTTTTGATACAAAACAATGTGTTTTTTTCTCTCTCTCACGCGTTATTACAGACCATTTGGTGTTGTAATATGAGCTATACTATTTCATAAACACGATATTGAGATGTTGAATAAAAGGCAGATTTTGTTTAAATTAATAATATTTAATATTTATATTCCTTATCTAATATGGAGAATTGATTGTGCCATATCAAGCCCTTCATAATTACTTCACACAAACTCATAAATCTTCTTTAACATTGATATTCGTAAGATCATAGTTTATGTAACTCATGGCTCTGATTGCAGAATCAAACTAGTGACAATAAAAATATATTACATAACTTTTCTCTATGGGTTTCATTGACCTAACCTTTGGATGAGCTAAATCTTATATAACGACGTAGTAGCGTGATTGATGGTAATGTTATTTTTCTAAGGCAATCGTAATTTAATAACAAATTTGGTTTATTTAGTATCTTTTGTAAGTTTAATGATTATTTCGTGTTAAGAAGTTGAAGAAACTAATTAATTTTAATTACGTGTTGCTATTTAGCTTCGATGTAATATTCATTCACTGATCTCCTAATCAAATTTGGATTATTAAATGAGGGAGGGTCAGTTTTTTTTGGAAGTCTAGGATAATAATACATACCTGCACAAGTGCAATCAATGTCGCTATTTTCATGACAGCCGCTTCATGGGGCTCTGGAACGATAAAATATTAATTTAGTATTATAATTCTCTATACATATATGTACTATGTTACTAATTTAATTATATTTCCACCTTAAAAGTATGCAAAAGTGCGAAGATTTAAGGAAAAATCGTGCTATCCTACATTCAATACGCACCGGACCTAACAGTAAACCGATGTTTACCGAGTTGTATAAGTGTGCTTAGAAGAATAGTGGATGAGTAAATATTCTGGCTAAGCACCAAAAACCTTGCATAACAATAATTACCACAGAATTGGCATTGGTCATAAAATCACTTTTTAGTGTAAATCCTACGTTATTCGACACATTAGTGTCAAGAGTCAAATGAACATATTAGGGTGTTGCAAAATTTTAAGTGATTTGTCGCAATTTCAGTTTGTTATTATTGTGACAGATCAATGTTAATTATATGAAGAGGTTAAAATGTTCACTTACGACATGAATATTTTGGTGAAAATTCGTATGTGCCAAAGTTGGGACTACAAAAATAATTACTCCTTTTGCTTAAGTTAGGTTAAGCGTTATAGATGATAAAGTTAAAGGTTATAAATGAAATATATAAATAGCGTTTGTGTAACATCACGATAGGTATAATTGTGTTGCATCCGTCTAAGATCCGTGAGGTCAGACGCTGACCCGGACAATATTTCCGTGTTTATTTCAACACCAAAACTATTTACATCTCTTATTGGGCGTCACAAAAACAATATAATGTTAATTGTACGCCTATATTTAAAAAAAAATGCTTGCAATAAAAATGTTATGTGTATATTTATATGTATAATTAATATTGGAGTATTTTTTTATAATTTTTGTTTGTTTGTTTATTCCCCCTTATCTCTGAAACGGCTGAACCGATTTTGACGGAACTTTTATTGTACGGTAGCTGTTGTAATAAGGAGTAAGTTATGATACCTTTTTATCTTATCCCAAATCTTGATAGGTATCGAAATTAACCGTCATCACGTGCGAATGGGATCTGGGAGCAATCGGCGTTTAAAAAGTTTCTTTTATTGCTTTTTGTCTTTTTTTTCTTTTAAGCAGACGGAGTGGCGAGAAACAGCTATTATTTGATAAAATTAAGCTACTTGTAACATTATAACTAAAAAGAAAGTGGTATTAGTTTTGAGAAGGTATTAAAATAAAAAGAATACTTTTTTGAACATTTACAAGAATAGGATATTATATAATTAATTAATTAGACGAAAAAAAAATATTGATTTTAATTAAAAGACTAGAAACAATAACCAAGATTTTCCCAACTTTTTATGAGCTATAGGTTTCCATAAGTTTAATTACAATGCATGCATGATAACTATCTGTACACCATACTTTAATGGAAAAATACCGAATTGCCTAACCATTGTGAATAATGCACTATTAGCTCTGCTTTTGTTTGATGGTCGTATTCTCACAAGTTCGTTCTATATAGCTGTTACGTTTAAAATGTAGTTTTGCGTTAGAATTGTATGAAAATTTTTCATATTTTATTCAATATTATATATTGATTATTTAATATTTTTGTTTGATTATTCAATATTATAAGCATGATTGTTCATATTGAGGTGAATATTAAATATTGAAATTTTCTTGAAAATATTTTATCATTTGATACCTGTAACTTCCATATACAAAGAATGGGTATTGTTTTATTTCTTTCGAATAAACATAATATGTTCGATCTAATACCTTTTAAGATAAATTATTACGGTGTTTTTATAAAACAAAAGCAATAAATAGTTAAGAGGTCGTTGAAATATAAAACATTAGTATAATTGAACTCTTCCTGTATAAAAGTTCATAGGTTATATGAATCCAAATTTTATTTAACTTTATTTTTTTCCTAGGAATTGTTCATTTTGAAATATGTATTATATTTATATGTATTGACATTATCTGTTTTCTAAGAGTTTCGTTAAAGGGTGGGTATTTTTCTGCAGTATAATGTTTCTTGACATTGCAATTATTTACAAGTCAATTTATTAATGATTTCGATATTATTCTATAGACAAAGAATAACCTTTCATAGGTAAAGTAATTATTATTAAAAGGAAGTATTATTTTTGGAATATAATAATTGTAAGCACTATTAAAACATAAAATAGAATTAAAGTTATCTATAGTACGAGTTTTCATTGTCACTTTCCGTACTAAGAATGTCTCGTTTCTACAATACACAATACTTATATACTATTCAATACATATGTACGATGATTTATGTGTTAAAAACTGTTTAAATTCAGTATATAGTACGACAAGGCAAACTTGTGATAAGCTGTACAATACGTGTAGGCGATTGAAATTGAATAACATTTATGGCAGAATATGAGACTCATATTGGCATCTTGATGAGTAATTCTTTATCGATTTTTACTACTAAATAAACTATTAACACGTCCATATAGAATTACGATAGTCTTGTATGGATATTTTACAATATATCGGCGACATTGACCGTACCAAAAATATAAGTTGTAAATTAATGAAAGCGAAATTTATGTGAGATAGGCTGCGGAGTAGTGCATTAATATAATTCTGTGCCACGGTCAGAGTGACATCACGAAGACCCTGCTGGCTTAACTGGTTTATGAGACCCGATTAATTGAGAACCCACTTCTTATATAACTATGGAACTTTAACTTTTGTAGGCGTTCCTTTCTATAAAGACGAAATGTTTATGGTGATTTTTTAAAATTAATGAATACAAATTGTATATAATCTGAAAGAAATTTGCATATTAATTACTATGTTTTATAATATAAGAAATAACATATTAAAATGTCTTTATTTTTTAAATATCTAATTAAAAATTGCACTTGCACTACTAGCTTAAAACTACCCTTTATGGGACGTCAAACCTATATTAAAAACATGTCGTTAAAATGAACAAAATAGAACAGACTTTTATTTTTAAATTATCTATAAGTGGTTCATATTAAAAAACTTAGTCGAATTTAAACATATCGTAATTTAATTATAAATCATCAACTCTGTATTTCTTTGCACCAAGAATTAATGACACGATGTCATTATAATAACTATAATATTTAATATTAAATCAAAATTTAATTTTAATACCAAACATATTACGGTAAAAACCATGAATTGAGTATAAACTGAATTGCATTACACAATCGGGGACGACTCAGGTCCCAATTACGTTTCTGTCTGTGTGTCCGAATCTCTGTAATTTAGTTGCAACATTAGGGAGACTTTACCCAACAAGAACTTAATAACTTTGACATAACTTGCTTTGTAAATTTTGTTAATATATATAATTAACATAAAATATATTGTTATGCTTATATTATTAATGATTTTAGTGGATCGAAGGTCGTCTGCGTTATGTTATTAGTGTAGGAACAATATTATTATACAATATTAATTATGAACGCTTTTAAATAACAATGGACTTGTTCTATTAAATAATATTTCCATATATATGGGAGCAGAAGTATAAATGTATAAATCAAGCAAACTTATTTAACTCCTTAAATGGATGTTATTAATTTGTTATGGTAATTTTAAATATTGTAGTTTCTTTTTGGAAAAAATAAAGTTAGTGATTTTATTTTGATAAGATTGCTTACGGATTCTCGTTTTGAACATAAAAATTAACATAGCCAGGCTATATTCGGTAAATAATTTGATTCTGAATATTTTAACTGACCTAGCATTAAATTTTTTAATACATATTCATGACTTATAAATGGAATTCTTTATTTTGTTGCTTAAGTCTTTTTATGACGCTTAGTTGAAAGGAATACTAAATTAATTTGCTAAATATACGAGTATATGCTAATTATTTTACATTACAACTTATTTCAGTTTTGGGTGACAATTACAGAATGAAATGCAAAATACAAAGAACATGTAAGTCTTGTTACGCGTAAATGTGCCACGATGTCAGTTAACCGTCTTGTAATCCTACAAAGGGTAATAACTTAACTAACATATTATGCACAGAAAATTTGCTCAACGTAATTTAAGGATTACATCAGTATTAGAAATCCGTGCGTAATTACGTAGAAATAAATTATATTCGATTATTAGTATTCTTCTATCGAATTTTGATGATGGTAACCTTTTGCCGTGTGACTGTAATTACCTTTATGTTAGTCGGTCGTGAGTTTGATTCCAACTCGGCTTTATTTTATAAATGTCGACGTTGATATCTAGAAAACTTGTAACCATACTAGCTCATCATGTTGCGTCATGGATAGGTATGTGTTAGCTATTTCTATTGTCGCTCAGAACAAATAGGATAGACTGACAATGTATTTGTGTAATAACTTTTTTTGTAATTAAGGGATATAATAATTCTTTACATCAAATATTGTAAGCTTTAATGTGACTGTAACAGGGTTTATAATCGTTTAAATTAAATAAACTATATTTTTAAATTGATTGAATCTTTAATACCGTTTTGCTTTGATTATTATAACCTATGTGTGTTTCTAATAGATTAGCCAACCATACCAAATGTATGTGTGTTCTCACGATTCGCTTAGCCTTTGGTTCATCTCGTTTATCTGAAGGCCTTCGGGGTCGGCAATAATTTTATGTTTGCGGTCTTTAGTTGAAACATCATGTAACTATATTTATTACTATAGTTATGCCATTTTAATTGTTATGTTGTTAATTTATTTATTAATATAACACGAAAATTATTTTAAGTGACCAATTCAAAACATTGGTTAAACTATACTAATTGACTGACACACATCATAAAATTTGGCATATTATAAGTGCAACAAAGTTAACTTGATATATATATTATTTCCAAACAATAAGAAGTTGAAATATGAACAGAATTCATTTAATATATCAACTAAATGAATGAATTCTTTGAACAGTCGAGATGTTCTCACATTTTAAACATCAATTCGATAAAAATCGGTACATTCAAGGGCATGTTTAATAAATTCCCCAGACAGAAACAATAGCGTGCACGTATTGGGCAAAACGGTTGGTCGGGTTTCATAAATTCGCATGGACAATTCTCACACTCGTTAAAATTTATTACGAAATCGATAAATTCGCTTCTTTTTTTATATAATTAACCTATTTATATAAGTCAAGATGAATGTACCATTATTCCCTTTACGTAATATATCTGAATTAATTTAACAGAAGCTTTGTATAGTGTTTTTGTGAATTCAAAGGTCAGTTTGTATTGATTGAGCATTTGAATGGGAATAATGAATGGAACACATTCATTATTGCTCATTCATTTGACATTCGCTTTGTTTGTTTTCAATCACTCATATTTTGTATGACATCAGTGTTAAAGATACAAATGTTCATATTTCTTTAGTGTTTATTTTATATTTATGCCTTTTTTAAATAGAAATAGCTATATTAACCTGTTTAATATATAAGAATATATTTTATATGGTAAAACAGTCCTTTTTTTTGTTGTTTACGATTCAAATAAGTTAAAGAAACTTTGATATAGAACTCGTTTTATGACTGTATTAATTAAAGCGCTTCAAGATATTTTGACACTTCTAGTCCTTGACATATGGAATATTTATGGTAACTAATAATATAATATTACACACGGATATGGGTTGCCGGCGGTTAACTAACACTTTATTTTTAACTAGCTTTTACCCGCGACTTCGTCTGAATAAAAAAAGAAGAAATAAACAATGAAAAATCTTTTAAACGCCGCGTGCGTCCTGAATCCTAATCGCGCGTGATAATCTTGGGATCGGGATAAAAAGTAGCCTAAGTTACTCCTTATTACATCAGATACCTGCCAGTAAAAGTAACGTCACAATCGGTCCAGCCATTTCAGAGATGAGCCGGAACAAACAGACAGACAGACAAAAATAAAAAATAAAGTTATTTTGGTGTATGTACAGTACACACATTTTCATATGCATGTAGTAAAAAACGATTCTTGCAATATTACAAACACACACTCAAATTTAATTTATTTGTATAGATGTCATTAAACAATGAATATAATTTATTCTTTATTTATTTGATACTATTTATCATCTTCTTAATGTAAATGTGTTTGAATTGGGTAAAACTTTAAAAGATGTTACTAAATAAAAGCATTTAACACTGTATTTTTATTAGTTGTTCAATAAGTCGAACTAGAGTAATTGTTAATTACTCTAGTACGCAAAAAAAAAATAGTAACGATTTTTCTTTCCAAAAAACAAAGAATTATCTATTAAAAGTCATTATAGAAATGAAATGTTAAACCGTAATTCAACTTTTCAATATATATTAATATATTTGTGAAGTATGTTAGATTATATTTAAATTATATATATAATAATTAATGGAGATTTTATTCTTAGAGAAATGTATTCGCAAACCTGTAATACTAGTATATAAAGAAAAAGAAATACTTCTTTTGAAGGTCATTGATGAGTTAGGGATATAAATATTTTGAATAATACACAAAATTGTTTTAGACGCGCTTGGCAACCTATTAATAAATCGTTGCTAATAATTTTAAAAGTCAATTCTTTTTTTGCTTGTGTTATGTTAAGTAATGTTTTGTTCGTTTTATTTAATCTTTTAAAGTTTCTTTGTAAATCTTTTACGTTAGCATCCTAATCAAATTGTAAATAATATTAAAGGTCAGTTTCGTAATATGTGAATTACTTAAACAACGATCCGACGATCTTTTGATATGCATTAAGTAATAATTTTGTATACTATTAGTTAAATAAAATTAATATTTTCGGATCTACAACGTCATGGCATTCATTTCGTCTGCCCGTGATCACGGTTGCTGTATAGTAAACGAAACGTCGGGAGTATGTATGTAGTTTAAAATAATAAACGCGTAGATAGTACATCCGAAAATATTAGTTTCATTTAAATCAATATTCGCGAAAGTCTCACAAATCACTTCTATTTATCAGCGCCGAATTTTCTTAACATATTCTTAGTTAGAGTCAAATCAAATTTGAAATGTCTTGCATAATGAGCTTGAAAAGCGACACAATACATCTTTCTAACATCCATAGCTCACTAACTTTCGCACTTACATTTGTCGAACTCACTGACAGACCCATTGTTGTATCATTGATAGCAAATTATCCTATCTTACAAACATTAGTGAGATTATGCAATCCATTGTCTGCCTGTAATCGACTGTTGACATTTTTGTAAGCATTTTTTTATATGATTTATGACGATAATTAAACAGATATTTATTATTTTATAAATATTTACATGGAATATGATTTTAGATGTTTTTTTATATGTTAATAATTTATTTGTGTTCTAACTCACCACTGAACATGATGTCGTATTAAAAATTTCGCGTGTACTAAATTCTATATATGTATTTATATATGTATATACATTTATATAAATATTATCGTATTGTGTAATAACCATAAAATGAACCTTTTTCACGGGTATTATATTATATGTATTTATAAAATAAATATTATTTTTAACCTTTATTTATAATATATTATTTCAACACAATTTAAAATATATTATAAAGCCTTTATTTTTATTATAAGTCGTATAAAGTTCATCTCTAGCCCATCACTCATTGAGCGACACTTTCTCTCAGTCAATTGCTTGTGATGTACAAAGCAATTTCATTTCAAATTGCTTTCAATGGCACATATTATGCAATTATACAAGCTAATAAGCTATTCCGATATTGATGGGCTGTCACGGAACTATATTGGATTCTTTCATTTGTATGTATGCATGTTACGAAGAATGTATTAAATGCGAATTTTTCGTTATGTTATCTCAAGATTATGTAATTATATTTAAAGGTTATTTGCACATAACATTCTTTTCTGCGGTCAGCACAAAAATGTAGTTATAACCTTTTCTGGGATGCTTTCGTTTCCGATGTAATATCGTTTCGTCATTTCCTGTAGCGGTCAAATATATTGAATTCATTTTTGTAGACGAGTAAGTTAGTTAGTCTTTTTGTATTTTCTTCTACCTGGCAATTTCCTAGCTTTAGCCAGGGTCTGCCTTACTTGTTGTGAATAGTTTTTGGCAAATTGTTTTAACGACCGGCCGCCTGCCTGACATCAACCCTCTTTAGAAAAGTTAGTCTTTTTGTATATTATGTTAAAATATAGTAGATGTAGGTATTTTAGTTAATTCGTTATAAATGTTAATGAAGATGTTTGTCGTCGTTTTAGAGTTAGGTATATAGTTTTAGCATTTTTAAAGGTCAAAACGTGATACCGTCTATTTATGTGTTTCGGTAATAAATTAATTTTTAATAGTTAATAAAACTGGGCATTAAAATGTTACATACATTCTTAGCACATAATCGTATATATTCAATACTGGAATATTTTAAAAAAACATCTTTTTAATTATTGTCAAATTATTGTCTTACATAATCTTTTTTTTCTTCCTGGCAATTTCCTAGCTTTAGCCAGGGTCTGCCTTACATGTCGTGAATAGTTTTGGCTAATTGTTTTTACGACTGGCCGCCTGCCTGACATCAACCGTCTTTGGGAATAAATGCATTAATCAGTGATGTTTAAATAGTTTTTGAAAGTACATATGACTTGGAAAATTCACATTGGTACTTGCCAGGATCGAACCCGCGCCCTCGTGCATGAGAGGCGGGCCTTTCAACCACTAGGCCACCACTGAGTCGACTGTCTATTGTCTTACATAATGTATAATAATGATTAGCATGTTTTCTCAACTATATATATAACTATACTAATAGTTGTCGCCGTGTTTGTTTAGTATGTTGTAACTATCTCGTACCGTACTCTAAACAAACTAATATATTCAAATATTGAGTAAGTCGGTAGTGTGTACGTGTGTAGTCTTCAGATTTGAGAAGTGTAAACGGATTTTGCTATAATAAATGTCAAGGGTCTTAAATAATGATTCATTAAAAAAAATACTTATTGCAAATCTAGAAGGACATTTTAATTTATTTAAGTATATAAAGTATTTATTTTATTTGCTTAAGTATGAGATACATTATGCAAAAACAATTATTGCATTGAAGTATTGACAGGAAACTGCTTGGACATTTTAAAAGGTTAAGTCATTTGCGATATTGATATCTTTGTAAACATTATAATAAATAAAAATCTATTTTCTTATATGTTATTCGATTTCATATAAATTTGACAGTGATATTTTTATATGAATTCAACCGGACTTTGTCATCTCTGTATTGATTATTAAGAGTTTTTTAATTCAGAAACAGGTCATCAAATTAATTGAATTATTCAATTTTATAGAATTATCTTGTCTTTTTTTAAATTATTTTACCATAATTATATCTTTTCTATTTCACTATCGACGTTCATAGAAAGTTGGCAATGTTACAACTTCACTAAGGCATGTCAAATTGTCTTAATGTGAACACTTTCTATGCAATTTTTTTATTATAAATGCATGGATATTTTGGAGAAAACATATATAAAATTATAAGGGAACAGTTAACTGGAAGATTGGGATATATTAAAAGTTTTTTTTCATACTCCAATGTGAATATTTATGTAAGTTATTGACTGAGAGACGTGGAAGAGTAGGTAGTTCAAACCTAGAATAAGATACAGAAGTATTTTCTTCGCAGATAAGTATATTTTGTTTTATTGAACCAATATACTTATTACAATTATTTATGTTAATCTCTTTGATGTCAGGAACGCGTCCGGTAGTAAAAACATTTAGCCAAAACTATTCACAACATGTAAGGCAGACTCTGACTCAAGCTGGAAAATTGCCAGGTAGAAATAGAAGAAGTATTTATCTTAAATGGTTGGTTGTTTTAAATATGACCTTCAACCGTGCAAAGACGGGTACAATATATTGAATATCTTAAATATAGACGAGAATATATTAGAAAACTTTTTTACCAATTATTATGAATTGATTCTTTAAAATAAACACCTCATAAAGTGATTATTTTGACTGAATTTTTTTTGGATTGCGTCTTCAAAAGTTATGTTTAGTTTCAATAAAACAAATGTATTATTATTGATTACTAAAATTCATGTTAACCATCCTTATTGAGATATAATAAATTGTTTTTTTTTCTATTCAGGTCATATTAAGTATTAAAATACTAGTTAAAAACATAATGTATTGTTAGCAAACTTTTAACGATACATTGAAGCTGTGTTATCTTAGCTTTTTATGTCTTAACCTGACCTTTTGTCTAGATTTTAATGTCTGCTTATGAAATATACTTATAAGACGCTAGGGACATACTTATGACAAACCAATTAGATGTTTTTGATTAACTGAATTGATTATATCTCATATAATATCATTAGAATAATCATTATACATTTGTTAGTTTAAATGATTTAATATTTTACAGATTTTAATTCTCTGGCTTATGTTTTTCATTACAATATCTTATTAAGGTCAAAGTTTTTTCAAAACTAATGCAGTACTATTTTTAAGTCAACACCAAAAATTTATATTTAGGAAAAAAATTCATTATCTATTTGTTCGAGCAATATTGTAAGAGAGACATTAAAATTCTTTTAATACAAGCTAATCACAAGTTATTAAGTAGCCGGTAATATTATACTGATCAGTGTATAGAAAATTATCCCCATACATAGCTAAAAAGCATGTTTCTGTTACTGAACTTAGTCAAGTATAAGGATTTCTTGTTACACACTAAAATATCATGTAATTCCTTAAAAACGTATTTAAATGTTTCCAAGATAAGCCGAAACGAATACACAGACAGGTGATTTTTGTTTAACAGTTTCTATTTGGAAAGAAACGGAGTCGAGCTACATAATATGTGTATGTTTGTATGTCTAGGACGGTACGATGTCCACGCCAACCATATGACACACATTTCGCCAAATCTCATCAGGTCATTGACCTATGGGAGATGTAACATCTTTCACTTTTCGATACAACTTAAATATTACCAAATTTAAGCTAACATAATGTTTATCACTCATTTTAGTTTTGCGTAATTTTATTTGACTTTTTTATTCAAACATATTACAATATCATTTTGGCTGTGCTAATGTGAGAATGGATCCTGAACTTAATAGGAGATAGGTTTAAAATATTATTACTCAAAAATACTAATTTTTATATAAATCTGTGTTTAAATATATTTATACTTAGTATATTAATTAATGAAAGATTTCAATGAAGAATGATATTAAATTCTACTAGTTTTATCACTAGAAATACGCGTAAGCTTTATTGTTTTCCGCATTGTTGAATAGCGAGCATAACTTTTATGTAAAATGATAAATTTTATATATAGTTATATACTGTCATATATTTAAACTAATACGATTGTGTACACTATGAGTTATTATTGTAGCTTCGTATAGAGGGCGCTGTATTACGACTTCACACTTTCGCCTTTCGTTAACTCCGGGACGAATCTCTTATTTGTTTAGACGCCGCAAAACATACGTGATTTACTATTTATAGCTTTCCTAGGCATTGCGTTTACTAGCATTATATAATATGAATGAAGATATTTCGAGTTGGGTTTTTGACTGACTGTAAAAGGATATGAATTTGTTTGTGTTTTATTTCATTTTATGTCATTGGTTGTTAGAAATGGTCATTGCTATTATTATTCTTATTAGTATTTGTGACATATTGAAGTAGCAAAAATATTTTTTTATTATAAGTGAAAAACCTTATATTCTAATGTGTCCTATTTTTGAAAATTTTATGGTTAACAATTACTCTATTGATTACTCTTTTTTATATGTATATATCTCATTACAAGATGCATTTAATATTATTCGAATGTTTTCAATGTTCTTAATATTTCTTTAGAAGTTTTATCGATTTAGGATTTTCTTAAAAATTTCGATACTCATCAGTTAAAGTTCATTCAAAATTGTTGTAGCCATTTATAATATTTAAGATTTTAAGAGCTAATAATACGGTGATTATTTATATGGTATTTTAATTAATATTTTATGTTTCATAGCTACGTAATCGTAATAGATGATAATGATTGAATATCTTCTAATTTAAATTGTTAATTATTATAAGAAAAGGCGAACGATTAAGCATATTTTAGTCTGATATTTTGTTCTTTTTTCGTTTAGTCAACACGCTTATATATATGTCTCTTTCAACATAAACTAATTTTTAAATACGAAAGCAATTTGATTGATTAAATACTCCTATATATAATGGTATAAGATTGAACTCTTGAGTCTTGACTAAGTACTTTGTCAATGCAGTTACCCTTTATGTGATCCTACTTCACCTGTATCACAAGTGAGATATGCTATCATGAATCTCAATTAACTTGTCATATTCTTAAAGTTTTCAACA